CCTAAACCCCAAAACCCCTAAACCCTAAACCCAACCCAAACCCCCACCCCAAACCCTCAACCCTAAACCCTCAACCACCCTGAACCCTGAACCCCTACCCCTAAACCCTAAGCCTTAAACCCTAAACCCTAGGCCCCGAGCCTTAAGCCCTAAAACCCTGAACCCTAGACTTTGTGGTGAACCACAAACTAAAGAACAAAAATTGCCTTGGACATTGAGGAAACTAAGCAAGGCTTAAAGCAATTGAATTTGAAGCCTCATCATTCATTTTTCCTACACAATTTCTTTTATATATGCATGCGTGGTCGACAATAAACCCATTAAGGAGTGTTAAGATTAAAGCCTTTACTCTCATGAGTAGTGAGCATAACCCCATTGAATAAAAGGGGAAATGACATGATCTGTCGGGGCAAGTCAAGATAATTGAACAATTTTGAGAAAAAGATTTTAGGCAAATTCTCTAAAAATTCTGGCATAAAAGCCCTCGCTCGGTCACGTAAATACTGTTTTTCTTTTCTCCCCCCCCCCCCCCCCCCCGCCAAGATACAGTTACCATATGCAAACGGTAGAAACATGATGACACACGCAGTTGCTTTTAGGAATTGATTGCCCCAATCTATGTGTAGTTATTAGACCGCTCAAATTTTATTAAAATATAAAGTAATAAAATTGATTCATCTCATCAACAATTATTTGCAATGCACACGACACTGTTGTCAATAATATTTTACCCTCCTATTCCAATTTTCTGAGAAACAGACGTCCACTGTTGTCAGTATATTGGCTGATGACCATCGCCCAATGGACAAAAGTAAACTCAATCTCAGATGCACTGCACTAGGCTCATGAAGAACTAATGTGGGATCGCTAATCATGAATGGAACAGCCATCAATTCAGAAGGCACGGGAACTCATCCATATTTCAACATGGTTTAACAACTGAGTACTAATTAAGATAATGCAACCATTCCCAGGTACACAGGTGATCAAAAAGCAACGATTCCTTGATCTGACAACACTACAAATATATGTGAATGTTTAGATGTACTTTAGACCCGAAATATATTGCTGTCTAGAGATTAAATATTGGGCCAGGGAATATATAATTCCTAATAAACCCAATATCCTAATTTTGAGCACATCTCCCATTACAATAGAAGGCAGATTAAGAGGCAACGTAAGCAATGGGGTCGCATCCGAATGCTTAGCATAACTCCAAACGCACCTGTTGAAAAGTATATGACTAGGAAACGTAAGAACGAGGAGAGCCAAATTCTTCACCACAAAGGCCCAATCTGGCCCACCAATTTGAAGGCCCCATCCAGCATCACCATGCCAGACGTCTTCCGATATGCTGTAGAGAGCAGTCAAAACCAAATAAGCTGAGATCACAAGAGTCACGGGAAAATATCTTTGCTTGTCCCCAAAACCAGCAACAAAATCAGAATCCTGGTTGAGCAGCAGCAAAATAGGAGCCAAGAAAAATATAGCCCGATTCGAGCCTCCAGTGATGTTAATATTCAATATTAGGCATATAGCAAAGCACATTATAGTGGCAACGTTGCCAACAGCAGGCATCCACGCTCCATCAGCAGCCATCCTCTTGACAGTAAAGGAGGGAACAGTAGAGGCTCTTCGTTGCATGAATCTCGTTCTAGGTGGGAAGCTAGTAGATCCACCTCTGTCAACTACCTTTTCCCGCAAAATTGTAGCAAGTTCGTATTTTATCTCCAAGGCTATAAGCATAAAGATAGCTGCATACAAACCAAGAAGGGAGGTCCTGGCACCCTCAACAGCCAGCAAAGTCGAAAATTTATTCTCCTCTTCATCCATACCTACTACTTCTCTATCTTGAAGGACATTTTTAATTCTCATTTGACCCTCCAAAAGATAAGTAACAGGAAAGAGAGCCACAAGAAGTGCAAACACCCAAGGCAGAAGCTTAGTGCTTGAAGCAGAGGGAAAATGAGTGAAAATGACAAAAACAGAGGCACAAACCATAGTGACTACAATGAGGACATGCAGGACAGCTGCCTGCAGAAAGTACTCAGCAGAAATGTAGATACCAAGTGCAACCCCTATGGATATGGAGTAAAATGCTCTTAGTTCAACGATGTACTTAATGGGTATGATAGACATGACAGATGCTAGAGTGAGCAAAATTGAGATAATAAGAAGCCAAGAAGGCCATGTAGCCTTCTGAACCATGTAGCCATAAATTGAGATATCATCAGCAGACTGACGTGCAGCTTTGATTAGATCAGAGTGATAACTCAACAGCAGCGGTATTGGGGGCTGCATCAAGATGAAAAGTAGACCCGTAGCCACAACCAGCACTAGGCATCTTTTGGCAGACTGCAGGGATAAGTAAAATATCTTGATTACTTGGTACCATTCATGCATGAACAAAACAGACATAATGGTTCATTCCATCAACCAGAGATTCCTTCAAAATTGCAACAAAGCATGAAATTACCTAAAATTTAATGCATAAACAATTTCCCCCACCCCAGGACCTCCTATGCTGCCAAAAAATATGGAGAGGATAGTTTTACTTACCAAAACATGGGAGAAATGAAGGGCAACAATAGGAATACAAGCTAGCCCTGTCAATAGTATACAGAAGCCCAAAAGTAAACCATCTGAGGGAGATCTCCCGTTCCACCACTGGAGGGCTTCAAAAATTGTCTCACGACAAAACCACACAGATGATGCAACCACGGATGCATGCACATATCCTTGCCAAGGTTTCATCCTTGAAGCCATTCTAGATCTATCACTACCAAATCAAACAATATAAGAAAGCCGGGGATAAAGATATCAAACACATCAAGAATGATCCAAACTGATATTGGCAAGATGCTAGAATAATAATTACCTGTAAAGAAGTAGCGGAGGGGAAACTGCTAACAAGAGAATCGAGGAAACCCAAACAACAGACTTCGATGCAATAAATAACATTGCCAGTTTTGAAGAATAAAGGCAAGTTAAAATCCAAACAGTTTTTGCTCCAATGCGATGATCCACAGAAAGCTTTCTTACCAAAGCCAGACCCAAAAAAGTTGTCATGATAATCATATAGCTTGGATACATCACCTCATCCTCAAATCCATAGTAGTAAATGCTGGAGTAACTGAAAAATCGATTCTCAATGTGGCATATTAGCAACGCATGGCTTATCAAGCTTATATCAGTTAAAAAGTGATACTTAGAAGGTAGGAGAGCTAAACCAGGAACAGCCATGGCCAGAGCAACATTTGCTATTATGAGTTTACAGAATGATTTCAGGGACATGCCCGCCAACCAAATATTTAAATCCCAAAAGTTGTGCAGCACAAACCATGCAACCATCAAGCTCCCAAGTATAACAAAAGCAAAGTATGATGCCAGACTCTTCTTTGCAAAGAAACGAGCTAAATAAAAGCCAGCAACTGATGGGAGAGGAAGGAACTGCAAATTAAACACACATGCCAACTCAATTCATGCAAGTGTAGGAAAATCCATAAGGTTTCATTAAACTAAATCATTTAATCACCAATATAAGAAGTAGAAATAAGTTTATATGGTTTTATTATCGTCTACTAAAGAGCCCAGCAGGTCAAGAACAGAATATTTTTGTAGCTCAAAAGAGACGCGCAAAACATCTCCGTCATGAAGCAAAACAAAGTTTATCACACCAGACAAGAGACTTGCCACTTTATTATCATGACGATTTTAATAATTCCACAACAATGTGATCAGAACATTAATATGATCTACACTCATGCGATTCAAAATTGTGAATATGATTAGCAAAAGTCAAAACGTAGGGACCATACACCCATTCAGATTTATTGTGGAAACAAATTTAATGTTCCCCATCAAAAAGATTGCAAAAGGCAAAAGCATTTTTACTGGTATAATTGAATTGTTCCAGAGATAATGGGGAACTGACCTCCGTGAGGATTCAACAGTAATAGCAAAATGTGTGCAATGAATAAGAGGATTACAATCGTTTATATATATAGTGCATGAATCACAAGATATAACACAAAAGCAACCAGGGAGTGTCAATGTCATCGTGGAGTTTCATGATTTTAATTAAAGAATTTGCATTGCCCAAGAGAGTATACAGATGGAGACAACAGAAGGGGAAAATCATGGCTACTAAATCAAAAAACAGAACACCTTGAAGCACTGATTGGTAACATTACCTTTTCCTCGCACAAAAATTATGATAAACATTACCCATTAAATCCATTTACCCATGTTACCAATACTCAACTACAACTATCTTTTTCTGTTATATTTTAATCAGGGGAACAAGGAACGTTTCTCATCCACAAAAACATTTTTTTTATTTCATATTGTGGTCACGAAGTACCTACTAAGTTCAAAGAGATGTTTAATCAAACTGACATAAAACCAATGATACTATATAGTAGCAAATATTGTGCATTGAACGGACAAGAAGGGGGGAGATTGGGATAGAAGAGATCAAGACGATGAGTTGAATGTTTGGCCATACCAAAAAAAGAAAAAGACAAAATGTACAATAATCATACATAAGGACACTTTTATCAAACAGAATTTATTGATGAATAATATATCTGAAAAATCAATTATTAATAGCGTCAATGGTGTCAGGCAATCCACATAGCTTATTCACTTAGTGGAAAAACTTCTTGTTATACCCTTTCCATTTCATCATATTTTGCAATCTAAATAGGCCCTACGTCTAGATACTCTCGGCTAGTCATCTTCCGCTAGCAATAGCAGTCATTGACAATGGGTGCCACTAGGACGACGGTAGAGATAATTAAGGGTGAAATCTTGAGCTCTACCGGCTCTACAATTTTCAGTATTGCTTATGTTGCATTAGCATGCACAATGCACGACACAAAACAAACATTCAAAAATCATAATTGGAGTTAAAAACTCACCTATCCGAATTCCACACAATTCAAAAACACTGATAAAATAAACCATCTTCCACCTTGCCATCTGCTTAGCTTGTCAAAATTTTGGGTTTGGGAAGACCTCACTCAACAACAAATTTCCTTTTTTTTTTTTTAAAATTAATAATAGGAGCAGGTACTAGCAGCTTGAGATTACAACCGGGATAGACCCCTTAACTTCCCACTAATAAAGCAGCTTTCATCCCACTAGATTACAAGGGCACTGGCACAAGTTTCTTAAAGCAACAGACCAAGAATGAAGCATTATATCCCAGAAGGAGCTGGACGGTATCATTGTTTTGCATTTACAATCAGACAATTCATAACATTTGAACCAGATAAGTGAAACAATCTTGATTCAAGCTAACTTGCGCTATCATTTCAGTATTACACCCATCCACAAGAATCAAGGCACACCATATACCTAAAAGTCAAACAATCAAATCAATAACCCTTCATATGCTTAGTTATACAAGATTTGCATTTAGAAAGCCCTAGACTGGATTTCTGTAAGTGAAATCACGTGGGTTTGTTTTGGCCAAAAATATGACGACAGTTACAGACAATAAATTAGCTAATGAGTGAGAATGCACACCAATTTGCATTAGCATTTTCCCTACTTCCTTTTGTCGGTTGTTTCCTAAGAAACGATTATACTCACAAGAGAAGGCATGCAAAGAATCCATCGAAAATGATCCTGGGTACAACAATTCAAATTAAAAGAAACCTTGAAAAGTATCTCAGTACGGTGTTCGTGGTTTACCAAATTCAATGCATTGCAAGGCAAAGCCCCTCAAGGTGCAACAAAACTGTTATTGAAACTACATAAATACTCGAGAAGCACAAGAAACGGTTTGGAACGCGTACCACCACTGGAAATCCTATAACAAGTGCTCCAGTAGCGCTGACTATAACGGCCAAAGTAGTAAAAGCCACCGAGCTGAAGGCGTCAGAAATCATACCCATGGCATAAGCACCTGCGCCAGCCGCCCCTCCAAGCATACTTGTAGTCACGAGAAGATAATTCAGAGGCGGTGGTACCTGAATATACCGTCCAAAAGAATGGAAAATAACCCTGATCTCCAAAGAAACAACGATGAAAATCATGGCAACGGCACCATTAACAACCCGGATGCTCTGAAGCTGGTTCTCACTCTTAGTGATCCACCAAAGCGCGCCCCTCGTGGATGCGTAAAGTTGGAACAGAAACGGGATAAAGAATAGAAGGAGCACGTCACAAACAGCAGCAGCCGAAGAAAATACAATCGAGTAATGGGAAGCAATGTGAAATACAAGAGGAAAGAAAAGCAAATTCAGAGTATGGAAGCAGCTCTCGAGGGGACCGAGAATATAATTGTCATTAGGAACCTCCCCTCCATGATACCGAGCTTCGTGCTTGGCCTTGAAGGACGACACTCGAGGCATGGAGTAAAGCCAGTAAAAGAAGCAATTGAAGGACATGAGATAGTACGAAGCATTGTTCATGCCGACGGCGGAGATAGTAGCCCAAGTGAAAAGAGATGAAGCGGAAATGGGGACGCAGGCAAACAAGAGGCGCTCAAGAGCAAGGACGATAGATGGGTTCTCAATCTGAATCCACCTAAACTGAAGAGAGGCCCAAACGCCGATCAAGAAGTTGGTTTCGGCACAAAGGAAGGCGGTGAGGACTGCAAGAGCTACAGAATTAAATGTCAGAATGAGAGGAGAGCAGAAGAAAAAGGCTATCTGGGCCAAGAGAAGGGAGAACCATACACCAAAGAAGGCAGCGGGCTTAAAATGGAGGGAATCAAGGATGTAGGAAAACATAAGGCCCACAATTAGGGTAGCCACCACCGGGGTGCCGCCCAGGTCAAGGAGGAAGGCAGCACATGGCACAAGAGCAGCGGCGATCCTCCAGTTGTGGGCGAAAACAGAGGGCGAGATTCGAGAATTTTTAGCAGATCTCGAAGAACCATCGTCATTGTATGCTTGGAAGCCACTGCTAGGGCTAAGATTAGGGCTAGGATAAGGATTAGGATCGGAGAAGTAGGATGAACCAATTTTGGAGATGGAAATGGAAGGGGCGCTGGTCGAGGTGGATATGTAAGGACGGGATGAACGAGCTAGGAGCTCCGGCGACAGCATCTTCGCATTGCCCAGAGAGGGTCCTCACTTCAGTCGACTGCGAACCAGGAAGCGAAGCTGCAAGGGACAGGGACTCGAAAATAACATGCTCTCCCTCTCCTTACGAAGATTCCCTCTAGGATATAAAATACAGAAAAATAATTTCCAGTCTTGAACTTTTAACCCATTTTTAAGGTAGTCCCTGCATTTTTTTGGAAATAGGTCCACCTATAGCTTTTGCCATCAACAAAAGTTAGTAGAGGGTTGGTTTACGTTAACGATTAGAAAAATAGTTTATTATCAATTTAGTTTATGAAAAAATAAAATTAGATAAAAGTTGAATTAGATAAATTAAATTGTGTTTGAATTAGAATTTAAAAAAGTTAGTTTGAAAAGTGAAATTGGTAAAAAGTTATTTGAATTATAGTTGAGTAAAAATAAATTTGGTTGTAAAATAACCAAAATAGGTATGAGTTTTAATAAATAATAAAATATGATTAAAAAAATAATTTCACATAATATAATGAAATTAAAATAATTTAATATGAAGAAGACAAATTTAACGAGTAAATTAAATTTTAAAACTTTAGAGAAATCATAAAAAATATTTATAATAAACGGCTTATTTTGATTCTAAATATAATACCTTAATCCATTTTGTCTTTTAAATTTATAATTTTTTTCTTAAAATATCTGTATTAGCTATATATAACTTGAGAGAAAACAAGACATATTTATTACAAATAGGTAATTTAATTAATTTTTTAATATTTATAATTTATTTATTTATTTATTATATTACTTTTTTTATAACGCATCAATTTTATTCAAAAAGTAAATGAAAATTTTACATGAATAAATTGGGCAATCACATTCTATTAATTTTAGGGAAAATTTCACTGTAGGACCGCAGAAGACAATTAATTTCAAAGAGCCCCAAAACTTTCTGAAACTTCATTGCAGGACCAAGGGAGCAAACTGATATTAATTCCACAAAGAAAATGACGTTATTGCCCCTCATAATACTTATTGCAGGGTGACATGTAAATGGACTAATTTCAGTTGTAAATAAAAGTATGTATGTTGCAAATTGACTAGTCCCATTTGCAAATGAACTCTCTCACACTTATTCACTTACAGGCACCTTTTTCAGGTGAATAAGGTGATATGTAAATGGACTAATTCTAATTGTAAATAAATGTATGTATGTTGCAAATTGACTAATTCCACTTGCAAATGGACGCTCCCACACTTGTTCACTCACGGAGACCTTTTTCAGGTGAAGGAAGTGACATGTAAATGGATTAATTCCAGTTGTAAATAAATATATGTATGTTGCAAATTGTCTAGTCCCACTTGCAAATGGGCTGTCCCACACTTGTTCACCCAGACACATTCTTCAGGTGAAGAAGGTAATATGTAAATGGACTAATTTTAATTATAAATATATCTATACATGTTGTAAATTATCTAACTTCACTTGCAAATGGGTTCTCCCATACTTGTTCACATGAGGGGCAATAGGGTCATTTTCTTTGTGGAATTAATATCAGTTTGCCCCCTTGGTCCTGCAGTGAAATTTCAGAAAGTTTTAGGGTCTTTTTGAAATTAATTATCTTCTGCGGTCCTACAATGAAATTTCCCCTTAATTTTATCACAAATTATCAGTCATTTTCATTGTGATATTTCATTCTCACATGGTGCGTGTTTTTGCAACTGCGCATTTTTTTATTAAAAAAGAATGCTAATAAAAATGCATTCTGGCATCTTGGCTGAACACCCAAGCCCTTCGTGCACCTTATTTTGTTCCGCTCCGGTCTCTCCAACACCAGTGACCTTAAATTAAGGACGGCTGAATTCAGAGAAAAATAAAGCTTGACACATCATAATGGTAAATAAGTTCTAATCGTTGATTCAATAAGCCAGATCCAATAGCTTCTCTCACAATGTACGTTTGTTAGTTTAAATTAGATAAGCTCATTCTGGATTTAAGCCTAACCAAACACCGAACAATTTTCCAATTGGGCTTGTAGCAAAAATAAGCTACTTTTCAACCTATAAAAACCCTACCAAACAGGCTCATAAATGGATTTAGCGCCACCACTGAAAATAGCTTGTGACTAAGAGATATCTATAAAATATTTAAACCCAAAAAGCATCAAGCCTTGGATTCGGATGCATCTACTTCAAGCTGGAGGGTGTAAATTTGAAATGCATAAAATAAAATTTTATGTAAAATTTAAGTACAGTTGCCACATAAACAATTTATAAATGTTTATAAACACGTTTTATGTAAATAAAGATAAAATTTTTCTCACATATTTATTTTTTATTTCATAAATTATGATTTAAAATCTGTTTATAAGTTATTTCAAATGAACCCAACATTGATGATTAGGAAAATATTTAAAAAGCCCCATTTGGAATCATGTTTATAAACATTTATAAGCATGTTTTACATTAATCGAGATAAAATCCTACTCATATACTTACTCTCTTTTTAAACATGTTTTCACTTTCTTTTTTTCAGCTAGTCTTTTTTTTCTTTTCCTTATCGGAGCTTCCTAACTTTTCTTAACCTTGGTCCTTTTGTTTGATGGGTTTCGGCCTTATTTGCTATCATGTTTAAAATTACTTATAAGTACATTTCATATAAATCAAAACAAAACTCCTTTCACATACTCATTTTATATTTTATAAATCACAATTAAAAATTAAAAAGTTACTTATAAGCTATTATCATTTATTTTGTTTCTAATTGTCTCATATATTTGTTCATGCCATCCTTTTGTTTTGTTTAATATCCTTGGTCTCTAGATTGTCCTCATGTTCGCTCTATCGCTGCACGAGTTATGATGTTGTTTCAAGGATTACCTTGCTATCTGCTCGTCTTGACATTTTTCCCATGCTCCTCACTTCAGGTCTATGCTGCCAGTAGTACTTTTAGAGCATATTTGAAATTGGAATATCTTATAAATAGCTTTTTGTAATATCCTAAAGTTTATTTTAGGTTTAAAAAATTCAAAAAAAAATAAATAAATATAAATAAAGTAATAATATTTTAATTTAAATTAAAAAAAAAAGAGTTAAAGTCAACTTTCCACCAAATTTAGGTGGAAAGTTGAACGTGAATGTTAAAATTGAGGGGTGAAAGTTGAAAGATGAAAGTTGGAGTTGGGAGTTGGGAGTTGGAGGATAATTATGAGGGGACCTAATACATGTGTGGGAGTGTTATTTTAACACTCCCCACAACCCAATTCCCTGGTGCAAGAAGGAAAGAGAGGAAGCGAGATTAGAGTGTGCGTGAGAAAGAGGAGCATACCAGTGAAACAGATGGCAAGCTTTGAAGATATTTTAGGTACATAAAATTACTTCTTTTTATAAAAAATTTTTTATAAATATTTCCTGTATATTTTAAGCTTCCTATTTAAATTATTACTATAGTGATTGGAGAAAATTTTGAGACTTATATATGATATAAGTATTGAGTTTTGATAAAGATGACTATAGAAATTTAGAAGTAAATGGGTTGTTAATTTTAATTGGTTTAGATTTGTCTATTTGTTAGTTTTAGTATTTAAATTAATTTATTTAGTTGAAAATCTGTTATTTATGAGATATACCATATTTTTTACCGATTAAATTTAAGTTGAATAATTTATTTGGATTGTTTGACATATTATTGAGATTTCAATCGGTTTAGTTTTATTTATTGGGTGACTGAAGGTTTTAAAATAATTATTGTAGCTAAAAAGTTTATGGAAATATATATATATATATATGATAGTTATACCATTAAATTTTTTACTAGATTATTTATTTATAAATATTTGAAGTATTGTTGAATTTTTGATAGTTTGATTTTGAGATTTAAACTTAAAATGAGATTTTTTAGAATTTAGAACATAGTAATTTTATATTTGGAAATTGGGAAAAATTCTTTTTAAGGTAAATAATTTGGAGGTGTTAAATAAATAATTTGGCTTGTTAGAAAATTTTAAGTTATCTCTAAAATACTTAATAATTTTTTTAGGTTATGAGAGTTGCGGGAATTTAGAATAAAAATTTAATTAAATTAGAAATTTAAATGATATATAGAAGCTTAATTAATTAATTATTTAGTTTATATTAATATGTGGTTATATTAATTGTGTAGATTAATTTTTGGTTGATCAAAGGATTGACCTTGTGGTAATCCTTAGTATTGCTTTGGCGAAAGGTAACCACTTTCCACTTGTTATATATGTTAATATGTTGTTTGTGAGTATTTTGTTATTTTTAAATAATATTTGTTATTTGGAACTCGAGTAGATATATTATACTTTTGAGCTATAAAAATTTGTCGTGGGATTTTTTTAGAATTGTGATTGAGAAGTTTAGAAAAGATATATGATTTATATCTTGTGGATTATACTGGGAAAAGATTGAGACATTTTTGTTATATTGTAAATGGTTGATTGTTGTTTGGATTTTGAATTGAACTCTATCCTGTCACGTGGTAAGGCCGCCATTGGTGCACATTGATGGGCTTCTTATTTGTCCCTAAAATAAGGGATAGACCTTTGTGGCTTTTTATTCGTCCCCCAATGTGTGGGATAGACCTATAATAAGGGATGGACCTTTGTGACTACTTATTCATCCCCCAAAGTGTGGAATAGGCCTATATGTCTTATTAATCCCCCATAGTGAGGGATAGACTTATATGGCTTGTGTGATAGCCCCCAAAGTGAGGGTTTGGATAATTAAAATTATATATCTATGTTTTCGAGAATTAATAATTGTCCCACTTGACACCTCACGAGCACATGTTAGTGTGTATGATGAGTTGGAAAGTTGGTTACTAAGGCGTTTGTCTCACCCCGTGGTTTTTACTATCTTCAGGTGATAGTTCAGGTGATGACCCATCAAGGAAGGCTCCGAAGGCATAGTGTGCTGTTACAGCTTGTATAGCCTCCCTATTTTTGTTTTATGTGTTGACTTGTTATATATTGCCACATAGGGCCCATATGTTCTAATGCTGTAAACTAATACTTTTAATTACTATTATCTGATCTGGGGGTCATTGGAAGGCTAGAGATATTTAAGACTTTGCGTATTACGCTCATTTGATAGTGTTGACTTTTGACTAATGGGCTTCATGACTTATATTAAAATGTTTTATTAGTTCGTGTGTTTAAAAGTATAAGTTTGGTTTGGGCTAACGGTTGAATGATATTTCTGGACTTTGAAAGTCCAAGGCCCAAGTTAATGATTGATGTAGCTTGTAATATAAGTTTATTTCTTTTAACCATGATAGCAATTTTAAAATTTTAAGGTTTCTTCTTTTCTATCATGGTTAATCATTCAAATAAATTGTTGGATTTAAGCTAAAATGGTTTTGAAAGAACGGCTGTCACACTTTTCAATCATAATTTATGAACTACGAGACAAGTATGTGAGAGGTGTTTTATCTTCGCTTATGTAAAATATGCTTATAAGTAATTTTCACCGCTCTTCCAAATAGGCCCTTAGTATCCAAAGTCAGAAATAGGATTTCTGAAAGAATCCACACCCCCATAATTTTTGGTTTTTTTCACCCATAAATCAAGATAAAGTCAGATTAAAAAATAAATAAAAAAGTCGCTATAATTTTTTGCCCCTAAAATTTAGGCCTATTTTAGTTTTATTCCCTTCAATTTTTAACCCATGATTTTAGTACTTAGAATTTAATCCATCTTAAAATGTTAGTCCAGTGTAATAGTGTTAAAATCTACTAAAGTGTCATAAATAATATTAAGTGATATAAACTCACCAGATGTCACCTTGCTGAATCTTGTGTGGATAACAGAAGAGGAAAAAAAATGAACAAGTCATAAAAGCGCAGCTCTTTAGCCTCTTATTTTTTCTTCCTCACTGTTTATTTTTAAGAGTTGTTCACTACACTGCATTTTATTATCCTCATAAGATCCAGTTAAGTATTATCTAATGAGTTCATATCATCATTTTTAATGTTGTTGATGACACATCAACAGATTTTAATACCATTACATTGTCAGGGACTAACATTTTAAAACATATGAAATTTTATGGACTAAAACTACAGATTTAAAATTTGAGGAACCAGAATCAAAATGGGCTTAAATTTGAAAAATAAAAGATTGTATTAATCCTAAAATAAAATAAAATCTAAGATGCCTTGAGCGTTTCCTAAAACATGCCCCCCTCTTCGCGGTTACCATCGGAATGCCATCATCTCATTCCTTATCCACAATAAGATTCTTGGGCCATTAGAGAGTGTTTGGATGCCGTTTTTAACAGCTTAAAAGTCTTTTTGGCAAACTAATTTTTACCTTTAGCCTAATATGTGCTGTCTTTTTATGTATGATTATAATATATTTTTTACCTACGATAATATATTTTTATTTGATATTAATCTTATACTAATATGTTTTTATTTTTTTGTGGGCATGTAATTCTTATAATTTGGATTCTGCTCCTTCAAGCATTGGTTAAAGCTCGCTCTTCGCAATCTTTATCATGATGGTCATGTAATTCTTATGCATGAAATTATCGTCCTTCCACATCTTTATTATCTTTCTCAGCTTCACTCACTTGGCTTCCCTAGGCACAGGTTCACCACACCAATAACAGTCGTGCTGACGTCTTCAATCATGATTGGACAATGGTCTTGCATAAGTACAAAAGCAATAGGGATTATTTTTGTCATATTCTACTTTACCAATATGGTCCAAGTGTTAAGCGATTTGATATCGTTTAAACGAGGTCTTAAGTTCGAGCCTTACTGTATACAGAAATCTCTGTTGGGAGACTCACCCACCACAGTCAGGTACGCGACGTAGGTCGAATCCAGATGTAGTCGGAATAAAGCTCCGGTAAACTGGATGGGAAAAAAAAAAAACATGGTTCGTCCATGTCCACAAGTCCTTTTGCATTATTGAGATTCCGAACAAGTCTCTACTGAATTTATGACATAAGAGATCTCTTACTTTCCGATAAGAATTATTTGGAACTTGTATGTATTTTTGTTTTCATTGTTTCTTCTATTTTATTTGATAATCTCCATTGCACTTTGTATCGTTGTGCCTTATTATCCAAAAAAAGAAAAACCTCCTAGAGAGGTGGTCTGAGTAGGTAGGGGAGCCGTGGCCCTACTTTCCGCTCAAGTCAAACCCGCCCTAAAACACGTATGTATGTATCATAAAATTTTAAAATTTAAAATAACTAAATGACAAAACAGGCAGCATTTAATTAATTTTTTTTGCCAAATTTAATTAAAATTTTTTATTACTATAACCAAAGGCAAAACAATTTTATACTCTCTCTGGTCTTTTTGAGTCTGAAATTCTTTTTATAATATCTCACTTTGTGGTTGTCTAAATATTTAATATGTTTTTACTATTTTTGCTTCTAATTAATTTGATATACTATATTAATTAAAAGGTTTACCTTTTTTTTAATACTTTATTTATCTTATTTGCTTCTTGTGAATAAATGATAAAAAAATTCACTTAGTACATATCTATTACTCCTCTAATTTTTAATATAAGACCTATTTAATTAATTTGATTAGATTAAAGAAGTTAGGTAAGTTAATTAATTATAAGAAAAGTGACACATTTTTCCTAAAACATCATAATCATCTTTCTTAATACCCCATCTTTCCCTTCTACTTGATTATGATTAAAGAAGTATCCATAGGAGTAATTTAGAAAAAATTAATAAATATGATAAATATGTTTTATATTTAAAACTAAAATCTTAGATCTTATATTAAGGACAGAAAGAGCATTTTAAACTAATTTTGCTTAAGTTTCAGTTGGATGCTGGCCATCGGCCACTTACTGTTTAGTTAGATTAGATTAGGCGCTTTGTTGACAGGCTGTTCTCTGAAGCTGGCAAGGTCCTCTCCCCAGTCCCACGGAAAACCATCTCTGCGTTTCCACTACGCAACATTCGGCGAAATCGTCCTTCCCTTCCTCCGTTCGTCTTTCAAGATTTATCGCCATCTTCGCTTGCTCGCTTGCCGGAAAACCAATGGATTTTAGTTTTATGTCATACTTCGATCGTTTCAGAAGTTCTGCCAATTCATTCTTATCGCAATACGAGCCAATTGTTCTGCTCCTCTCTCCCCTGCTTCCTGTCCTTCTCGCCCACACAATTCGGTCGTTTTTTCATGTCGTGCGCGATAAAGGACTTAAACCCACTCTTATAGGGCTACTCATCAACTCTATCAAGTAACTCTATCAATTGCTTTGATGTTCTAATTTAAGAGAATTATAATAAAAGCCAAATGGATATATGCTTAGTCGATGTTTGTGATCTATGTGGACCGACAGATTGATCCCTGGTGTGAAGAGTTACATCAATGCCGAAAAACAGAAGGTAATGTGTTTCTTCGCAAGGTAGTTCGCTTTTGACGTTTTGTCTGCATCTATCTTACCTTTTTACATCGTTATTAGTAAAATGTTATATAGAATGTTGGGAGAAGCCATTGGCTCATCGCTACCAGATTACATTCGACGCAGTTCTTACAATATGAGTTTTGATTTTGTACTGTTACTTGGCCAAAGGGCGTATTCTAGCCTGTGTTGTCAGTTGCTGGAATAAATAAGCAGTCGGTTTAATTTCCCTACAACTGTCGACAATACCACCCATTGAGGCTATGATTGGGCAAATATTAGCAAGCTTGCTGTTGTCTTGTGACTAGAGTCTACTTGACGTCATTAAGCTTTTAATACTGAATTACGCTGTTCATTAATTTTATGCTTAGCTGGATTACATTCAGTTAGCCAGACTAAATTGGTTCTGAGAGCTGCGTTTATCAAAGTAATGATCCGTTCTATTTTACTGTTCCTGATATCACAAAACTTTTGGGATGAGAGAAGTTAATTTTGAAATGTCTCCTTCTAAGGAGTCAATGCCCAATCTGCTCACTAGATCAGGTTAGTTTGGTCTACTGCCAATATTCAAAAATAGCACCATGTTTGAACGGTAAAGTGATCTAGACATGGTATCATGGACACCCTTACTTAGCATTTCATGTTGTCATGCTTAATGTTTATTCTGGTGTCTTATTTGAACACCAAAGCATCTTGATGCTGTACAAACCTTCAGTTATCCTTGTTCGTTGAATTATCTGTTGAAATATTGTCTTGAATCCCTTGCATGGTATTATTCTTGAAGAAATTCTCGTGTGCATTTGGTGCTCGAACATCCAATAGTCAGGATGTATTTCATACATGTGGGATTTTCTGTACAAAATAATTCATGGTCGTTGGGTGTACATGCACATGGTGTGCCTCATAATTTTTCCTCCTTGTTTCATAAATCATGGTCAGAGTACTTTTTACGAATGCACACTTTGCTTTAACCTTTATTCTTTCTCTACGCTTTGGAAGTTAAGTAATTTGTGAATGATCTGATCATTGGAAAGAACAGGTTGTGGATAAGTTGCAGTCTGACAGCAAATCTAAAAGGGAAGGTTGGAGAACAGAGCTACCAAGGGCAGGACTAGGGATGGAAGTTCTTGAAAAAATGAGAGATGAGAAAAGAAATGATGTCATTTGGCAAGGAAAATGCTCTGGTACCGTGTATGTTTCTAATTTTGTTACATTTAATGTCAAGTTCTGCTTATTTAGTTGTTTTGCATGTGGAATCTTTTTCCCTTATGTTGATTCAATCGTTCTTGGTTCTTAGGGGTAACCAACTGACACTTGCTGTTTCCCTGTTTCATTGCTTTGTTTATTTCTTGCAGCTACATTGGAGGAAGTGAATTTGATGCACACTTTTCTCTGATAAATGAGGCATGCTCAATGTTAGTACATTGCAAAGCTGTCAGTTGATGTTTCAACCAGTGTGTTATTGAAGTTTGTATTTTTCATATGGATGGATTTATGCATAATTTAATGATCATGTGGCTGAGCAAGTAACAGTGTAATTTGCTTATGATGTCCAACTTTCTGTCATGTTTTCGAAGCCAGGGGTCATCCTATCATTGTGTGTGTTGTTTTTAGGCCATTTGACATCTAATATACCCTGCAAGACCTAGGGAATTTCCTGATTGGTTAAACTAAAAAAATTTTCTGTAGAGTGTGAAAGATTAGGAGAAATAAGAGAATTTTCACCTTCCTTTTCCTTTTCCCATTAAATTCATTCCAACCAATATTTTTTACCCTTTCTTTTCCTCTTCCCATTCCCTTAAAAACCTTTCCCTTGTACTACAACAAAATCCTTGTTACTTTGACCATAACATTGCTATTAAAATCAGATTCTTGGCTAATTCTGTACATTGTGGTGGCTCATGGGATCGTTTAGAAATTAGCTTTTGTTAAAAATTGCATTTACGGTGATGAGGCATGAACATAATTGACAGGGTATGAAGTTTTACATGCAATTGCGACAGTGTTTAAAGTCATTTCATATTATGTTGTTACTAAAGATCCTGTATGTCTAATGAAAATTTGATTTTGATGATATTTCAGGTTTGCACATACCAATCCTTTGCATTTGGATGTATTTCAAAGTGTTGTGCGCTTTGAGGCAGAAGTGGTTGCAATGACAGCTGCACTTCTTGGAGGTAGAGAAAAAAGTTCGGGTGGGCAAATTTGTGGAAATATGACATCAGGAGGGACGGAAAGTATATTATTAGCTGTCAAGTCATCACGTGACTATATGAAGTCTAAAAAAGGAATTACAAGACCTGAAATGTGTGCCACCTGCGAATCTCTATAACATATTTGGCAGTTTGTCAATTATTCAAACTATCTGTTCATGAAAAGTTTCTTTCTGTTGTAGGATAATACCTGAGTCTGCACACTCAGCATATGACAAGGCTGCTCAATATTTTAACATCAAACTCTGGCGCATTCCTGTTGACAAAAGATTTCAAGCGGATCTGAAAGCAATTCAACGTCATATTAACAAAAATACCATCTTGGTATTAAGTTACTTGATGACATAAAGTCACTTTTCGATTTCACATGGATGTTTCAGAGTTATGGCTTTTTGGTTTAAATTTAAAGTTTTATTCAAAATGGCATGGATTTTGTGTTAAGAAAGCTCCCAACAACTCACTTTTCTTCTGCTTAAGCTGAAAACTTTCTTTTACTTGGATACTTCAGATTGTTGGCTCTGCCCCTGGATTTCCCCATGGAATAATTGACCCCATTGAAGTAGGTTTCTCTGTTTTTCTTTTCATGCTGAAAACATTTAAGTTCAGATTGCTTGATCAGATGTATAATACTGTAAGCTCTTTCTATAGGAACTTGGTGACCTGGCATCAGGCTTTGGAATTTGCTTTCATGTTGACCTTTGTCTTGGTGGCTTTGTATTACCTTTTGCTCGTAAGCTTGGGTATGGTCAATAATTCGGCATGACTTTTGTGCATTAGTTATTGATCTAAATGATATTGCCATTATGTTATATGTACCTTGGCCTTTATTTTTTACATGGGCGAAATCATCCTTGGTGCTATTCTTTCGTATTAAAATTCTGACGCTTGAACCTAAGTCTTTGGTTATGTATGAAAATGGAGCTTTAAGGAAGCCTTTGCATACAAAAGTGTTGAGTTATTGTCTTTCTCCTTCAAAGAAGTTCTTGACCTTTGTTAGTTGGTTCTGCTAGCTGATAGACTCTAATAATTTAAATGTTTTAAGAGCAATGTTATAAAGGGTTAATGTGCAATTCCCCTTGAAGTTTCTGTGAGTCACAATTGCAAACCGTTCGTTTTTTTGGTGCACTTTTCCTCCAGTCTATTTCAATTTGGTTCAATTGGAATCCAATCTGACAGAGCCAGATGTTTGACTGTTAGTTGACCTAATTATGCTTATGTGACATGCCATGTGGCATCCATCCCGCTTGTTTTTTTGCCACTTCGCTTATTTTCTTTGATTAAAATTAAATCTGATAAAAAGTTGGTTCAAATCAATTGACAGAAAATTGAGTTAAAGGTTTAATATTGTAAGCTCTGAGAGGAACCACGTTCTTGTGCTTCATCTGCTCCAGAATCTCCATTTTCAGCATTGAAGTCTATCTTTGCTATGGCAATGTCTTTTAATCTCTTCACCACCATTGTAGTTCCTTCTTCCAACACCATGTAGGATGTTCCAATGCTTCCTTTGCTCAAAACTTCCAAATCAAAGCTGTATATCCCGCCTTTGATGAAAACCAACTTTTTCCTCTCCACCTCCATGGACCCACTTGTGATATCGTCTTTTGAAGATGATCTTTTGGGCCGACGCAGCATGCATCGCTGCCACAGGCTTTGGTGGTGGGCTTCACTGGTGTTTGCCGAGGCATAGCAGAAGCATAAGTAGGAGGAGTAACAATGTCAAAACAGAAAACCCAACTGCAGTTGCAATAATGGCACCTTATGAGAGCTTCTTGGACATTTTGTGAGCTGAGAAAGAGGGCACAATTGGGGTGGAAGGCGACGAAGCTGGTGATGGGAAGGATGGGGTACATGGTGACAATGGTCCACCATAGAGATCTAAGTTTCCGGCAAATGAGGATGTATGGAAATTTGAGCGATTTAGGGATCAAAGATTGTCCGCCTGGTTTTTTTTATTTTGACATTTTAGATTTCTTATTTCATACATGGCAAAAAAAACACAAATGAAATGGAAGCCATGTGGCATGCTCCATAAGCATAGTTAGGTCAGTTAATGATCAAATGTTTCGATTTGTTAGATTCGGTTCCAATTGCACCAAATTGAAATATGTTGGGGGAAAATAGCCAAAAAACGTATGGTTCCTGCAAAAACTCTGGGAGGAGGGATTGAACATTAATCCTTTTCTAGATCTTAACGACTTGGATGCAAACCAAACTTTCTGGCATTTATGCATGAATGGTCATGACATCTGAATCCTCCCCCACCCCCTTCTTTAAAAAGAGGCATTTGTCTTTACGGCTATTTTTTTCCCTAGGTACTCGATTCCACCTTTTGACTTCTCCGTTAAAGGAGTTTCTTCAATATCAGTGGACGTGCACAAATATGGTTTAGCTCCCAAAGGAACAAGTATAGTACTGTACAGGAACCATGACATCAGAAAGGTAACTAACTGGTTTGCTGAAGAATGATAGGCAATTCAGAGATGGAATATGTTGAAGCAAGCCACTGAAAATGTGCAGTTTTTTTTTTTCTTCTCTCTCTCTCTCTTTCGGAAAAAAACTTTTCATTAGGGCATTTTTAACCTTGGACTGGTTTCACACAAAGCTGTGATCAACTTAATTTTATCATGAAGAATAGTAGTGAGATGTTACTAAGGTCATTTTGTTCCTTGTCAGAGAGTTAGTATATAGGTGTATATTCAACTTAGAAAACCCCAGAATGAGCTCTGATTACTCTAGGTTTTCTATTCTAGAATAGCAAGATGAATTGCTGGAGCCAACATGCAATTTCAGTAGTCTGAAAATTGCTCATCTCTTCAGAAGGAAATCATGGAAAGGTGTTGGGAAAACATCATTCGTTTATGCTCTTTTGCTAGATAAAATAATGTAGATAGGAGATGTGAGGAAGAGACGAATGGGCTGACCTTCAGATTTTGTTTCTTGATACACAGTTTCACATAGCTATAAACTAGAATAATTTTTTCCTAGAAGGGCTGAATCCTGACTCACCCATTTTCCCTGAAAGCTAGGTATACCGGTTGACTTTCATCTCTAAATAATGACCCTTGTGGCTATGTGAAAACCTAGCGAAGAGAATCCCTAAACAGATAATCTCTAACTTCCTTGCAAGAGAAAGCAGTTCAATTGAAAATAAAGTCTCGGTGGAAGATGGTAACGAATATTGCTATTATTATCTACACCCATTTTGTGTGCCATTCTTCCCCTGTCCCTTTTTTCCTATTTGGATTTACTTCTCTGCATTATGCTGTCATGGCAAATTGTTTGGTGATTTGTGTGAAGCTGATCATTAATGCTTTGTGGGCTTCTGGACTCAACAGCATCAATTTGTTGCTGGTAAGTTTACAATGCTCATTATTCTATGGCATCTTCGGTTTAAATTTATAAAAGTTTATGTGGTTATATACATGTTTTTATGTGTGTGTGACCTCATGCACTAATATAATTTGTGCATGCTTGTTGGTCAGACTAGAGCCTAATAAAGGTCCGGTATTTAATTGATTACCACTGATCTTATCTCTTATTTGATATCTCTGCTTATGTGGGATTATTTCTTGGAAATATGACAACAAAGAAATATCTGTTGAATTTCAAAATGGCAAATAGGTGATGCTAGCTGTTTTTATTATGGTTTTGACATGTCAAAACCACCTAATTGTCATTTTGAAACTCAACAAGTATTTTTTTGTCATTTCCCTTATTTCTTCTCATTTTATTGCTTGTTATCTTGCTTTTATTGTCTTTGATTCATTCCAACAATTTCATATTTGAGCATTAAACTTGTTGCTACTTTCCCTTTACATTCTGGTAGCAACTTGTTCCAGAATGATAAGAAAAGTTTTGCTTTCTGGGTTTTCTGATGGTATTAGAGCATCATTCCCTAAGCACCCCAGAAAAATGGTGTCAACAACCTACACGGCAGCACAAGGAGCATCACCTTTGTGCCATTTTGAGGGGTGCCCGAGGTGTTGGCCAACTTGAGGCCTAGCACACCTCTGATGCTGGGAAATTTACCCAATTCCTTTCACCAAGTATTATTAGACGCAACCTCAGTGGAAGCAATTATCTGTAGTAGTCATAGAGTGTTGTTATGTATATATAGAGAAGCAAGGAGAAATATTTCATTTATTGAGAACAACCATTGATAGGCGAACCTAACTATGAAAAGCGGGTAGGTGAGAACAATATGATCATGTCTTGGCCTGTCAATTCAATGACCCTCAAGATTAGTGAGGACTACTCACTCTAAATGATCACCAAGAAGATATGGCGTGCGGAGAAGTGGACATATCTGCCCATGGAAAACGCAGCAACTTCTTTTTATTGCTATGGGCACACCAATCACCCCTTGTGAGATCACACAACTCCAATGATAACTTGGAGCCGTCACCACCCTCATCCTTGGGTTTAGTTGGCAAGAGGGTCGGACACTCTCACAAATGGAGCGGGTTCGATCCCTAAGCTGGTCGAAGCACTGAGAGAGGCATATTCCCAGCTTAGGAAGCTGGGAGTTTCCTTAGGGACAGGCCTAGTGGATCATGAATGAACCTGACTCCTTTCCAAAAATTCTTTTACCAACCAAAAAAAAAAAAAAAAACTTGGAGCCATCACCATTGACGGTGAAGACCCATATTGTGCTGATTGCTGAAAGGACTTGTCTGGATTGCAGAGTTGCTGCACCTGATGCCACATATTTATGGGCAGAATGGATTAGCTTTATTTGATCTGAAATTCTGAATAGAATACACATAGAGGACTATGTTTGACCATATTATCTTGCCTAGAATCATGGAACTATTCAGCAGAAAATAGCTGTAGGGTATCATCTATTTATATAGTCGACCAAATAAATAAATGATAGAATAAAATCAAATAAAATGGGATTATGAGCTTTAAAGTGGATCGGCCAAGATATATATATATATAGAGAGAGAGAGAGAGAGAGATTTGACTCAACATTCTCCAACAAATATATTCGTCTCTCTGAGAGGAACGCCATGATGTGTTTAGAAGAGTTGAGGGTCTCTATTTATTGGCCTAAGACTAGGGGAATTTACAATTATATCGTAAGGCTTAGGGCAAAGTGCAATAGTGTTCCTAGAGGTTAAAATACTCACAACATAGTCAGTAAATAAATTTTTTTTTTTTAAAAAAAACACTTTCAGCTCTATATTGCAATGTATAGAGCTAATGATAATAAAGCAAATTCGTATGGTAATTGGGATTTCAAATTTGCTTTCTGTTTTGGTGGTGCCGACCGTTCTGGTCTATGCCTTGTGCATTTTTCTTCTTCGCCTGCTGATTTAAGTTGATTTTGCAGTTACTGAATGGTCTGGTGGGTTGTATGTTTCTCCAACCATGGCTGGAAGCAGGCCTGGAGGCCTTATTGCTGGGGCTTGGGCAGCAATGATGTCCATTGGGGTAGAAGGTGACAGTCCACAATCTCTGTAGCCTTGGGACGAGAATTTCCTTGCTCCTTTTACTACATATGACGCCTAATGCATGGTTGATTGTCAATCATTGGGTCATTTCATTTTACAGGTTACCTGGAGAATACAAAAGCAATTATGGATGTTTCAAGAAGAATACAGGAGGGGTATACATTCTCTCTCTCTCGCTCTCTGTGTGGTTATGTTGTAGCTTTCATAATAATTGATTGCAGTGTTTCCGCTGTGTACAGCATTGGAGAGATTCCAGAATTATTCATCGTTGGAAGACCTGACATGACAATTGTGGCCTTTGGATCTGATGTTCTGGACATATTTGAAGTCAATGATATCATGTCATCCAGAGGGTGGCATTTGAATGCATTGCAGCGACCGAACAGGTCATGTTTGATCCATGCAACACTGCTGTAATATGGGATATATATTTTGAAAATTTGTCGACCTTAAAGTATTACTTGTTGGATTGTGGTTCTAACTTCAAAGAAACTAAAATTGCTTTCTTTTTCTTTGTGCTTGAATCAGCATTCATATCTGTGTGACGCTGCAGCATTTGGCGGTTGTTGAAGACTTCCTCAGGGATTTAAAGGAATCTGTTATAACCGTAAGTTTTTTACTTGGTGCGTTGTTTTAGGTTTGCTTAAATATTAGTATTTCGTGGGTGCAAGAATGTTCGGATGCATCTCCCAAGTTGCGGTGGGTAGTTTTTCTTTGATAGAAAGGCCGAATGCATTACCCAAATTAGTGCACGGTTAACAACACGATCCAGTACCAACCACACAAACACTGGTAAAAAAACAGATACAAACACAACTCACATCAAGTGGAGGATATGATCGGCACCACTGAATCGTCGAACTGGAACAAAGAAACCATTCTCCATAAATAGCACACGCTCTTCCACCGCCTAAGTGGTGTCCTCCTCTTCGACTGGGAACTGTAGTCATGATAACCAACAGTCCAAGAGTTGTAGGACGTGGTTGGGGGATCATTTTGTGATTTTGACCGTGCTACTGCAAACAAATTAATAATCGGACTAAAATGATCTCTCTTTTAATTTAGCCTCTCAAATGCTTAGCCTCCGTCTGTTTTTATGTGTTTAATGAAAAATAAGATGTATGATATCTATTATTTTACTGTTATCATTACTCAATTTTATTTGGAAAAATCCCAAAAAAATACTTTTAAAATTTCAAAATCTCAAATGAGGAATGATTATAGAAATGTTTTCTCATTTACTTTTCAAATGTTGTCAATTGTTATTGAAGTGTAGTAAATAAAACTGATTTAGAATTTTGAAATTTAAAAGTATTATTTTTTTATTTGGGGATATAAACATTATTTTTTCTTCATAACTATTGTTTTATGTTCTTTTTCATTTTGTATATCAAATGAAATGTAATATAATAATAATTCTAATTATTATTTAATTCATGTTTTAAATCAGCACTAGAACAATTAGTTCAATTGTTACTTTGTTCAATTATTGTGCTTAAAGTTTGATATGATGCTGCTTTCTTGATTTATCTTTTGCTGTTTGCCTATTAATTTTAGTGTTTGGATAAATTTAGGTAAAAGAAAATCCTGGTCCAGTAAGTGGAGGGTTAGCACCTATATATGGTGCGGCAGGCAAGATGCCTGATAGAGGTATGGTAGAGGAATTGCTGGTGGATTTCATGGACGGTACCTGCTAGCTTGCAAGTGTGCCTAAAACTTGAATTTGGTTGTATGTTTCCATTTCTCAATTGTACCAGAATTTTGTGGCACCTGCAGGCAATGTAGACGATTAAGATACTATCTGTTAAATCTTTTAAAGCCAACTTTTGTTTTTGGGGCCAAACCTTTTAAACCCAATTTAAAGACGTTTTTTCATACATTGTCCCGGGTTTAATGAACAAATTAAGGTATTTATAGGTTCATATAAATTTTGTTGGGCATGTAGACACTTTCTTATATACTCCTCCGGTCCTTAATATAGGACTCAATTTTTGAGTTGATTTTGGTCCTAAATATAAGACCCATTTCTTATATTTATCAATTTTTTCTAAATTACCCCTATAGATACTCCTTCAACCATAATCAAATAGAAGAGGGAAAAGGGGTATTAAAAAAGATGATTATGGTATTTTAGGAAAAATATGTCACTTTTCTTATAATTAACTAACTTACCTAACTTCCTTAACCTAATCAAATTAGTTAAATGGGTCTTATATTAAGGACCGGAGGAGTATTATATACGGGAAAATAGGATGTGAATATTGAACAGTATAGCTTGTTATAAATTTATAATAATCAAGTATATTTTTAGTCATTTAACTTTTGTTTAAGTTTTTAATTTCTTTCCTTAACTTTAAAAAGTACTATATTATAGTCTTTTGACTCTAAAATCATTAACAAAAAATAATGATATCGAGATCTTAAATTTTGATAAAATATTTTGAAATATTAACATTTTATCTCAGATTCTTAATATAAAAGCTAATTAAAAGGTTGGATTTAATTATAAATATAATATTTTAATTTATTTTGTTTTTCAAATCTATAATTTTTTTCTTTAAATTATCCTTATTGATTGGAAGGGTTCTAAAGAAGATGGTTGAGGAAAGCTAATATATTTATTACTAATAATTAATTTAATAAATTTTTTTTAATCTTTTTGAATCAGTCTAACTCTTATATAAAAAAATCGAAGGTAGTATTAAGTTTAATTTTTAAAATAAGTGTTAAAGGACAAAAGACATATCTTTTAAATTTAAGGGATTAAGTTAAAAATTTGTATAAAGTTAAATAATTAAACGTACAGTTTAGCTAATTTTATATTATAAACTGATATTTGGATATATCCATATCCATATAATATCATTCATATATTGATATAAAATATAAAACATGCATGGTTTGTGAATTTTGAGAAGTGCAATTCAATTTTTTAAATTTCGTATGTTGTAAAAAAATGTCTGATTAAAATATAAAAAGATTAAAATGAGAATGAATATTAAAAAATATTTGGTTTTAGTTCTGATTTGTCAAACATATTTTATTTTTTGAATACTATTAATTGATATAAAATATAAAATTGACAATAAATAGTTATAATCACAAGTCATGAACACCTAGTTCAATTTCAAAATTTCGTGCAGTATATAAAAAATATATATATATATATATATCTAAGTTTATGGAGAAACTTGAGTCAAACACAAAATCATTTTTCTAATTGCCCTTTCGGAAAAATAAACCTTTTTATGGGCTTAGTAGTTATTGATTCGACTATATTTAAAAATGAATAGGATAAGGTAAGATGATCAAAACGACATCCCATCAATTTTTTTTCCAAAATAAAAGTCAATTTTTAGATTAATTTTCATATCCCAATGTTCAAGGACTTAAGTTGAGAGCATAATGTTTAATGGGGTAATGTATGTTTTAAGTCATGTTTAAGATTCACTAAATCATGGAGGTATTTAGAAGTGTTATTTTTAGCAAAGAGATAAATTGTGTACCCAAACTGACCAGTTCTAGTTGGTGAATTGGCTTAAAAATACAACAACAAAAAATTAAAAAGAAAAAAGGAAATCAACGGTCTAAATGGTTTAGTTGGTGGGAAGAAAAACCAATGAAGATCTAAGAAGAAATATCAAAGATTAGGAAGAGGATTGAAGAAAAAAGAAGAATGAAGAGGTAGAAGAGAGAATCGAAGGACGTTTGAACATAAATGGCAAAAAAAATTAATAAAGAAAAACAAGAATGAAGAAACAAAAGAAAGAAGAAGATTGTGGAAGTTGTTGGAAATTGTGCCCTAGGGGCCAATCATTATGTTTTGAATATTGTTAATTTATGAATTTATTAATTACGTTATCATATTATTTGCATGTTTACTGTGATGACTATCCTTGGATAACTCATGGTTTATCCTAAATATCCCTGGTCGGTCATCTATGTGGGAGCAAAGATGAAATAAGACCAGTATGACTTTAAAGATATATAGAGATATAAATTAAAGTCATAGGCACATGTAAGAGTATAAGGTGTTGGACCGACCCGCTATGAGAGAGTTGCATGGGTTAAGTCATAAGCTTCTCTCATATACAAACCATGTCACTGTGTCCTTTGACCTGAGATCATCATGAATTCATATATGAGAAACGCTTAGCTTTGACCTAGTCAAAAGTCACTTTTGACCGAGTGATCATAAAGACTATGTTCAGGCTTAGTGGTTTTTTTCATGCGGAGGAATGTGAATGGTCAAGATGGAATTTGTCCCTCACATTCGTAGAGAGACATTACTGGGCCCCTCGATGAGTGAGTCTGAGAAATGTATGGCCATACTATAATAGAAAGGTAGTTCCGTTTCTATACTTAGACTACTCAGGGATCGAGAAAGTAACGGTCATGAATAGGAGGATGACGTTCTCCATGCCTCATCCATGACCAAAATGTCGTGTGACAAAAGGGACGTGATATGGTTGTATGAAAGGTTACATCGTTCAACGATCCTCATATGATTTGGGTAGTCGTGATGTCTTGCTAGAGACCGCTTACGACTTGTGAGTCATTATAGTTAATGGCCCACTGCCAACTTCATATGGGCCTACAGGGTCGCACACAAAATAGCCCAACACGAGTTATGATGTCCAGATTCATTGAATCTAAAATATGTCCAGATTCAATGAATAATATAGGGTGGACGTGTATATATATATAAATTCGTATATATATATATTATATAAATATAAGAGATATTAATTGTTAGATTTAATTTATAAGGATAAATTAAATATATATAAATTAATTCCGTCATCTCTTTATTAAATAAATAGGTGAATTAAATCTGTGAGACGGATTTAATTTAAACCATATTTATTTAATTGTTCTCTTATCTGATTAGGCAATATTTGATATTGTATTAATTTCGGAATTAATTTAGAGTTAATTTCGAAATTAAATATTATTCATTAAACCTATAGCATCCTATATATTTGATATGAGGAGCTAGGGTTTTAAGCGTGAGAGTACCAACAGATAAGAGACGGCCTAAGAGAGATAAGAGTGGACGGATTCTCTGAAAACCCTAGACGAACATAGACGCTAGCACGTCGTTCGAGGTTGAGGGCTACTCGTGTGGATACCGGTAGAGGAAGCCGACCGGAGTTGTCGACTTCGAACGACAAAGGAGGCAAGCAGAAGCATCCTGAACGGCCGAATCATCGAGTCACCAGGAAATCGAACACCGAAGGTAATGCTTCTTACTACCTGACTTAAACGCGATCGGTAGATCCGAGCAAAGGATTGAAAGTTTTAAAATTTTAAGTTTTTCCGCTGCGCGTCATCTTTCAATTCCCTTCAGAAGTTGTAGATAAATAATAAAGAAGAAGATTGTGGAAGCTGCAGATAAATAATAGAGTCTATAAACAAAGAAAGAAGGAAGAAAGAAGACTACTGGAAAAAAGAATACCGCGTGTTAATTACCTTATTTCTAATTGAAATATCTCATTTCTTCTCAAATATGTAATGCCCTTATTCAATATATTGTCCACGCTCACAATGTCCCCTAATTCACGCTCTCCCCCAAGTCAACCAAAACATAAATTGCATTCAAAATGAAAGCTGAGTTCTGCCCTTCTAGGTTGCTAAGCCCACAGCTACCATTTTGTTTTGGTTGGCACAGCTGATTCCATTTCATGTGATGCATACCTTTTTTCTGCTCAGTGTCTCCCCAGATAAAATTTCGAATGAGAGCCTTAATGCGATTGGAAGTGAGTAAGGGTAGCTTTGTTGATTGCATGGCATAGAGTAGCTGATAAGTCTCATATTTTACATATATTTCTTAGTCTAAACTTATGCTTTTGTGGCTTTTAATTGTGTAATTTGGATTAAGATACAGGTTATTGTGCATCGAGGGTATAAGAGTCAATTGTGTGCTTCTATATAATAATTCCTGAGTTTTATTTATTTATTGGCTCTTATGTATCCCACATATCCTAGAATAGATGACTATGAGCTTAATTTGAATATTATAGGTGATTAGAGAATTGAAGGAACATTGGAAGAAGGCAGACCTCACTTCATCGCGGCCAACTATGGGCTTCATTGCGGTAAACTTTCGTTATGAAGGAAACAACATCACTTATTCATATGGCGTCGTTTTGACTTCGCCGCGGGGAAGATGTGAAAATTTCCAGATTTAAATCCAAAACGAGCGCCAGTTTTGGATTCCACAATTTTTGATTTTTGGCTTCATTTTCTCCATTTAGAGCTCTCTCATTTCATCTCTCTTCACCTCCTTACCATTCTCTATCATCAATTCATCATTTTTATTCCAAATCTTCTATTTTCTACTGATTATTCTCCTCCATTCTCCTTCAGATCGTTGCTGCTATGGCCATTGAAGTTGTTGAATGTGGTGAAGCCATGATTTCAGTGATAAGAGGCTAGATCTTGATTTCTTGATGTTTAATAAAGCCAATCTGAGTTCCTAAAACTACAATTGGGAGTTTTTTCCACCTTAATCTTAGTTTCACTCTCTACATTCATAGATTATAGTTTCTAAGGTTTAGATTTGTGATTTGGATTGTATTCCGCACTCTAATTAATTGATTAAATTGGTATTTTCTTCTGTTATATTGGTTCTTTCTTCTTAAGTGTTTGAATCTCTTGATTGACCAGTTAGGTTTCTAATATTGTTAATTAAGAGAGTAAAATACCTTTTGCAAAGCATGATCCATGTTAGGCATTTAGATGAGTTTGATGAGTTAGGGTTCGAGCTTACTGAATTCATTATTTATAGAAGGTATTCGCAAATCAAGTCTAATAAAAGAAGTGAAACTCAATCAAGAGAAGAACTAGGATGATTGGTGGATTTGATTATCAAGGATAATTCATACATTGCATTCATCTCATTCATTAAATACAAAAATTACAAAGAGTTTTGATAGTTTTACTTTTGATTTTGGTATAGTTACTAGTTACACAAACACTTCATACATTATACTTGGTTAATTTGATATTTGTGATAGATTACTAAGACATTCATAGATTCCTCAAGAGATTGACATCTAGGTTAGTGCCACTTTATTGCATTTTACTTTTGCATGTAGCAGGGGAAACCCCTGGGTATTTACTAAGGTTATTAGTCTTCTTATATCCTAATTGATCACAAATAGAGCTCGCTTCCTGTCCAGGTACACTATGGGAGAAGTAAATTCTCATTTTTGCCTCGCTGACTTTTTTATTGATGGGAGAACTCAATTACTACTCCGGTCCAAATATAAGACTCATTTTTGTGTAATTTATACTATAAAAGGGGTCTTGTATTTAGGACTAAAAGAGTATAACATAATCTGGCCATTACACCTCGAATCAAATAATAGCCGCGGACTAGAAAGAAATGTGTGCTTTTTTTTTTGTCCTTTGGGTTGAAAAACATAGAATGACATCAAATAGACGTAATTTCTTAAATACAATAAAGTCCTTTATGAGGCATTGAAAAATGATAGGTAGGAATTGAGATTGAAATGGAGAAAATATATTCAAACAGTATTTAGCATAAACCATTGTTTGTTACCAAATCATCCGTGATCCAATTTTTAATACTTCGATTGATAGCAAATCCGGTGGCACTGGACCTTTATTTATATTAAAGAGATATTGGTCAACAGCAATCATGGCTGTGCTGGGGGAACGTATGATCTACCTTTTGCCCGCTAAAGAGTACAGGGTTCAGACGAGTTGCTGTGGGATCTGATTCTCTTTCTGTTGTTGCTCTGCTGAATGAATTCTTTGTAAATAGGAACGCAAAGAACAGGTTCCTCGAACAGATACAGAAGATTGCTGATGATAGTTGGAATAAGATTAGAATATACTGGAGTTTAACATAGAAACCTGGCTTATAGAGTTACAGCTGTTATATGATCCTCCGAATGGATTACGTGAGTTTCTGTATGGAGATGTAGTGTTAATAGCTTGCCTAAGACTTGTTACTATGAAATGGGTAATGAATTGCGCTTGAAATCCCATTTTGCACAAAAAGAAAGGGGGCTATTGGTGAAGAGATGACATACAACTAACATGGTGAGAGTGGCTCAACAAGTTATTGAGCCCAAGCTAGCTTAACAGCAAGAAGCCATAATTATAGACGAGCTGCTACTGTTACGCGCGCACATACAAAAAGGATGCTGACAAAAGCAAAAATAAAGCAAAGGCGAGGTGCTTCTTTTAGTTACAAGAGAAATACTACCTAGGAGCGGAAATGAAAGACTGAACCCTCCTAAATCAGTTAACTCTCCATGAAACCTCGCAAATATTGATGGTACAATCCTAACACTTGTGTATTTAAATTAAATTATAACAAATGAATTCTTGCTGATAAAAAATTGTAAAATAAACGGAAATAAATCTAAACTATTAAAATTTGATAACAGCAAGTACAATTAAAAAAAATTTAAAAATTTAAAAATTTTCATAAAATATTAAATTTGGACTCTCTAAATTTAATTAGACAATTTAGATGCAAAGTAAAGAGTTTGTGGATATTAGAACTTAGAATGGGGAGGGAGAAACCACGGACTTGCCATGAAGTCAGAGTTGCATTTTTTTGTCTTTGAGCTGTGCTTCTTATCTATATTTTTTAGGAAAAATAAAAGAATTGGAACAACTGTCACAAAAAAAAAAAAAGTTAAATGGCATTTTTGTTCTTAAACTTTTCGCACAAGAATATTGAGTACTACTCCGATCCTTATGAGATATAGTTTCATGTGATATAATGTTAGCTTCAAACTTAAAAAACCTTTGCAATGATGCCTTCACCTTTTAAAAAAGAGCAAATATCCATTGAAAGCAAGTATAAATAAACATGTGGGCCTCACACTATACAATTAACAGAATCTGCCATTGCAGTGTTTCTAAGGGGGTGTTTGGATAGAAACTAAATTATGATTTCAGAAGTGCTTTTACGATTTACGTAGTAAATATGTGGAGGAGTTTGTCTTGTTTTGCAGAAAAGTGCTTCTGAGAAGCACTTTAATAGTGTGTGTCTTTAGGATATAAATTGTGTGCGACAATAATTTTTAAAAAATCCAAAAGATAATGAAAACAAATAGGGTCGGCCTAAAATTTTATCTGTGTTCGTAGAAGAAAACGATGTCCTATTGGTGCACCGATGCAGCAGCAGAATCATGGATAAACCAATACCAGTAACATAGCTGCCAACAGCATCCCACCTAATCCGGAGTGACTATTGCCACTGGGTATACGATACGGATAAAGTTACCCAATACCCTTCTATCTTGGATCAGTTTCAAGTGACGTTGCGGGCTGGCAGTTAACTTTTTGAAGATGCTCTTGCTGTGCCAGGATTGCTTCCCCCTGGTGGCGGAACATACAGCATTAGCCTCATCGTCTCTCAATCTCAACCGATCCAACAAAAGTTCTCACGCCAAAGAAAGACCCCGAAATTAGTGCATGCTGAGACTAAAAAGTCTAAAAACTTAAAAAAAAAAGTCAGTTGCGATTCTAAAAATTATAATTAGATGAAAATAAGTTTGATGGCCAAAACTTTCTATTTTTGGGCCACCCCCAAAACTTGCTTCAAAATTAAATTAAACTTTTCTAACTTTTTTAATTTTTGGCCTTTCTTCATATTTAAAACTCTTGAAAGTGACTTTTTAACATATAATGCAAACAAGTTTGTATCAAACTTTTTTTATAAAAAACTTATCCAAACATAAGTCACACATACTAAACATGAACTTAAGTGGCGAACTTCGCAGTCTTAAAACAGAATTCCTTTAACGGTGAAAAAAATTCCACCATCAATTGACTGAGAGAGATACTTAAACTATTATAAATACAAATAAATAAATTTAAAATGTTAAAATTTGATTTAAGTAGTTCAAACCCATAGTATAGCAAGTAATTTATAAAAAATTTTAATAGTAACTTTATAAAATATTACATCCGAACAATTCATTTTTTTAATATACGAGTGGAGAAGAAATTTTGAAAAGAAAAGGAGAAAGGATACTGTAAAGATCCTGATTCATATCGGGCTGATGTTATTGAGGAGACTAGAGTGCTTTTGGGCAGAGTAGAATGTTAATATTCGTACAAGTAGAGGAATTGTCAAGTGTGATGATGCCTTAGCTAAATGGGCTCAAAGCAATGATGCAAGGCTGTTGAACCCGTCATCATGCCCGACCTTGACTTAGGAAGGTGGCGGATGGTGAAACGATAGGTAGCACAATGAGGAAATTCTGTAATTTCTTTTGTTTTTAATATATGCACCTTTTTCATTCGAAATAGAAAGAAGAGACAAACATAATAAGCCCATACGGGGATCTCCATAATGATGCAGAGATGTTCAAGATCCCGTTTACCTGATAATATGTATGCCCACAAGGAAAGCCGAACCACCATTTACTTGCAATAACTAAAACAATTTGACAATAAATCTTGTACAAACTATCCTCATAAGTCCGTCGCTATCCAAGGCCATTCAGATTGGAAATTTCCTAAACTATAATTCCGCTAGAATAAAGATGGCCACATAAAGTTTCCAGTTTAACATGTAGATTAAACAAAAAAATAATAAAACAAAAGCACTGCACTCAAGACTAATCAACTAAATTTCAAAGTGCAACTTCTGGTTTTGGGACAACAAACTAATCAGAAGCTGAGTGCGACTAACGGATGTTTTTCAAGCTATTGGAAGCTCACCCGAGTCAATGATAACCACCTTCTTCCTTGGACGGTCACCTCGATCCGTATCCTGTGATTCAATTAACCTAACAATGTCCATGCCTTCCAAAACTTGGCCAAATACTACATGCCTTTGATCCAGCCAGGGGGTCTGTAAAACACGTAAATTAAGTCAAGAGAAGGGATCATAAGCAATGTCCCATTAATTTACAGCACGTTAAAGTTCTAATTTGGGAAACTGTTTCATTAATAATAGGGTGGTACTTTGATCATGATTATCAAATTCAGAACCGGGCATCTCAAATGCTAATCCTCGAGTAAACTTCATGGTCTTTCATAACTGAACAAAGAAATGCACAAAATAAAACGCAAAAGTTGGACGAGATTGCAGAACAGGCTGACCAGTCACACCATCATTAGTAGAGGGTGACAACATGGCTTCATATCAATTGAAACCCCAGAGTTTCAAACTTGCACAGAATCCCCATAAATCTCTCTGGTTTCTTTTGTTTTCTTTCGAGGTGTACGAAGATGATTATAAAACTTCTGCTTACTTTCTGACCATAATAAGCATGGGGAGTAAAAGCAAGGTACGGAAAACCGGACCGGCAATTGAACCGGACAAGGCAATGGGTCAAGAGTCAATGGATCAGACCGGAGTCAAACCAGGAGTCAAACAGGTGAGAAATAAAAAAATAAAAAATAATTTAAATGTTCACTAAGAATTAGATATCAATTTAATATCTTGAATTACTAGTAAAATAATTACATTCTTATAATTTCTTATAATATCATACTACTAAAATCACTAAATATTCATCCCAACAAAATATCAAAATGGATATATGATAATAAAATATTTCTCCTTATAATTACTCAATCACTAAGTCCTAATTATCAACAGCTTTTTAAAAAAAATCATCAAAATATTTTTTTTTTTTAAAGGGAGACCGGGTTGATCCACCAAACCGGGCGGGTCACCCCGGTTCAGTCGGGTCATACCGGTCACACAGTAACCCGGTTTACAGCTTAATCGGACCGGTTTCCTGGCCGGTTCGCCGGTTTCCGGTCTGAACCGGCCGATCCGGTCCGGTTTTCAATACAATGAGTAAAAGATTACCCATCTGACAATAAAAATATTGAAGAGCACAGAAAGATACCTTGACAGTGCATATAAAAAATTGACTCCCATTGGTGTTGGGCCCTGCATTTGCCATGCTAACAACTCCTGGTCCTACATGAGACACTACAAATGTTCTAAATATCAGTACTATATTTACGAAGGTGTTTTCAATAGAATTGCATGATGAAAACAAAAGAAAAATTCACTAATCATAATGGCATAATATCATGCTATAAACTTATGGAGGAAATTGAGTAAAAAGGTAAAAGAAAAAAGAGAGATCAAAATCATATTCACTAAACAATGTAAATAAGATTGACCCCAAGCTGCACTTATACTACAGCTGCATCACTGCTCTTTCATTTTACTTTCGAAGCACTATAAGTAATTTTCTTCTTTAAAATCACGAGTTCGTAACACTTACCTAATTATACATTGTTTTCTGAATTCATCGACAAAAATTCCTCTAAGAGAAACTGATACAACTGCATCGCCACTCTTTCCCTTTACTTTCAATGCATTACAACTAAATTTCTTCTTTCATAACAGAAGTTCATAACACCTAATTATACATTATTTTCTCAAATTACTCGGCAAAAATTTCTCTAAGATAAATTGATACATCGATCACATTATGCACCCCCTTCATTTTCTACGTAGCTAGGCCAGTTCTTATGGTGCAGCATCATTATGCGTAGAAAGCAAGAGCTACTAAAGACATAAACTTGGCTAAACTCACACTTGAAATTCTCATCTTTGAAAGTGCGGCCATAAATACTTTTACCTCCAGTTCCCTGCAATAGTTTCCAGAACTCAAGGATCAGAGTAATAAAGCAGCAAGTTCATGATATTAAAAAGGAAAAAAGAATCTTTAAATAATATCAAAACATTAGGTTTGAACTCAGAAGAACAAAACACACAATGCATCATGGACATCTCCAGTCAAGTGTCAAAATTTATGGAAAAATGATAGAACAAGAATGAGCCTTTCCCCCCTATATCTTACACATCAATTAGAGGGAATCTCAGCTTTTGCTTGTAAATAATACACGCTAGAGAGGGTATCAACAGACACATAAATTTTAGGAACTTAAAAGAGAGTTAGCATTACATATGCCCTGCAAATCTGTGAGACAGAATATCTAAAACACGTAAAATATAGATCTCACATATAGAGATTAGAGACAGCTAAAAGGAGAAAGTTACTCCCATAACAGCCTAAAGTCAACAAGACCAAAAGCCATATCAATGTGGCCTCCATACATGTGATTTCTCTGGCCACTTGACTGATAAAAGATACCATTATTTAACATCCTTGACTGAGTCTAAAACACGGCTACTGCATCCATTTTTACAGCATCCCCACACTTGCCGATCACACTGGTTTGCAAAAGAAAGTTGACTTTGGCAACCCATGTGGAAGATCAATTGTTACTACATGACCTTGACAGCAGAGTACGAGAGCTATTCCAGGAAGTGGTATACATATATAGAAGTACCCCTGGAAATCATATAGCAGGTCTGTCTTGAGCCATAGAACTCATGCACCTCGTCATGCAATGAATCAGCCCAACCCAATGTATGTTAACCCCCCCCCCCCCAAAAAAAAAAAGAAGCATCAAAGCTAATAACAAAAAATGCATAATAAAAAAGGAAATGCAAAAAAGTCAAATGCCATTCCAGTCCCTTATAACTATTCCCAAGTGTACATCAAAACTGAGCGGAAGTGTCTGGGGCAATAAACCACAGATCTTGGTCAGTAATTCCACGAACATAAGAAGTGAGAACAGTACTCACATTCCCCTTGTCAAAGTCCCCTCCCTGAATCATGAAATCCTTTATCACACGATGAAATGTAGAATCTTTGTACCCAAAGCCTTTCTCTCCTAAGAAAAAGTTGCAGTAATGAAAAAATCAGGATTTTGTTAAGACTTATCAAAGTGAACCAGACAGAATATTAGAACCAATGAAGCAGTTTATCAAATGATTTACACAACCTGTGCAAAGTGCACGAAAGTTCTCTACTGTTTGGGGCACATCATCACCATAGAGTCCAATCACAACCCTTCCAGCAAGCTTTCCCACGGGATTTCCAATACTTATGTCAAAATACACCTTGTGAGTAATTTTTGATTGTAAAGGTACTTCCTAAAAATAAACAAAATACAAGGCAAGTTAAGCTGATGGTGATAGATATAGTAGCCGGAGCTGAGCTATTTAAGCTTTGGAAAATACAATGGTCTACATTTGATAGCCCTAGCTCGGGGATAGCTAGTCTGAGAAGTATAAGATTCCAAGCAGATAAGACTTTAAAAATTCAATTACTGCCAGAAGAAAGACAACTCAAAACCACAAACCTACAATGACTTCGATTTGCCCTCGTATATAGCCAGTGCTGGTTATTTATTCTGAATTTTAACAGAATTAACAGTCCCCTAGGAGCCATAATAGTAATGACAATAAAAGGAAGCGATAATAAAAACGCCTCACCTCAGAACTGGCCCGAACCAAGCTGGTAAAACGCGTTCTTTCTTGAGAAGAAGCATTCCAAGAAGAGGTGTGAGTCACCAAACGCAACGAACCGGCAAAGGCGCTCAGTGAGGAGCATATATGCGATCGCGTAGGAAATCCCGTGAGCTTAAATGAACTCGCACTATTCTTATGATACATAGCTCTGATCTGAGTACCGCTTCGTGGACTCGGCAAAGACCGGACATTTGACTGCGCCAAGAGCCCGGGAGATTAAAAACGAGTAAAAGGTGAATAAAACTAAGGATTATAAAGCGTTATCATTTTTTCTATTACATGGGTATGAGGAAAATTGCAAAGGACAAGCGAAACTTAGCATGCTATTAATAGAAGAGCCAGCGGTGCCCAATGTAACAAATTAATAGTAGTAATAATAATGGATAATGGAAGGCACAGTTAGGGGGAAACATTTCCCGGTGATTTCAAGATTTTCTCGAGAAGATGAGGAAGAGTAAGGGGTTTACCACCGTTGAAAAAGCAGCCGCCATAGATGAAGAGGTATGCAGGACGGCGGCGTCTCCCCTTCCAGGCTGCAGATGATATCTTGGATAGGGGGATGGTACAGGGAAAATGAGACGGAAGACCCAGAATTAGAAAGGGTCCGATAGCAAAAAATATTTTTTTTAAATTTTAAAAAATCGGGAAAGTCATAGGTCCTAAAGATTAATTTAATAACGGTTATTTTTTTTGCAAGAAAAATTAAAATATGTTTCAGATATTAACATACGGGAAAATTGGTCATAAATACTCAATTCTTGAAAATTTATTCAGAGAATGGGATCTGACATGGTAAAAATGGGGGAGGTGCTCCAATATAAGTAATGTGATGTGACAAAGACCAAATTATCCTTTGTGAAGGGTTTTCTTATTTGATAACGCTACTTCCACATTATAAAAAGCTAATAATTGGATTTTAAAGAAGATAATTGTATATTGATTTATACTGTACGCTTGGGAAGGTAATTGGACATTCGAGAAAATTAGTTGCACCTTATAAAAGCTAATTGCATGCTCATGCTGGTTTTAGGAATGTAGTTGAATATTCAAACATGACGCTTGCACATCATGGAGCTTGTTACATATTCAGGGGAGCCACTTGTGCATTATGAAAGTTAATTGTGTCGTGAAAAAACCTGGTTGCATATTGGTTATGGGGAACTTGAGCATTACGGAAACTAATTGTATTTTTGGACAGGTGTATGCATATTTGGAAACTTCACTGCATGCACATTCGAGGAGATCACCTGCACATTATGCAAGCTGGCCAGGTGCGTCTTACGCAAGTTAACTTTACATTGGTTCAAGGAAGATAAATTGCATATTTAGAGAGGCCACTTGGAGAAAAATCTATCTATTCAGGCATTTGCATAAAAGTTACACCATGTTGTCAATTTTCACAAGAGTACATAAAGGTCCCTTGACACTTTGAATATGATTACTACATCTGATTGTTAATATAAGAGCTAATTAACTCATTAGAGTATATTAAGAAAATTAAGTTAATTATTTGTAATAAATAAGTATTGGCTTCCCTAAAATATCTCTACTAATCAAGTGTATTAGTTAGAATTATCATTACTACAAGGACAACTTAAAAAAAAAAAAGATAAATATTACCTCGGGTCCTTAATATAAGAGCTAGTAATTAACTAATTTGAGTAAATTAAAAAAATTAGTTAATTTCATTATTTGTATTAAATAGGTGTTGTCTTTCCTAAAATACTATTACTAATCAAATGTATTAGCTAGAACTACTTTATTACAAGAACTATCTTGAAAAAAATAAATAAATATAAGAGATAAAGTAGATTGGGATCTTATATTTAGGATCAAAGTAAAAGTTAAACTAGTTCTTATATTAAAGATTAGCGGTAATATAAAAAACAAAGTGGATTGGAGTCTTATATCTATAATTAAAATAAAAGTCAAACTAACTTTTATATTAAGAACTACAAGTATTAGTGGGCAAGTATATGAACCATTATTGCCCAAAATGCAATTAGCTTTCACAATATGCAAGTGACCTCCGCCTTCTCGAATATTCAATATAAACTAACATGCAATTACCTTCTCGAAGGTGTAATTAACTTTCATAATTTGCAAGTAGCTTCTTTCCAATATAAAATCTTTCTCCAACTCACGCACTTTCACAATGCGAGGTTTGATTCGCTAAACAAATTTCATTGATCGGTCCTCGCATTGAGACTCTCGGACGTGATACATGTGGCCCTGGTTGCAACTTTTGGCCCAGCCATTTGTTTCCAAAAAACTAAATTTATAATTTAAAATCTCTTTTATATATAACCTGATACAAATATTAAATATTTCATTTTTATACATGATAAAATAAATTTAAAAGTATAACCCCTTCTATAAAAATCATTATTCATTAATCTACTCAAGTTTTTTGGTCAACCAAAAAAATTATAATTCCCTCTCAGTGGTGGTCATCAACTAAGAAAAAGGGACTTCGAACCGCAATGATTGTCAGAACACAAGACATCTATTAAACACTAACATGAACTTGAGGACATATGTTATAGCATGTTAATTTAATGTAAATTGAGCGTAGTAGTATTTGCGGGGAATTGATGGAGGAAGGATGTTATACATATGCACGAGATTACATCACACACGCGCACACACGTGTATGTACATGTTTATACAGACAAATTGGGAAGAAAGCACGGGATTTAGTGGAGAGAGTCGCAAGGCACATGGATCTTGAGATTCAAAATATTCGGTGCATGAAAAGGAAGAGAGGAGCTGTGTGGTTTATGCAGCGTGACATGGGGACGCATGAAAAACACAAACTCATCGGGCACGTGAAAGCAAGTTTTCATCAACAATGGCTAACAGGAAGGGGATGACAGGTAAGAGTATTATTGGCGGGGTGGGGGGTGCAGTGTTAACAGGGATGGCGCTGTTGATATGGAGCGTGACGGGAAGGTCCGATGAGAGCTGGTGCTCGCTCGATCCCACCAGAAAAAGACCGCGAGTCGGGGAGGATTACACCCCAACCTCCACCCAACTGCGTGCATTGCTCCACTACGCCACCTCCCCCCATATACCTCAACAGTCCCTTGCTGAGATTACCCTCACCTTCCGTGTTCTCAAATCCATGGCTCGCCCCTCCAACATTCTGGTGTTCGGCCTCGGTCACGACTCTCTTATGTGGGACTCTTTCAATTCGGGTGGCACCACCCTCTTCCTAGAGGAAGACCCTAAATGGGTGCAAATGGTGCTGAAGGACGCTCCTGGCCTCCGCGCCCACACCCTCCAGTATCATACCCCACTCCGCCAAGCCGGCCCTCTCCTCTCCTCCTATCGCTCTGAGCCTGCATGTTCCCCCTCCCTCCCCTACCTCCGCGGCAACCATCGTTGTAAGCTCGCTCTTAGCAATCTCCCCGATGAGGTCTACGATCAAGACTGGGACTTGATAATCATTGACACTCCCGGCCGGATGGCTGCCATCTTTTCTGCTGCTGTCATGGCCCGTACCCGCAGGGCCTCTGGCGCCACCCATATCGTCCTCCACGACGTTGATCGCGAGGCTGTCAAGGTTTACGCCTACGAGTTCCTTTGTAGCTACAACTTGGTCAATGCTGTTGGCAAGCTTTGGCATTTTCAGATCCCCCCTAACCTCGCCCATCACCCCCCTCCATCCCGTTTTTGCTAGTCCCTTCCCATAACCATTCCATCATTAATTAGTAGCACTGTCCTGCACGTAATTTAAATCATTTTAGCCCCTTTTATATAATTTTCCCCATACCCATCTTCAATCCATTATTGAATATACTTGAGCTTCATCGTATATTTATTGTTAGTTCTATGTCTTAATTCAAATTTCTCCATATTGAGTTGTCTATATTGACTATTTTTAGTTAACTTGTTTATCAGAGAGGAGTTTTCTTGCACTCGTTTCGCATGTTGCATGTACAAGCATCTTTTCAAATAATTTAGGCCAATTTTAATATGCCTTATCTGCAGGACAAATCTCTTTTTTTTTTCCCCGCCAACTTGCAGGACAAATCAATCCACTAGAAATTTTTATGTGTACCTCCCTCTTTGTATAAATAAAAGAGGGTGGTATTTTGGTTTATGATATATATATAAATTTCAGGGAAAATAACCCGCAGATCCTTATTATACTATTAATAAAATTATTTTGTTTTAAAATTTGCCAAGTGGATTAAACAATTATTTACCTAAAATTATTAAAATTATCCACCTAAAAATTAAATTAAATAAATATTTGCCTAAAATCATCTAAAGCGATCGTCTTCCATCACCTTCACACTTGCCCTGGGCAATGATGAGTGATACCGAAATATAAAGCATCATCCTTTATCAACCTTTCAGGATTGATCTGATTCAGAACCTCTCTTCTTTCCTTCCTAGTTCCTATTTTATTCCATTCTTTTTTTAAATATTGGATTAATATATTTTAATGGTTCATATTTTAATTTTTTATATACTATTTATTACAAAAATTTAAGTATACTTAGTGCATTTGCCAAACATTAGAATTAAATTCTAATATAGTTTGTAATTTATCATTTATTTATTTTTATAATTTAATATTTTAATAATAGTCTTAAAAAGGTTTAAATCTTAACCGTTGAAATATTAATCTAAGGATTAGAAAAAGAAAAAGAAGAGAAGAGGAGGAGGAGAAAAGAGTAGAGGTTCTAAAAATTGATTAGGTTTGAAGGGTTTGTTCCTAAAAAGGAGCAAGAGAGATAAGACATTGCTAGTTTTACCTCCTCTTGGATCAAGAGAAAACTACAAAAGAGAGAAAACTAAAAAGAAAAATGGGAGGAGAAATGAGTTTTTTTCCTGTTTGGATGGGAGAGAAAATGTGGAGAAAAATAAGGTGGCCTCATGTTTCGTTTTCTTTCCAAACTTTCTTTTCATATGCGAAGAGGTTTGGGTTGGGAGGGGGGACGAGATTTTCGTGACTGTTGAGCACCTTCTTGAATTCTTCCTTTCCATATTTGTTTTTTATTATATTTAAAAAATCAGTCACTTTTTATTTTTATCTTAAAGTAATGCTTTTATTAAATAATTTGGTTTTAAAACATAATAATATGAAAAAAAAAATATAAAAAAATAACTTGCTTTTAAATTATTTGATGATGTTAACGTTAGTATATTTTTTCCGTTGCAATATTTAATTTGATTTATTTTTATATATGATATATTTTGATAAGAATATTTTAGTTATTTTAGTATTTCTTTATTTTCTTTCATCCTTATTTTCTCTTGCCTATCTAAGCAAGTAGGATGATAATATTTTTTTTCTAGTTTTTTCTTCTTCCATTTTCTTCTCTCTGAACTTTTCTTCTATGTTAATTGGAATATAATTTGAGCAAAGGACCTTGTGAATAGCTTCAAACCAAGCTCAACGAACTGATCATAGATGATTAATTGTTCGCTCGTAGCATTTTTAATCTCACAATAATGACACTAGGAGTTGTTTGAATTAGGTTTTTTACAATATATAACGCAAGTGTGTGACAAGATTTTTTTTTTGACTTACATAAAAACATATTTTGGCATGTTGTTAGTGTGGGTGGCAGCATCTAAATTCTCCAAAAATTTAGTGGATCTTCCAACTCTTCTATAGTGTTATGCAAATCCTGTTAATGGTAACACCAGCAGAGAAACATTAAATCCAAGTCGTGTCTTATGGACACTGTCCTTAAGAGCTATTCCGCAACTACCGGCAAAACAAAAAGTGGCACTCTCTATGATTAAACGAATTCTTCCTGTAAGAACAGGTGAACAGAACAGCGAAAGATAAAAGAACTCAGTGGAGCAAAACACCAGAGGAGGGAAGAGAGTTGCCCGAAAGCTCAGAGCACGACGATACCCTTTGAACTTCCGTCTCATACCCCTTTTATAGGCTACGGATCACAATACCATTGGGTACATTTAAACGTGCTTAATGATAATTAACTCATAATTAAATGAGCGGTTTCAAGTAGTAATTAACTTATTTAATGACTATTTAAGAAGAATAAAATCTTCAGTTACGAACATTGAAGAGGCATAATTATAATTAAAATTTAGATAGATATTTCTAATAAAGTGCCCAGTACTGCATTTGACTCGTGCACAAAAGGGGTGAGAAGAAATTGCCGGATTTGTCTCCGATGACCCATTGTGCGCATAAGTCCACTCCTCCTCTTGGCCCATTTAGTAGCCCAAGACCACTTATTACTTGGACCCTCACAATCCCAAGTAATGTGGGACTCTTCCTTTGACACACCCACACATAATATTTACAACAATCCCCCACATGTGTCAAAGGAAGTACCTTTAGTTGAGTTACACACATGAGTATAACCATTGTATCTGGTGGTCCTTTGGACTTAAAACCAGACCTAGACCAATAATACTTAGTACATATAGATGTTGGTGGTCCTATGAACTTAAAACCAACACCTCTTAGGCGTATACTAGAGGCATTATTTGTCAGATTATACCCCACATTTTCACTGTTAACGGCGTTTTTACCTATTAAGACGGCCATGGGCGTGCCTGGTGCATAACAAATGCTTTATAGATTTTGCCACGATCTCATAAGAGCGGCCCCACTCCACATTTGTAGTGGTGATTTCATTAAATGTACCTGCAATGAGCACATCATCCCATAGGATTATGAAATCACTAAGAGCTTTTGCTCAGTCTCACTAAAATGCATTCTAGCACTTTTTCATGCCATAGGAAAGGACCAGTATTTTATTTTAGTGCTAGCAAAACTGACAAGTAACTTGTTCTTACCCATTGAACCTTCTTTATGGGATCACCAATCACAAAGGTTGGGTTGTCATCGCTATCAATTTCAAGTGGCTTTAGTCCTATTCCCCTCAACTAATTTGTTCGTTCCGGGAGATTTGTTAATGGATCCACTGGGTCCACTTTTGACCTCACAAAATCAATTGAGATAGTATGTCAAACTATGTGTATTTACATCATTGTTCTCTTTACAATGGCTATTGCCCTTTAACAATCACAATTCATCGACACTAAGTGACAGTTCTGCTTCTGCAACAATATATTTGCTAAGGAATTTTCAATAACTTAGCCTTCAATCACTGCTATAAGTGAATAATTACTAGTGGATTTTTTCATACAACTTGAAATTCAGTTAATATCCGTGTATCTCAATACAACGGGAATCCACCATGCATGATACCAACATTTATGGTACCCCTTAAGTATTTCATTTCCCTCCTCCATATTTAAATATGTATTCATCCTTACAACAAAAGTTACATCACAAAGGTTAATTTAATGCAACAAATTCACAAAATTTTATACATACACAAATTGAGCTACACAGCTACTTCAAACAAAGTGTTAGCATCATAAGGAATATTCACATATTGGTTCTCAAAAACCAAGCTTTTAAAAACATTTCTGTCAAAATCTCATTTCTTTATGATTTTAACATTAAAATCACGTTTGTTCCATTCATGCTTTCATATTAAATTTTGAAGCAGCAAAACATTATAAATAATATTTTATATCCACATTCAATATTCACAATAGTTGTGCATACTCATGCATATTTATGTCAAGATAAATTTTATCCATAAATAATATTATGAAAATTAAAGCACATTTATCTATGTACTAGATAAATGACTAAATTTTCATACCCATATATATAATGCTTGATTTAAGCGACACAGAAAAATTTGATAATTCACAAAATTTGCTCTCAATAGCAAATAACAAAGCCTCTACTTATTTTTTCTTTCAATCTCAACACACATATTGAGATTTCCAAAATGAGACTAACACAATTTGAAATAAATTAAAACATATTTTTCTCCACCAATATTATTTTTGTAAGGTACCCCACATTTTAGGCACTCCCACACTTTCAAATATTCATTTTTATTTACATACCTCATCAATAATAATTCTAATTAAATTAGAATTTGACACCAATATCTCCTCCCATTCTAATTATAAATTAGAATTGAAAATATCATACTAATTTCACAAGGCATCACAACATATTGAATTTAAAGTTTGTTCACAATGCCAAGCTATTGAAATCAACACATTAAAATATGGATACATAGAATATAAAATGTTCCATTCATATAATCAAATATTTTCGTCAAAATTGTTATCACGTAATGTATTTTAAATTCCACTAACAAGTTTAATTGTCCACACAACGGTAATATATTAAAACCCACAAAAGACCACTCAGATGGCATTTATATATAGGGGGTTATGAAACTCATAACATCAATGTTGCAATATATTTTTATATACGAAGCCAATGGCACACTAAAAATGATTATTTAAGGAGAGAAAATGTTGATGGAATTATAGGAGGTTAGCAACTATTCAAACCAATTTAATATGCCCATCAACCGAAAGCAATAAAATCTCAATAAATGGAAGGGATTAAATTCACCGGAATACTCATTAACTAAACCTAATAAAACCCCCAACATTAAGAGTATATATGTATGGAGGTTATGAAACTTAATATAATTAAATAATCTCTTTTAATATAACAATTAACTTCTAGAATTTCTGACAAGATGACCATATATGAAATCACGCCATGAACGCCAATGTTCACATTAATGAATATTTAAGCATAACAGTAATAAAACCTAATAAAGGTAGTAACAGAAGCAATTACATTAAAAGGATAAATGAAACATAATATAGATTCAAAACCTATAAATCCAATCACATTACACTCATGCAACCGATTCATACACATTAACATTTTTCTGTTTCCACATTAATTCCACCCTCAAAATTTATAAACTGGAAATTATGTGATTACTTTAAAATTCATTCGTCATGAATGTCTACGTAACCGAAAGTCATTTTAATTTACGAAAACAGCCCGTGAACTCCATAATCAATCAATTGATACATACTAAATACAAACACCATTTAAAACTGCAGCTTCTACAAATTAGTCCTGCATTGAATTTTGTATATAAAACTCAAATAGATGTTTCCACACAATGTAATGAATTTTCATCAGTAAACAACATCACACTCACAAAAGTTGTTCCTGCTTAAAGAGGAGCAGTACCTGATTGGTGCGATGTGAAGTAAGACTTCTTTTTAAAAGCTAGATTGTCAAAAAGTTAATTCTACTACTATTAGTTTAAATACACCCAATGATGATGGGGGCACGAAAAAGGTGATGGTGCCAAGCAGGGCGTAACACATTGATGGAGGTGAGGAAGAATGGCTGAACAAGGGTAAAGGATAACTTAATAAATACAAATTAAATACAAAGATATTTTTTTGTCCTAAAGGTTCATTTCCTTTACTGTTGGGCAATTCCCATGGTCCGAGGTGAGATTGCTCAACCCCTCATGGTAATGGGAGACCTATGTTCCCAACCTAAAAAGAAAATCCCACTCACTGTTTGACTCATTCGCCCTACTCCTACCAAACAAGGCATGGTTCACATTGCATAGTCCGTTAATTGTGATGGTCATGCCAAGCAGGGCGCAACACATTGACGGAGAGGGGGAAGAATGGCAGAACAAGGGAAAAGGGTAACTTAATAAATACAAATCAAACACAGGGACATTTTTGTCCTAAAAGGTTTGTTGCCGTTACTGTTAGGTGATTCCCATGGTTTGCGGTGAGACTGCTCAACGCTGCAAGGGAGCAAACCAATTCCTAGTAATGAGAGACCCAGGAGATGTTGGTATTGTTCAAAAGTGCTTTTTAAAAATATTTTTTCACAAATCAAAATAAATTTTTTTATATATTTATTTCGCTTGCTGTAAAATCACTTTTAAGACTATAGTTTGGTTTTAAACAAACATCTTCCTATTGTTCCCAACCTAAAAAGACAGTCCCACTCACTGTTTGACTCGTTTGTCCTGCTGCACCCAAACAGAGCATGGTTCACATCGCATAGTCCGTTAATCCGAAGCTGAATCTGAACGTTCGCTCCACGTCTCTTTTAAACAAACATCTTCCTATTGTTCCCAGCCTAAAAAGACAGTCCCACTCACTGTTTGACTCGTTTGTCCTGCTGCACCCAAGCAGGGCATGGTTCACATCGCATAGTCCGTTAATCCGAAGCTGAATCTGAACGTTCGCTCCACATCTCTCTTCTGACATCTCCTTCTGGTGCTTCTCGCGGGGAGCGCATCTAGGGTTTTAATACTCGTTGGTAGTGTTTCCAGGGTAATTTAGAAGCAGTCTCGGTAGCGAATAGATGGCGTGCGTATACATACCGGTGCAGAATTCCGAGGAGGAGGTAAGGGTTGCTCTGGATCAGCTCCCCAAGGATGCTTCTGATATCCTCGACATTCTCAAGGCGGAACAAGCTCCTCTCGATCTTTGGCTTATCATCGCGGTATGTTGCTTGCTTAAAATTACTTGTACCCTTTACCTCAAGTTCAAAATTATAGTTGCAAGTCCAACCGAGCTGAAATACTGCAACTTCTAGTGTGTCTTGGAATTTAAATAAACGCATGTCTCCTAAATTAGTCTCCAGACTTGCTAGTTCTTTCTACGCTTCTTTTTCCTTCCTTTCCTGGAAACACACGTAAGCATTTACAAGGGACGAATTCCTAATCTGGGTGCCCGGTGTTGCGAGGTTGAGGATATAGCTGGTAAATAGTTGTTCATTTCTACACAAGTTTCTGAAGATGACTTCGTCTGATTGTTTTTATTTATAAACCGGAACGGGTCCTTTAGATGGTTTACCCTGGTTGGACGTAACTATTTCTTACGATGTCTGGTTTCTCTTTTGCTTTTTCTGATTTCCCAAACTAATGCTAATATATATTTAGCGTTCTTCCTATTATCAGGTTACGTGGCTTATCGTTTTTCTCTTTCCAATTTATGGTGTCATTTAAGTTTTCTTGTTATGCTGCAGAGAGAGTACTTCAAGCAGGGAAAGCTTGATCAATTTCGCCAGATTTTGGAGGAAGGATCGAGTCCGGGTATACCTCCTCTTGGCTTTTGATTTCGTGCTTGTTTAACAACCTCATTTCTTCAATGTCGTTTGACATTATATGTTTTAATTTAATATAAGCAAACTGTAGGGGTTTCTTCTTTTCCTCATTTTGCAGAAATTGATGACTATTATGCGGATGTTAGATATGAGAGGATAGCTATCTTAAATGCCCTTGGGGCCTACTATAGTTACCTTGGAAAAATAGAGACAAAACAAAGAGAAAAAGAGGAACATTTTATTCTGGCAACACAATACTACAACAAAGCATCAAGAATTGACATGCACGAGCCCTCCACTTGGGTTGGGAAAGGTAATCATATCAACGGCTCTGCAAGTTGAGTCTATCTTAATGATAAAGGTGTGAACACTAAGTTCATAACGAGGTAAAGAAAATATGTTTGGTTTATCAGGGATTGGGCTGTGATGGTTATTTAGTTGCTGATTAGTTTTATTATTGTGTGCCTTTGCATATGGGTTTATGTTAGGTGTGAAATAATGTATTTTGTATCCTGTTTAACTGTCATGCGCTCCTACTGAATGTTTTAAAATAAATCCTGGTTGTGCACTGAAGCTTTTGTGTAGATTGATGTACTGTTCTCTGTGTTGATTATCTCCCATTACATACTGGGATCTCTATTTACGTTTTCTGTTCTTTATTTGTTCATCTATTTAACATGATGATCGTTGAGGAATATCTGTATTTTGATCTGTGTTACTGACACGTTTAAATATGATGTTTAAAATAAATTCAGGAATTACTCAATTCTATTGTTATTTTACGCATGCTAGCATTTAGGTTACCTTATTTTTGTTACTGATCTTGATACTGTCTTATATTTGTTCTGTACCATCAATAATGGGCAATGCACTGAAGATGCTTAGTACTTGATGCTCTCAGGTCAGCTCTTACTAGCAAAGGGTGAAGTTGACCAGGCATCTGCAGCCTTTAAAATTGTGTTGGATGGAGATCATGACAATGTTCCTGCTCTTCTAGGCCAGGTATATCATTTTCTTCTGAAAAGTGAAAAAAATAATGAAGATGCGCACGAGCATACAATCTTTCAGCTTAACTTGGCGATTTCCCTGATCCTTTGAGGTTTTTTTTTTCTTTTTTAATAAAAACTTTGTTACAAGTTGTATTCGAACTTCTTTTCTTTTCTTCTCTCTCTCTGATAACACGTCTTCTAAATTCTTTTTATTGAACGCTTTTGTTCTGGAAGAAAAAAAATCCAGTGAACATACCTAACATTTAGGACATTCACAAATCTACAAATGCTTTAATCCAAATCTGGTTAATCTGTGATAAAGTGTGAAGCTTATGAAGGGAAAAAAGAAAAGCATATGAGCCTTAGGAGGTCTTCTTCCCCTTTTATACTGTCCTTCGAATAATATCATAAGAACTTGCAAATCATCACTTAACTGTTGCCTCTGCCTATTATAATCAAGTCAAATTATCCAGGAGATTTTTTTTTTTTTTAAATATTCGTCACGCAAATGTTTTCTTGAGGATGTATTTATTTCTATTTCTTATAGTTACTTTTCTTGTATGTTGCCAAAAAAAAAAAGTTACTCTTGTAGGATATCTTTTTTCCTAATCTTAGAGAAACTTGTTATTCTCTGCAGTTGTTTTCTTCTTAAGCCAGCGATTTCCCCCCCAAAATTCATTTAAAGCTTTGAAAAATTATTTGAAACTTGATTTGGATTTCATAGTTGGGCTTGGGGGCACTTTGCTGGTATACTTATTTACTGTTTTGTTTTACTCTTTCATCCTCTCCAGTAAATTTTTTTTTTCCCGACGGAAAAATAAAGTGAAGTTAGAATTTGGTTGGCATAGTTAATCATATACTACTTCCGGTCCTTAATATAAAAGTTAGTTGACTAATTTGAGTAGATTAAGGAAATTGGTTAAGTTAGTTATTTGTAATAAGTAGGTGTTGTCTTTCCTAAAATATCCTTGCTAATCAAGTGTATTGGTTAGAATTACTATTATTATAAGGACTACTTTGGGAAAAAATGAATAAATATGAGAGACAAAGTGGATTGGGGTCTTATTTCTAGGATTAAAATAAAAGTCAAACGAGTTCTTATATTAAGGATCGGGGGTAGTATTTACATTATTGAGCAGTTCTGTGAAAGCTAGCTGCCATAAACTTTGAAACAGTAGATAATTGATTTGAAGTTGGATGGCTTAAGAGGTTTTTTGTCTTGGTACCTTTTTCCCATTAGGATTGATGGTGAGCTATGTTGATTTCTTTTTCACCAATGCTACATGCAAAATTTGTTCAATCCGAAATATGACCTATATTTTTCACTTTGGATGGTCAACTGGTTTATTTTTTATGCATTTCTTTGTTGACCAATTATTTCCATGTCTTGGTTTCTAGGAGTTTACTTTACTATGCTTTTGCTTCGTTTCCGGTGTACTTGATGTCGTCTACTCTTTATCTGTTCTGTGATTGCTCAAGGGCAGAGCAAGTTTGAGGCCTGCCTTTTTTTTCATTTGATAAAAAATTTCATTTGTGTTTTGTATTTCTCGCAATAACTTTTCTGAACATCTACAGGCATGTGTTGAGTTCAATCGTGGTCGCTATTCTGATTCACTTGAGTTGTACAAGGTTTGTAATATAGCCATATTCTTTGATGCTTGTAAGCAACGTTTTTCTGTTTTGATGAGGTATTAAATACATTGTTGTTATCTGTTTCTGCATTACCTTCATCAATGTCATCTATTTATTAGCATCACTAAAGATATCAAAAGAGCTGTGGTTGGTGTGTGCAAATTTTGAGACGTGAAGGTTGATGGATCAGAGAAATAATAGGAAGTAATGGGCACTTTAACTGAGTAGAGAGGTTTTATCCAAATGATGGGTTTTCAGAAATTGAATTATGTGAAAATAAATAATGGGTTTAAAAACGTTTCATCACTGTCATCTTTGGCCCATTCTTTTTTTTCTTCCTGTGACATTCTATAAACATGACTTTGATAGCAGTTTTAATTTTGTTAGAGGGCATTGCAAGTGTATCCCAATTGCCCTGCTGCTGTGAGACTTGGCATAGGTCTATGTCGGTACAAATTAGGTCAATTTGAAAAAGCACAACAGGCTTTTGAACGTGTTTTGCAGGTAAGTGAATTTTATCAATGGCTAATGCATCATCAATTGAGTAATTTTGCTAGTGCTAATGTCTTTATGTTTTGTTCTTGGTTTTTCCATATTTTACCAGTTAGATCCTGAAAATGTTGAAGCTCTTGTTGCACTCGCGATAATGGATCTGCGCACTAATGAAGGTACACTCTCCCTTCCTATCATGTTGTTTTGTGCTTTCACTATATAGTCCCTCTAGTCTTACTAAGGCCCTTTTAGTTTGATCCTACATATAGGACCAATTTTTTTCTTTAGTAATACCCCTATTTAATTTATTTCAAATTGCTTTAGAAAATAAAGTGTACCCACTTTTTAGGAAGGGTAGGGTACCCTTGGAAAGACACTGGAATATATATTTTTTTTTAAAATTAAGGTTGTCAACTAATTTTAACTTCTCACCTTAATTCATGTGATTTGGTTAAGGGGGTCCTATATCAAGGACTGAAGGAAGTACCTTCTGATACTAACTTCTCACTTACCGGGCTGATTGAACTCTATGGCATCTTTCAGCTGCTGGAATTAGGAAGGGAATGGTAAAAATGCAGAGAGCATTTGAGATCTATCCCTACTGTGCAATGGCTCTGAATTATCTAGCCAACCATTTTTTCTTCACTGGTCAACATTTTTTAGTTGAGCAACTGACAGAAACTGCACTAGCCGTTACAAATCATGGTCCAACGAAGTCACATTCTTATTACAATTTAGCACGATCTTACCATAGCAAGGTTGGAAATCAAATCTTTTTCCCTGTTCAATTCTTTTTTTGAGAGCTGACGCTTCGATTTTGCTGTTGGCTAAATATTGATGAGGTTTGAGGTAATGTTTATTTCTGCTTGATTTCTTATTGCAAGCAATGCCCTGGTCCATCTGTTTGTGCAGAGCATCAAAAAAATACATTCTTAGCACAATTTGAGCTACAACATATTGTTTATTTTTTCTTAGGTTGGGGTGAGATGTGCATCGCTTCTTGAGTAGTTAGTGGCTCAATTGCCCTCACAAGCAAATGAGCCAGGTTGAAGAAGTTGAACAAGTTACACCATTCTTGTGGTCTTCTTGCCTGTTATCAAATTTTTGAAATTTGCTTATTAAGAAGTTATAGTGAGCAATTGTTAAGGACTCTGACTTATTGATAGACCATCTGAATTCTGTTTTGGTAGACATTGATCTGCACTTATGTAACCTGCTGTTCCAACTTCTATTTAGTGAAACAGATGCGTTAGGATGGCATATATGCAATGAAATTCAGAAAAACAAAATTCAACTTATTATTGATTAGTTCCCTATCTCAATTTTCTTTTCTTTTCCTATTGGTTTTTGAACTTCTAAGCGGAGTGAGCCCCCTTTCCCTCCTCAAACATTAATTATCTTCTTTGGTACTTCATTAGCTTCCTAGTTCCTCCTCTTTTGGGGTAGTACTAAAATTCAGATGTTCACCTGCCCCTCATATTTTCTGTGATTTTCAAGCTTTAGTATTGCTAATGACACTGATATCTTTGGACTATAGGGAGACTATGAGAAAGCTGGACTTTATTACATGGCATCTGTCAAGGAAGTCAACAAGCCCCATGAATTTGTGTTTCCTTACTATGGTCAGTTGGCACAGGCTTATTTGAGAATTTATAGTTTATTTAACGTTATTTTATGCCTTCATTATGATTAAAAGTTTACTTAGCATACCTAGGAATAGGATTCCAACACCATTGAACTCGTAAATATCTATTGCTTTTATCTAAAAGGAAGTACAGGATCAATTGCTTTTTTTCCTCTAGGTTGAGGCAATTTTGTTTTGACTTTAAAATATGACCTAGGGTTGTAAAATTGAATGTTATATGGGAATTTAGGAGGTAAGGGTATTCAAGGAATTATAATTAGGGGGTAATTAAGATATCTAACTCGCATGGGTTGCCAATGCCTTACACAATGTCCTTGCCAATGAAGAGATAAAATATGTGAGGATTTGAAAAAGAGTGGATGAACATAATAGCGGAGACAGTGTTAGATGTAGTGATTGAGGACATGGAGAAGGGGGCGCAAATAACCAAGTGAGGACATAAATTTGCTTCACAGGGCTCTTGTGACCGAGGAATGGAACTAAGGATTGTTGCACAATGCATTTTTATTTTATGGCTTAGGTAGTTTTGTCAAAAGGGATCTGTTAAAACACCTTTAGCAAAACAAAGTCCAAAAATCAAATGACTGTTTACTACTAGTTTGTTACTAGGGCTTCAAATAAAAGACATCTCCAACAAGGAGTTTGTGATGCCAAAACATCAGGTGGAGAAGATTTTTTTAGCATGTCGTGAATGTCTCTACTTGCTTGTTCTGCTTTGTAGAATCAAAAGGTTTGGGAAGACTGTACTTGGTTTGGACAGTCAAAAGACATTAACATCTGTTACTGTAATGGGCTTCCTATGGAGGACCAAAAATGCTCATACCTTATTGCTATTTTGTTCCCTCAACGTGCAATGTGGTGAGTTTGGAATTGGAAGGGACAATTGTGATGGGAGGTGTCCAGGTTGGGGCAAGTATAATGATACGAAAATGGTGTTTTGTGGATTGTCAGGGGGCTTAAAACACTATTGTTATGTTATCATTTGTGGACAAGATATCTTTCTATGTAGTTTCAGGGAATAGCATGGTTCTTCTTGTTTTTGGGCTTGACCAGGACTTGAAGATGGGCTTATGGGTCAAACTCTTTGAAAATTCTAGACTGTCTCACATGTTGGTTTTGTGCAATGTGGATTCTGTGCTGCACAACAATTCAAAAGAGCGGCTGCAACGCTCTACGAGTCCAGAACCATATATGGACTTGGAGGTTACTTGGCCTAATAGTCCAAGACATCGTCATATTTAGTGGAGAAAGTCCTAGGTTGTTATCAAAATATGTTAATATTAATAGAACTGAAAACTTTACCTTTTTTACAATAGCGAAAGGAGGGGATGTGGTCTCTCCCTTGGTCTCTGGAAAGGAGACAGAAGAGAAGAAAATGACCTTTGCACAAGTTCTTTTTGGGGGCTTAGCATCTTTTGATAGTTAATCCAATATCTAGTAAGAAAGGTCAAGTCTGCTGAACGAAGCAAGGAAACATTATTGTTTTCAGAATTTTGTGTTATCCTCGTGCCTTTGTATTGATCCTTGAGGACAAAGATCAATTTTCAAGGGAGAGTAATTTGGTATGGGAATCTAGGAAGTAAAGCTGTTTAGGGAATTTTAATCAGGGGTAATTAGGATATTCGACCACAAACTCTATGCTATAAGAAGGGGTGTGGCATGTGTTAACAGTGGGAAATTGAATTAGTGTTATGGTTTATTGGATCTTTGAGATTTTTGCCATGGATCACAAAATTTATCATTTCTAATGTAGTGAATCCAGTGATTGTCTTGCATGATGTGACTAGGCCGTTTACTAGAATCTTGATTACTTTTAGGTGGCCTGATGTTATTAGTTATGTCTTATGTTCTTTTCATGATATGTATTCTTAATAGCATCTCAAATATACTTTCATAGGGTGATAGAATCTCTTTTTACTGGCAAGGCAAAAGATTCAAGCAAAAGGGAAGTTGCTTTTTAGTAACCAGGATGTTGACCATACTATTTTGGAGAAAGAGCAGAAAGCTAGTATTATTTAGGATGTTTCAGACCTACATGTAGTCAAAAGGGTATTTTGGGTACTGTGTGCATCACTTTTGATTTATACTGGGCCGTTGGTTTATCTGAGGGAGGCAAGAATCATTTTGTAAACTTGAGTTTGGTGAGGAGAGTGCTGGCCTCTCAAATCCTAGGTTAGGGGTGGAGGAAGAGAGTTGTTCTTCATCATTTATCTTTATGTTTTAGAGAGCTTCCTTACTGTTGTGACTTCTTTCCCTTCTTGAGGGAGATTATTGTTATTTAATAGGGTTTCATGTTGTTTTTCAACTGTTTTATCTTGGTCCATATCATCGGGTGATTTATGTTCCTCTCCTAACTTTTTGTCCTAATTTCTTTTACTTCGTTGCAGGGTTGGGACAAGTGCAACTAAAATTGGGAGATTTTAGAAGTGCGCTTTCAAATTTTGAAAAGGTTTTGGAGGTGTACCCGGATAATTGTGAGACATTAAAAGTAAGTGCTCAGATTTCTGAATTCTTGGTGTAATTTTAAGTGGAAGATAGGAAAATAAATGTTTATTTTGTGCATGACTTGCAAGGTTAGATTACAGCAAATGACAATCCGTAAAGTCATTAAGTGTCCAACTAGTCTGGTCATCACCTGCCATGTGGTCACTGGAAATTTTGTGGTGATGAGGTCATGTAAAACCTTTGTGCATGCAAATACTAAACTTTTAATTGGAATTTCTGTTTGCTGAAAATGATCTGTAAAACTCTGCAATCGGTGAATCTTTCACCCATGATTTGTACATTAGGGTACTGATGGTTTAGCAAAAGAGATTGATGATTATACTGTAATTTGTTATGTCTCAAGCAAAATCTGTCAGAAGTACAAGCTTCCCCCTCCCTCTCAAGAAAGTTTATTCAATTGGATAGAGAAAAGTACATAAAAAGGGGGCACAAAATCCTCTAGTATCAAAAGATAAAAGACAATGGAAAATTACAGGGTATGTAACTTAGACGAGCTTTCCAAGTTCTTTGCAAATCCAAGGGACACTGCCTAGAAAGCGCATTCACTTAGCCCCACAATGAAGCCATAAAGGCAATCTATTTCCGAAGAAAATGGGAAGGAAGACACTTCTGGTTAAAGATGCACATTCTGCTATAACCAAATGCCCCACCCTGTCCCCCTCAGAAATTTTCCCTTATTGCTGCTAAGAAATTACTGTCATTTTTTTAACTTAACTATTACGTCACATTTCTTATTGAGCAGGACCTTTTGTCTAATAATTTATACAAAAATTTGGTTGTTGATAAAATGTAATGGCATCATGTAATCCTTATAGTTGACTCTGCCTATTGGGATAAGGCTAATTCTTCTTGTTGTCAAACTATTATGTCACATTTCTTATTTTCGTAATTTCTCTTTTCTTACAGTCAGTGGGGCATATATATGTTCAGCTTGGTCAGGCCGATAAGGGCCAGGAATTTTTGAGGAAAGCTACAAAAATAGATCCACGTGATGCTCAGGTGAAAATCTATGGTGTTAACATTTTTTTTTAATTTTTAATTTTTAATACAACTTTCCTTGCAAAGATTTAATTTAAAATTCCTGTTGATCTTCCACCTTCTGTCACATGCATGGCCTTCTTGAAGCGCTGCCTTTGTGCTAAAGGATGTCTTGAAGGTTTCTACTTGTCATGCCATTTGCTTGACCACATGAGGATATAGAATTAATAATCTATTATTTTAACTTCTATTTTAACCTTCTCCTTTCCGTCATTAACTATTAAGTGACCTTATGACCTTTAATTGAATATAATCACAACAGCATAGTTGCCCAAAAGTGTCCTATCTTCTAAATCTAGCAATATTTGGCACATGGTCTGATGAAGTTACTAGTGTTGATGCACATTCTTGTCCTAATCATGTCTTCGTGTCATAAAGTTTTTAGAAAATTTGCAAAATCATCCTTGGAACATTTTATTAATAATTGAAGGTTCCGAAATGAAATTAAATGTGGTGTGTTATTAGAGTTCTCTTCATGACAACACACACACACTAATTGGGGAACAATCAAGGTAAATACAACAACAACAACAAAGCTTTATCCTACTAGGTGGGGTCGGCTACATGGATCGCACGACGTCATGGAGCCCTATCCAAAGCCGAATCTTTGGATATATTGTTAATTGAAAGATCTCGCTCAATGACATCATTAAGTGTTGTCTTGGGCCTTTCTCTACTCTTTTTTAAAGGACTCTATACTGTTTGATCAATTCTTCTCATTGGTGCGTTCCAAGGCTTTCTTTGCACGTGACCAAATCATTTCAATCGGTTTTCTATTGTTTTCTCCTCAATGAGCAGTTAGCTGCCTAGCATGAGTAGCCTGGCTTGCTCATGCGGTGCCTTGGAAATAAAGTAACTAGGGAATGAATGTACTGATCTTTACGGTGAACTTTACTATTATAATCTATAGGCCACTTAGCTAAATGAAATCTTGAGTATTGACTGTTGTGTGAGTCTCGACCAATGTGTAACTGCCGTTGAAAGGCTATAAGGCTATAAGCAACGGCATTCTCATGCTGACAGGATTCAAGCTTGCTTGTGTGTATGCGCTTGTTGTAAGTAGATGTGAAGGTGCCTAAGGAACTGCCCTAACCCAAACCTGTATTCTACCACATACAAACAAATGTGGGAAAGGGAGAAATACTACGCAAGAATTGAAGGACAACTGGAAATAATCCGTTTAAAAAGTATTATAAGAAATACAATGTTGCTACAAATAGTCATGTCTTTGTCCACTCTTAAAGCTGAAAGGGCTTTTGCATGAGGGGCCATGTCCATAGTTATTGTTAGCACCAGTGTGTAGCGCCAAATTCCATGAGATTCATTGCACTGATTCTTTGACATCCCTGAGACCAAAGTTTATACGACAAGAATTTGCTATTCTCTAACTCTTGGCTTCTCTCTCTCTAAAATTTTCTAGCTCTTGGTTTAATTTTGTATTTTCTTTAAACTGTATTCAGGCATTTCTGGAACTGGGAGAATTATTGATTTCGTCTGACACAGGAGCTGCTCTGGATGCTTTCAAAACTGTAAGAGGCTAAAATCTTTTGTGGTCTGCAAATGTTATCTTCATATTTGATGAAGGACTTTGTTGTTGAAGTCTCAATATATTTATTATAATTGGGATTTTGAAAATCCGTTACAGGCACGTACACTTTTTAAGAAGGGAGGTCAAGAAGTACCAATTGAATTACTCAATAATATTGGCGTCCTTCAGTTTGAAAGGGGGGATTTTCAGGTTTGTTCTTCTCTTGGAAGTCCGACATTCTATTGTTATGATCCTGTTTAAAAAATCCCTTTCATCTCTATATTATTTCAGCTTGCTCAACAAACTTTTGAAGAGGCTCTAGGTGATGGAATATGGCTCTCTTTCATTAATGATGAAAAGAAGTCATTTGTTGATGCTGCTGCATCCATTCTGCAATTCAAGGAGATGCAATTATTTCATGACCTTGAAAGTAACGGTCACCATGTGGAAGTACCATGGGACAAAGTCACAGTACTCTTTAACCTGGCCAGATTACTTGAGTTGCTGAACAAATCTGGAGCTGCAAGTATACTGTATCGCCTGATCTTGTTTAAGGTATATTTGTATTCATTACAGCAAAAATTTGTTTGTCAACATGCATATATCTATGTGGTTCAGTAAAGACCTGCTGCAAGCGTATTGAATGCTAAATACTACATTAAAAAAATTTAAGTGTTCCAAATGCCATCTGATGGTGTGTTTGAAATGTCAGATTGCTTCGGGCAAAATATGTACTGTGATGCTAGTTGTTAATGTTCTGACCTCTTCTGTCACTGCCTGGAATTGATTGTTTGTGCCTCTCTTGACAACCACAACTTCAACCTGTATTTCATTTATTATTTGTCAAGAGATTATAATAAGACTATTCACAGGCCTTTATTTTTAGTTTAAGCTTTTGAGTCAAGTTATTAGAGCTTTTATAATCAGTTGTAGATTATAATTGATTTTACATGGTTAGAGTTGATTATAATTGATGGAAAATAGTCATGGAGAATTTTCTGTAATTATTAGTTGTCAATACATTGTCTCGTATCTTCACTATAAATAAGAAGCTTGTGCGGATAGGTATTCACTGTCAACAATTACCATTCTCCTCTTGCTCTATTTCTCTTCTTTCTTTCTAGAAACTTTGAATTCTGACGTCAAGCTACTGTACGCATAGCTTCTTATCCTGTCTCTCGTGAGAGGACTAAACACATTGAAATTAATTTTCATTTTGAAGATTGGCTGAGTAATTGAAAAATTTATTTGTAATCTGAATTGGTACATTTGCAGCTAGGGTTTAGTCAGTGCTTTGGAAAATCGCAGTGAATTTCAAATCTATCTTTAGCAAACTAAAATAAAATTCTGGTGTATCTAAACTGAATAGATAAAACCAAAAGCAAAAAACAAATGAGTGAATGACATCTAATTAAAATTAAAAATAAATCAAGATTACAGCTTAGCTAGTTTGCTTTAATTGGGCTGGGCCATTGCACGCATATTCTTCAAGACTCCCCCTTAAGCTAGAGATTCGATATTGATAATTCCCCGCTTACTCCTTTGGGCTTCAAACTTTGCTCTTGCCAATGTCTTGATCAATAGGCCAGGGATGTATGGGATTTTTAAAAGTTCCAGTGGTAGCCATATTATCACAAAAGACTTGCATTGGCACTTAAACATTTATTTCCAACGCCTTGAGCGACCTGTTCAGCCATATTCCCTCACATATTTCATGGCTCTTGAAATTTTGCTTCTGCACTACTATGTGATACTGAGCTTGGGGCTTCTAATGTTTTTTTTTAATGCCCCAGCATCCTAAATGCTCCTTTCCTTTTCTTTTGATCATTAAATTCTATATAAAATGAGTGATATTTTGACATCTTACCGTGATAAATGGTGCAGACAAGAGTGTTCATGGATGGGACGAGACTGAGGCAACCCCGTCTTGATTCCGTCCTGGTGAATGGGGACGGGATTTTTGTCCCATGTCCCTTCCTGTCCCGAAGACCGGGACATCCCGCCCTTTTTTTTTTTTCCTTTTTTTGAGTGAAAATTAAAAAAAAAAAACTTGATTTTGCTCTCCAATTTGCAATCACTCATGTTCACCCTTAGTCTTTACACAACAAAATCTCAAAATAAGATAATATTCTAATCATAAAAGAGCACAATATTCTCATTGCATCATAATTCTGCGTATGTGATTTCAAAATATAATCTCCATTTCAAGACATAATCAAAGCCAAAGAATAAAATGGTGATATTTTATTCAAGAATTATTAAGCCATTAACATTTGATATACTAAGTCAGAGAAGTATGGAGCGTGTCTTGTTTTGGGGACATCCAATTCTTCTCTGGTAAGTTCTTCTTTGGAGTTTGTTTGTAAATTTTATACAGAAAATAAATAATTAAAACCTGCTTGCATTTATGTGTTGATTTTTAGAATGCAATTCTTCTTCTCTAATATTATGAGTGATCAAGATATGTGCACATCATATGAATTTCGAAAAGGGTTTATATTCACCGTGAATATGAAAAAATTTACAATAGAGATTTGAGAAATTCATAAGTTAAAGTGATTAAAGAAGTATAATATTATAAATAAACACACACAGTATATGTAAATGCCCAAGGTATAAAACATTAGAAATAATAGATTTGGGGTTTCTTTTTGATAATATAATATTATAAATGTGTTTAGAAATAAACTAATGAAATTTAATAAATGTATATATCTCAGATGGGACTAGGACACCTTGTCTCGCGTCTCGTCTTGTCCCAATGTGGATTTTGTCCCGTCCCAAACTTGATATGATTGGGACAAGGACGGGACACTATTGAACACCCCTAGGTGCAGTTTTGAACTTTCTTACAATTTTCCAAAGAAATGCTCTAAAAATGTATGGTTTTGATATCAAAATGTCAATCGTTTAATATAGAATCTAATGATCAAAGAAACGTCTGGGAGATTGGGGCAGTACAAAGGGCATTAGAGGGAGACACATTAGAGGCCCCCAGCCCATGTAATGCCATTAACTGTTTGTGCTTCTTCAAGTTGCCAAGTTATTGCAAACAAAGGTACAATAACATGTAGATGACCTCCTGTTTGTTAGTGACTAAACCTACCCAGTTAACATCGAAGCATACTGCAACTCATTTGTGTCCCCCTTTTAAAATAGTGACTCTTAATACAACATGTTTTATCCTACTAGATGTGATTAGTTACATAGATTGCATGGCATTATTGTGCTTTATTAATAACCAAATGTTTGGATAGATTGTTAAACAAAAGTTCTTGTTCAATAATTTCATTGAATATTCTCTTTGGTCTTCCTCTACCCCTTTTCAGAGAACTCAATATTGTCTTATCTGCTCTCCCCATTGGTGCCTCTAATAGTCTTCTTTGTACATGTCCAAATTAATGCAAACGATTTTCTACTGTTGTCTCTTTAATAGGTGCCATGCCTACTCTTATTCTTATATGATCATTCTGAATCTTCTTTTTTTTCTTGTATGGTTACACATCCATCTCAACATCATCTCTACTAGCCCAACTTTATTCTCTTATTGTCTTTTTAAAGCCCAGCATTCATTGCCATACAGCATTGTTGCATAAAACTTCCCTTTTAAGTTTATTAGCTACATTCCTATCACAGATAACTCCCATAGCCTTTCTTAAACAATTTGTTCTTTACGTACTGCATAAAATTTTCTCTCTTGCTGATTTCTTATTTATTTATTTTTCTCTCTCCCCAGTATCCAGACTATATTGATGCCTATTTGAGGCTAGCTGCTATCGCGAAGGCTCGGAATAACATCCTCCTAAGCATTGAATTGGTGACTGCTATCCCCATGGTCTTATCAGTCTTCCCTTTTTTAAGTTATATAACCTTTTTTGTGTCAATCACCTCGCTCTGTAGGTTAATGATGCCTTGAAGGTCAATGAAAAATGTCCAAATGCTTTGTCTATGCTTGGTGAGTTGGAGTTAAGAAATGATGATTGGGTGAAGGCAAAAGAAACCCTTCGGGCAGCTAGTGATGCAACTGATGGAAAAGACTCCTATGCTACTCTTTCCCTGGTATGTCTATTATTTCATGTGCAATGTGCTTCATGATTTCTTTATTCCAAATTCCTGCAAACTGTGTTTCTTCATCATTAGGTTATGCTATTAATGGTTGAAACTGAATTACAATTGCTAGGACTAAAATATGGTTATACATGTGGCTGCTTTAGATGTTGCTTTTCCCACTGTAGAATCGAATAGCTTTTGTTCTTAATTGTGTTACTTGTTTGATGTGAATAGGGAAACTGGAACTACTTTGCAGCAGTTCGCAATGAGAAGAGAAATCCAAAGCTGGAAGCTACTCATTTGGAAAAGGCCAAGGAACTTTATACCAGAGTATGACTCTTTCATCTTTCTAACTGACCCTTTAAGAGCTATTCTCTGCAATGCCTGAGGTCATGGTTTTCTCAACTTTTGTTCTCTAGGGTGATATCTGATTCCTTTGATATTTGTATTTCGTCTACTTAATGTACGTTAAATTGAAAACAAATAGGGGGAAAGAATATGAAGTGTTGTATTTTTCCTTCAACTAGAGGATTTTCTAGTTGCCTCTACATGTATTTAGTAGTTACCCTACAGCATGAGGAAGAGTATGTAAAACATACTTGTTTGAGAGAAAAATCGGAAAAGAATATGGAATCTCAATTAGATTGGGTGTCTTTTCTGGAGTCAAACCTACTCATTCATGTACTTTCATTACTGTGTATTAACACTGTCCTGACAACGATCGTTTTGTTAATTTTTTTCCCTGATTTAAAAAAAAAAATTGTAGGTTTTAATACAGCATTCTGCTAATTTGTATGCTGCCAATGGTGCTGGGGTAGTCTTAGCAGAAAAAGGTCACTTTGACGTTTCAAAGGATATCTTCACACAGGTCCTTTGATATGTTACTAATCTTTGGGCCATGAATATATAAACTTTGAAGTTTCAACTGCTAATTATTTCCTTAAATTTTTGTAGGTTCAAGAAGCTGCAAGTGGGAGTGTTTTTGTGCAGATGCCTGATGTGTGGATAAACTTGGCCCATGTGTATTTTGCTCAGGGCAATTTTGCCTTGGCGGTGAAAATGGTTAGCGACTCAGCATGTCCTCTATTCACTCTATTCTTTTGTATCTCCTGAAGTCCTTTTACTGTGGAAATTATATGCTAATTACCCTTGGTTCATGCAGTACCAGAACTGCTTGCGGAAGTTCTATCATAACACAGATTCACAAATACTTCTATACCTAGCTCGTACCCATTATGAAGCTGAACAGTGGCAAGACTGTATAAAAACTCTATTGAGAGCTATCCATTTGGCACCCTCAAATTATACACTAAGATTTGATGCTGGTGTTGCGATGCAAAAGTTTTCAGCATCAACGCTACAAAAGGCTAAGAGGACTGCAGATGAGGTTTTTTTCTTAGATCCCTTGAATATTTTGGTGAAAGCTGATCATGTAGCATTCGGTTCTCCAACCTCAATTGTGGCAGTGTTCTTTAAAGGCAAAAAAAAGAAAAAAAAATGTAGTCAGCTGTGTCTTAAGTATCAGCTCAATTGCGCTATGTCAGTTATTATTTCTGTTCAAGTCATTATCTATGGTCTAGTATTGAGGGATTTTGAGAGGGCATTGATTTAAAGATTTCTATCTTATTGTGTTATGCCTAGTATTTTAGAAATATGTTCTTCTTGATTGAGATTTGAGAGAGTTTGTGCATTAGCATCTTAATCTGTTGCATTATTTTGGTGTGGTTTCCAGCTTATTTCTGAGGCTAGGCTTCATGGGTTGTTAATTTGATTTATTCCTCTAAGTTCCTTGTACCTTTGTTGGCAGATCACGCTGAAGTAGAATCTACTTTGGTCACTTGATGTTCTGCTCTCTATTTGACATGTGTTTCTTACTGTTAGGTGCGAGCAACTGTTGCAGAGCTGCAAAATGCGGTCCGTATATTTAGTCAGTTGTCTGCGGCTTCCAACCTGCACATTCATGGGTTTGATGAGAAGAAAATAGAAACTCATGTTGGTTACTGCAACCACTTACTTTCAGCTGCAAAAGTTCACCTTGAAGCAGCTGAGCGTGAGGAGCAGCAGATGCGACAGAGACAAGAACTTGCTCGTCAGGTTGCGTTGGCTGAGGAAGCCCGGCGAAAGGCTGAAGAACAAAGGAAATATCAGGTTTTCTTTTCATGATTGCTTAGCACCTGCTGCATGCTTACTAGTTGATATCTAAATGTTCAAATTGTAGATGACTTTTGCTGACTTTTGTTTGTAAACAGCTGGAAAGGAGAAAGCAAGAGGATGAACTAAAACGAGTACAGCAACAAGAGGAACATTTTAAGCGTGTAAAGGTAAGAATCCAAGCTGAATAGTCTTCTTTTTGTTTTGCATTTGGCTTAGATTCTTGGTATCTTAGCGAGGTTGTCTTGAACAATGCAGAATAAGAGATGGTTTGGCATTATATGATTGTCTTCATGGAACATGTTGGGAAAAATACTCCACTGAGCGACATTTTGGAATTATAATTTTCTGGGTAACAGCACAAGGACATTTAGGACTAGATCTTGTGTGGTGGCTAAAAGGTTCCGCTTGCTGCATAAGGCGTTTATCTAGTTTCTAGGGATCCCTTAGTATTAACAAAATCTTTCCCGACAACAGTGCATTCTGCACCTGAAAGGTAGATTATATATAAATACAACTTGATAAAGAGAACAAATGATTCTGTAAAGCGCGTTATCTGACATTTGTAATGCAACAAGTTAATGTTGCTGACTGAGTAACCAATTCAAATAAGCTTATGTTCCTGTATGTCACATTACATGTCTAATATATTAACATAGGTATGGTTGCCAAATGCATCCATTTCCCTTCATGGGGGATTGGAATGGCTTTTGTGAATGTTGTTTGCTCAAATAGAGATCGTGGTTATGCTGCAAAATGTTCTTTAAAAGCTTTGAGTTTCTCTCTGCATTTCAGGAGCAATGGAAGAGCAGCACACATTCTTCAAAACGGAGAGAAAGGTCTGATGATGAGGATGGTGGTCCTAATGAGAAGCGGAGAAGAAAGGGTGGAAAGAGGAGAAAGAAGGATAAGCATTCAAAGTCACACTATGACACAGAGGAAATAGGTGAAATGATTGATGAACAGGAAAATGAATTCGAAGACGCTGACATAAACTACAGAGAGCCTGATGCTCAGATAAATGATGATGATGGTGCTGAGGAGAATGCCCAGGGTCTTCTTGCGGCAGCTGGGCTTGAAGACTCTGATGTAGATGATAGGACGGTAATGAATCGTTGAAACTATCTACATTTACTGCTCATTTTTATCCTCAGGTTTTGTGCATCTCAATTTTTCCTTTTCTAAACCATAAGAGATACGTGGCTTTAGAATCAGGAGTAGCTCCATTTGGATATGATCTTATTATCAACGTCTAACAATGGGTTGATTCTAAATAAACCTTGTGTCTGGAGAATGGATGCCTGATAGGTGTCCATTACTCTTATTTTGTCTACCACTGACCTGAATTTGTTGTTCACTTTTCTCCTGACTGAAGTACTGCCTACTCCTTTTTGTTTGAAGGCTGCACCTTCAACTATTAGTCGACGGAGGCAAGCTTTATCAGATTCTGATGATGATGATGAGCCATTACAGAGACATTCCAGTCCCATAGGAGAAAATTCTGCTTATCTGCAGGACAGTGATGGAGAAGTCAAGGATAGGGGCAGGACCAATGAAGATTTTGCCAGTGATGATGAGAAGGAGAATTGAGTTTCCATCTGCAGGGTTGATATGTTTACAGTCTTGGTCCATCGAGTCATGTGGAGATTTTCTGGGGTTCTGAAAATCGTCTACACAAATATGCGATGCATCCCATTTTCTGGTATATATACTTTGAAAGGTTTTATTTTTGTGTAAATCAACTTTATCAATCAATATCAGTTCCCTTTTCAGTTCATCAATTTCGAAAGTATAATCTTAACAGTTATTTCTTCAGCATGAGTATGCCAGGGAGGTCTGACATAAGACGCCCGTACTTTTAAGTGTCCAAAAATAAATAAATAAATAACCAGATGGGATATCGGATGTCCTCCTTTCCCGTTAGTACTGTGGAAATCTAACCTGGGAAGGGAAAGGAAAAGGGAAGCAATCTAATCGTTTCAGTGGTTCGGTGTGCAGGAAGCCAAAATCCCTTATGATTATGGAGAGTGGCTTCCTCCCTTAATGCGACGGAATCTCGCTGGTTTTCTTGGATTCAAGGTTAGCGTCCAATTTGCCCTGACCATAACAATGGCAACCCATCACAATGGAAAGGAAGGGGCCTCCTTTGTCACATCTCTTGTTGAATGATGATTTGCTGCTCTCTGGTAACACAGCAAGGAGTCTAGGTTGCCACTGCAAAGAGTTTTTTTTTTGACCTAGTAAATTATCCGGTATTTGGAATCAATTTTACTTTAACTATAGGGATTTGGATTGATTACCATAAGTATTGCAAAGTTTTATCGCCAACTATCTAACACAATTACCATCTCAGAACTCAAATTCGAGATCTGTAATGATCTGATACAACCCTTACCATTTGAACCAAGAGTGGTTCTGCACGAGTTTTCTTTTGCTAGGGGTATGAGACAAGTTACAATGAGACTTTCTTCCTACCATGCGGTACGGGTATAAGGCAAGTTACAATGAGATTTGATTCCTATCTAAACACTTTCTGAGTTATAATCAAAATCTGTTAACACCAGCTTATGAATTACGAAATATGGTCAATTGGTCATTGGGAGTAATGTTAATGGGTGTTGGACACGGTTCATATACTAAAAAACTCCCTTTAAATTATATGTAAACTCATATATTATAAAATATGTTCAAGTATATATTATTTACTTATAAGATAAAATAAAATTAAAAATTGAAATTGATTATTTACACATTAACTTGTATTTTTTTAGTGATTTATGCATGAATAAATGATTATGATAACAATCATTCAAATATAATTTGAACCATATCATTTAAAAAAAGAACACCATCTAATTTTTTTTATAACAAAACCTGTTTTACTCAAAATTATAATTTTTAATTTATTTTGTTTAAGATTTATTCTCTTGTTGCTAATTCAAACACATACATGCTTCAAAGTCACATTGCTATTAGCAACATTAATGGATGGGTTAAGGTGCGGATTTAACAACCATGTTCTATAAAAAAGACAGCTAGCACCATTTACTTTTGAAGGGTACTAAAGTAGACACAAATATTAAAAAAGAGAGCTTTTTAACCACAGCCGTTGAAAGGCCTAACGTTGACGGTTACAAGGATGGGGGTGAGAAAAATTTGACCTAAAATGATGAAGTGGCAAGGAGTAAATAGTGAAGTGGCAGAAAGAAAATGGTGATGTGGCTGAGACTAAGGTGATGTGGCTGAGACCTAAAAATTGGATTAAGGGTGAGGCGTGAAATCAAACATTAAGAGTAGGCGGCAAAGCATCGATGGGGTAAGGAGAGAATGAGAAAGCTAAGAATTGAGATTCTTGTAGGGGTCTGAATTGGGAAACTGAAAACGTGAGAAATCAAGATAGAGGGTTAGCAAGTGTGGTCCATCGAAGTGTATGTGATCGAAAATTCTTAAAGGATTACGGATGAGGGAACAACAGATTCTTCACAGGTAAGCATCGATTTAGACAGAAAGTTGTATTTTTAAGTTGAATAGTGAAATGGCATTGAAGCCCTTAATAAATTTGGGGATTTACTTGTTGCAGTGCGAATGGCGACAAACGAGGGTGATAATGTTCCTGTCAAACGGGGCAATGTTGACGCAAATGGACAAGACGACACGAAGGCTAAGAAGGACGAGACATTGGAAGAGAAGCATGTGAGGCTACTTAAAAAGGTGAGTCAAATTTTTGATTTGGCAAAACGAAGTGTGCAAAGGATGAAGGAAAAATTGAGTGAGGGGCATGGAAGCATAGGTGAGTGGGTAAGAAGAAGTAGGGAAAATGAGAGATGGGTCTAGGCCAATCAAGATGAGAGAGAGGTAGGGGGCAATGAAAATGACAAAGAGGAATAGGGCAATGAAAATGATAGAGATCCAGAACAAGAGGTGATTGAGTGTGTAGATGTAGATGGTTTAGAAGAGATAGATGATGATGGAATTGAAGATTTACCTGAACATAGGGAGGAAGGGGGAGATAGTGAGGATGACGTTGTTGGAGAAATTGACAAAGGGAAAAGAGTATTGGTTATGGATGAGGATGAGGATAAAAGTGAGGAAGGGGGAGATAGTGAGGATGAAGAAGATTCTGATAGCGAGGATTCAAATTATGTTGGAAATAGTGCCAGCTCTGACACTGAGGAGAGTTTGGTGGATGATTTTGAAGTATCTGAAAATAGTGAAGAGGAAGATGAGGATATGGGCCTTAATGAAGATTGTGAGCCTCCAGATGAAAGCGTTGGGCTTAGCGTGTTAGAGGGCTTGGGAGACCGGCCTTTCTTTATGTGAGGCATGACTTTCTTAGACCTAAATGAGCTCAGGAGCGCCATAGACAGCTATGCTATTTCGAAAGGGGTGAATATCAAAATTATTAGAAGTGAGAAAAGGTTATTAAAGGCAATATGTGAAGAGGGCTGCCCATTCACCTTATATGCATCGAGAGATGGGAATAATGTGGGCTACAAGGTGAAGACATTGTGCAATGAGCACTGGTGTGGTAGGGTTTTCAAGAACCCTAGGGCAAGTGTGAAGTGGCTAGCCGAGCACTTCAAGGAGAAAATACAGGAGAGACTTAATTACAGCATATGTGAAATGAAGAATGATGTTGAGCGTGAGTTGAAGGTCCACATGAGCTTACATAAGTGCAAGAGGGAAAAGAAGAGAATAATACAACACATGGATGGGAGCTTCGTAGATGAATTCTCCAAGTTAGAAGCTTACTACAATGAACTGAAAGTGTCAGATCCTGGGTCAGATATTAGTGTGGAGATAAGTAACGAGGCTTTGGAACAAGGGAAAAGAGTTTTTAGAAGAATGTATTTGTGTTTTAATGCAGCAAAGGTATGATGTTTAGATTTCTGTCACATATGGTATAATCTGTTAATTTGTTGTTTTATATTTCAATTTGTCCTGACGAGTCAAAATTGTTGGTTTAGGTTGGTTGGAAAGTTGGGTGTAGACCATTGATTGGAGTTGATGGAACATTTCTGAAAGGTAAAGCTAGAGGGATTCTGTTAACTGCTGTTGGTTTAGATGCTAACGACTCATTGTACCCGTTAGCATTTGCTTTGGTTGATAAAGAGAATGGTGTGAATTGGAGTTGGTTCATTTAGTTGCTTAGGATATCACTTGATCTTCACAATGGTGGCAAAGTAACTTTCATGTCAGACATGTAGAAGGTATGATTAGTTACCTTTGCTAATTTACATATGACTTATGTGGTTTTAATGAGAGCATTTAATTGACTAGTTCTATACATGCAGGGATTACAACATGCTGTGACAGAGATACTCTCAAAGGCCGAGCATAGACTTTGTGCAAGGCATATTTATGCTAATTGGAGCAAAAGGTAGAGAGGGAACGAGATGAAGAAAAAAATTTTCTCTTGTGCTTGGAGTATGTTTGAAGAACAATTCAAAGACAATCTCAAAGCACTTAGAGCACTTAACAAAGAGGCAGCTAAAGCAATGGTGTCATACCCTACATCTGCTTGGGTAAGAGCTCCTTTCAGTAATAGATGCTTGTCTTGGGTTGTAGACAACAATATGAGTGAGAGTTTAAATGCTTGGATTGATGAATATTGATATCTACCTGTTATTAGAATGTTTGATGGGATAAGGGTTAAGATGATGGAAAAATGGGCTGAGAGTAAGCAAAATGTGAGGAATTGGAAAGGCAACTATAGTCCAAAATGTCTGGACTTATTTGAAGCAAATAGGTTGTTGTCCTCTACGTGTAGAGTTTTTTTCAACGAGGATGAGCAATTTGAGGTGACTGAGGGACAAGATAGGCACACGGTATGTCTCACTAGGAAAGTGTGCACGTGCAGGGCATGGGATTTAACTGGAATCCCATGCCAACATGCTATTCATGCTATGTATTATTGTAAACTGGAGCCCCTCACCCATATCTCACGCTATTACCACAAGGACACCTACATTGCTAGCTATAGGACAAAGTTTGCACTTGTGAGGGGCAAACAATTCTGGGATACAGAACAGTTTATCCCTATGCTACCACCACCTGAGCGCACATTGTCTGGCCGACTAAGGAAAAAAAAAGAATCAGGACAGAAGAAGTAACAAGAAGGACAAATGTTGCCTCTAGGAAAGCTTCCCAAGCTACCTCAAGTAAAGTTGGCATGAGCAATGGTTTAGAAACACCACTTGTTGAAAGAGTAAGCAAACGGGGACAAGTCAACAAATGTGGCTTCTGTAGGAAAGTTGGGCACAATAGAAGCACTTGCACAGAGGTAACTTGTGCCAATTTCTTTATATTAATTTATTACAATAACTATAAGCTAACTTTTCATTTCTTTCTAGGCACCTCCATCAAATAAGCCTCGACCTGGTAGAAGGAGGAAAACAGCCAACCAAGGCACAATGCAGTAACCATCCAATCCTACTTCACCTTCACAGCAACCACATAGTCCACCTACACAGCAACCACCCCCTCCACCTTCACAGCAACCACTCAATCCCACTTTACCCTCCCAATAGTCGAAAAATCATCCTCCATCGACGCAACAACCACCAAACCTTCCAAACACATAGCAAGAAAGAGGGCTGTCTACAAACCCAGAGTTGAGTGTGGAATGGGTATAAGAATTGATGAGGGAACTGGGAGAATCGTCTACAATGTAAGTATTACTGGACACTAGTCTCTTCCATTTTAATTCATGCAAACTTACCGTCGTTTAAGCAATGTCATTGACTTGTGCAGCCTGGAATGCGTTTTGAGGTGGTCATTGAGGAGGGTACTACACAGGAGTATATACAACACTACGCGGACCCTCAGAGTAAATTTCCAATCCCAAATGAGAAAGAACTTTGACTATCACGAGCTTTAAAATGCACTGCACCAAAGGGTTCCAGGAGGATACCATTCACTAGGCAAGGGACCACTGTTTCACAGCCATCAACACTACCATTTACACCTCCTGGGTTGATGTGGAAGGGCCAACGAAGCATTTCAAGTACCCATCTCCAACTGCAGAGCCAAACGATAAAGACAAGAAGTAAGACCAACTCTAAGAGCTCTGACATTTAGATTGCTTAGAAACATTTAAGACTATGCATTTGACTATTTTGTACTACGTATTTCGTTACTTGGATTATGGTTACCTCACTGCCTTTTACATGGGATTATCACTTCCTAGGTCTATATTTTGGTGAACCAATGCTTAGTCTTTCAGATGGATGCCTTCTTTTTATTTTGCGAGTCCTATGTGATGTAACTCTTTTAGCAACATTAGTGGCATGTACAAATGTCCATTATAATTAATTAAGGTTGTTATCTTATGTTACATCTTCACTTCCTCATTATTAATTAGGTTACCTTTACATTTATTTAATTCATATGTTCTTCTCTTCTATTATTTCAATTAACATTATTGCCATCAATTACCACCAAATACTCTTCACTTGTTATATAATTGTTGGATCAGTAATTGTTTCACCACATGAATAATTTTTTCATCAAATATACCATGAAGTGGTCCATAATTGTTACAAAACAGACATCATAATAACCCATATCTCCTGGCATACAAATATTGCAATCAATTTCACACACTCCTACTTTGTCAAATACAAAACAACTACTGCAATCGATATCATTACAGACACTAACATTGCTCTTCTAAACTTCTTTTCCTCTAAACTTCTTTTCCCTCTTCCTCACTTCCACATCATTCAGCTCGTTTCTGCGTTTAAGCTTCTTCAATTCACTGTGAATTACATTAAGCTCTTCACTTAGTATCCGCCCATGCTCTCCTCTTTGGTTTCTGCTACTTTCATCATATAGTCTGTCAATATCATCTAATAGCTCCTTGATCACAGTGTTTGCCCTCTCACCGAAGTCCCTATCAATATTGCAATCAATTTCACACACTCCTACTTTGCAAATACAAAACAACAACTACTGCAATTGATATCATTACAGACACTAACATTGCTCTTCTAAACTTCTTTTCCCTCTTCCTCACTTCCACATCATTCAGCTCGTTTCTGCGTTTAAGCTTCTTCAATTCACTATGAATTACATTAAGCTCTTCACTTAGTATCCGCCCATGCTCTCCTCTTTGGTTTTCTGCTACTTTCATCATATAGTCTGTCAATATCATCTAATAGCTCCTTGATCACAGTGTTTTGCCCTCTCACAAAGTCCCTATCATGCAAGAGAAATAGCCACATCCCCCATCCCGTCGTGTTCAATACCAACATTTCAATTACGGAACCAGGGAAGAAAATAGCATTTTTCATAGCAAGAAAACCACTTCATACCTGGTCACAATTTGGGCAGCCATAAAACCTCCTACCTGGGTTATTATCAGTCCACGCCATCCATTGGAGAGCTACCACCCATGATGGCAATACCTCATCGGCGGTTCGTAGTTGTCCTTGCGACTAGGTTGCCTCAATAAAGCAACCCTTCTCCTGTATCTTGTCGTCGACGAGGACGATGATGATGCCATGAACTTCACTTTTAGACCTCACTTCGTGTACTTCCTGCGTCTTCGCCTTCTTTGATGGGTATAAATGTGGTTGCAGGGGAAGGCGTTCGGATATTAATAGAGTCATTGAACTCTCTACCTGCCATGTCTGAAATGTCCGAAGCTTAACACTTGCCAGGTGGAGAAAGATGTGGAACCCACTTACACAAAGTGGGTAGACGTTTGGGCCTTTCAACGGCTTGGTTTTAAAAGCACTCTTTTTAATGTTTGTGTCTACTTTAGCACCCTTCAAAAGTAAATGGTGCCAGCTGTCCTTTTTGTAAAACATAGTTGTTAAATCCGCACCTTAACCCTTAATGGATTAATGAATTTGCTTTCCAAAGTATTGATGGTATATAAGGAATATTTGGTCCTTAATTGACATCTTCAAATTTGTGATTGTTAATTATCATACTACCTCCGGTTCTAATTATAAGAGCAAGTTGACTAATTTGAGAAAATTAAGAAAATAAGTTAGGTTAGTTATTTGTAATAAATAGGTGTTGTCTTTCCTAAAATATCCTTACTAATCAAGTGTATTGGCTAGAACTACCATTATTAGGAGGACTATCTTCGAAAAAATACATAAATATAAAAGACAAAATGAATTGGGATCTTATATTTAAGATTGAAATAAAAATCAAATAAGGTCTTATATTAAAGACCGGAAGTAGTATTAATCTTACTAAAAAGAGGGACTCTAGCTGACCACCTTAGATGAAAGAGTTGGTGGTGATGAAAGGTTGATGTCCACTGTTTGATATCTTGTACTCTTTCGGCTCTTGTCAATGTTTTTTTTTTTTGGTATACAAGAAGGCAAAAAGCCTAAAATAGAAAACTAACTAGTAGGGGATTGCAATCCCAATAAATCTTTCTGCACTATAGTCCTCAAGTTAGGAGGAGAGCTGGGTCATAGATGGCCGTGCTAGTAAACCCATATTGGCCAGAGCATCTGCAATGATATTACACTTCCTATGAGCATACTGGAGATGAACTTTTGTCAGTAAAGAAAGCAACCTCTTCACCTCTAGCAAAGTTGTCGAGCAAGTTGTAAAGTGAGAATTTCAATTTGTGAGGGAGTGAATTAAATTCTGGTTATCAGATTCCACTACAAGATTGTTGAATCCCATTTGAATTGTTAGATTGAGACCCTTTAACATTCACCATTCCTCAGCTTTGTAGGGAGAACAGACACCAAGATAATAAGAAAATCCCACAACCCAAGTGGCTATTGTCAATGTTGGTTGCGTATTTATTGAAAAAAAAATTAAAAAAAAGACTTAATAGTAACAACCCCCCCCCCCCCCCAAAAAAGAAAGACGCACACGCCCACAAAAAACGGAATACCATGCATCTCACTAATGGATTGTTAATGTTGTCACCTACGTACGTCTGAAGAGCTTCACATGTGAAATTTCAATCTTAATATTTTTTGTTAAAAATAGAACTTCCCCAGCTAGAATTTACTAATATGCGGTCTATTTTTATTTTAATTTATAACTTCCTAGCCAATATATTCAATGAATCTAAACAAAATACTATTTCCGGTTTTTAATATAAAAACTAATTGACTAATTTCAGTATATTAAATAAATTAGTTAAATTAGTTATTTGTAATAAACATGTGTTATTTTTTTCTAAAATATCTTTGTTGATCATGTATATTAGCTAGAATTACTATTTGATAAAATATTTAACATATGCAACTACTACAAAGACTACCTTAAAAAATAGATAAATATGAGAGACAAAATGAATAGGAGTCTTATATTTATAACCAAATTAAATGTCAAATTAGATTTTATATTAATGATATTGATATGAGGTAATATGAAACAAATATCAGCCCGGAAAGAGAAATAATTATTGCCAAATGCTCTAAATATATCTAATTTTTCATTTCCTCATACTTATTGTATTGGAGTATAATTATCTACGGAACTCTTAGTTTTATAAAAATATCTGGATAATTTAGTTGTAGATGACTATATTTTAGCTTTGGATGAATGTTCCTTGCGCTGCAGGGAAAAGTTGCATGAATTTACTATTTACCTTGAATTATGATCTCATTTGCTATTACTAGTGCCTAGCAGCAAAGTTGAGCTGTTGAGCATTGCAAGATTAATGATAACAAAATCAAAAGAAGTGAAAGATTGGCGACCCTACATATAAATAAGCGAATATTTTGAAAAAAAAAAAATATAAAAGACAAAATAGATTAGGATCTTTTATTTAAAACCAAATTAAAAGTTAAACCAGCTCTTATATTAAATATGAAAAGTAATATTACCCACAATAGTGATTTTCTTGCTTGGTAGTTAATCTCCGGTCTCCCCCTTTTTTTGGTTTTTTTTCTAACACAACAACAAAATGACATATATTAAAAATAAAAAGTTATAACTTGCATTAAGTAACGCAAGACAAGGGGATGAATTACTCGTGTTACTAGAACCGTTACTTCTTATTTGTGTCAAAATATCTCTCCAAATATTAATATAATAATGCCTATTGATCTCATTTGGCAAAAAAATCCTATTCCTTATTCTTAGAAGTAAGGACCCTTTTCCTTTGGCTTAACGTGATACAGTTACACGTCAATAATTGATGATGGTGAATAATTTAGAATAGGTTAAGGAGCACATCTGTGTTCTAGGCAACATTGCCGTGGTGAATATGGTAGCCGTTTCTGTTTGAAAGGTCTTTTGCTCCCTTCTCTCTTTTTCCAGTTTTTTATTCGGCTTTTGCTAACAAGGTCTCAAATGCCAACTCGCCATGTTGTTTGCCCAGTATTATCATGCCTTCAGAAGCAGAATATTTCCATGCACTTTTTTCAGGTTCTGGTTTCTCATTATGATAGATGGTGACTCTGGCATTTCGTTATTATTAAGGGGGGTTTGGATTAAACTAAACCAGGGTTTCAAAAGTACTTTTACGGATAACGAAAAGTAAATATGTGGAGGAGGTTACCTCGTTTTGCGGAAAAGTGATTCTGAAACCTAGTTTGGTTTTGCCAAACCCCCCTAAATCAAATATTTTCCACCTATTTAAAAAGTTTATAATGTTAACAAAAATAAATCACTACTTAAAGAAAAGTATATAATTTTAAAGAAAGGATAAAGGAAACTAAATAATAAATGATAGAGTAAAATTATTGACTATCCCTTTATTTTACCTAAATTACAAGAACATTTCCTCTATTTTAAAATGCATATAAACTTCTCTTAAAATTAAAATGTACGTTACATGAATCTTCCTTATATATTTGAAATTCTATTTCCATTCATTCAATCGTTAACCAAAATATCCCTCCTAATATAAACATTTATTTAAATGTTTATATATGTTAAAAAAACTAATTTTGATAAATAAAAAAATAATTACTAATCTATGTATTTTTCAAACTTCTAATATGTTATACATTTTATAAATCATGAATGACTATATTATGAATTATTAAGTTTATTTTTCATATACATATTAAAACTTATTTTATTTAGGTTTTTTTTAAATGGCTAAAAAATATTTAAATGCATATTTTTCATCATATATATCAATTATGTGAGTTTGGGATGTTATATAAATAATTTAAATCTATAATTTAAATTTTTTAAAAAAAATTTTGTTGCAAACATTTATAACGTATTTTATTGATTATATATTTTTTAAAAATTAATCAAATTTTCATTCAATTTTTTATGGTTATATTAACTAAAGTACTTAATTTTTTGTCCCTATATGATAAAAATATTAAATAAATAACTATTTTTAAAAATAAAAAAATAAAAATAAAAAAATTAAATAAATAACATTTTTAAAAATAAAAAAATAAAATTAAGGTAAATTTTTTTAAAATTTTTGAAATGGTTTTAACCAAAATTTACGGATTTAGTATTATAAAGGATAAATCAGTAAATAAAAAGTAGTTCAACATAAATTTTAATTAATTTTTTTTTAAAAAAATTCAAAGCAGAATCAATGATTTGGATTTAAATATATATTTTAAAAAATATAAAAAAGACAGAGTATTTCACTCTAAATGATAATACAAGGTGAAATGCCTCAGCTGTATCGTACCGCGTACGTCAGAAATGGCGGGAAAGAGGCATACGGAGAGGTGTATGGGAGAAGCTTCCGCGCGTTCATTGAATCCTGAACCCTGAAGCCTAGATGAAAACTCGTCCCTCTTCGACTGCTCTGAATCATTACTAGTCTGCTCAGTGCTTACTCCTCTTTCCCTCTCCCCGCCGAATGGCTGACTCCAAAACTACCCCCAAGGCCTCCCACTCTAAACCCATTCCCCCCATCACTCCTTCCCATGCTCGCGAACCTTCTCCTTCTTGTTTACTACCACGCCCAAGCCCAACTCCCTCGGCCCCCGCCCGAAGGCGAAGCCTTCGTCTCCTCCTCGCCTCCCGGATCGATGTTGCTGCACGCCCCCCATGTGATTCTTCCCCACTCAGTAAAAATGGGGATTGCTCATTTCCCGAGGACCGTGAGTTCCAGAGGAAAATTTCTCGGGAGCTTAGTGCCCCCGGCGTGTCTCGCTTGGATGCTCAAGGCATGGGGTTGGACTCCAGCGGAAATGACATTAGGGATTTGGAACTCGCGGACAACACTGACCGCGCGAAAGTGGAATTGTTTAATGAAATGAGAGGAGACGGATCAAATTCGTGTTGGCACGGTTCAAGTTCGCAGATTCCTGGGCCCAAGTCCTTTAAGGCAAAGAGGAAGTGGGAGTTAAGTATGGATGTCCGTTTACATAGTTTTGAATGCAGGGAAGATGAAAGAAGAAAAGGTTTTCTGAATTTACGGTCTGGAAAGACGATACCTAAGAGAGGAACAAATGCCAATCCTGTGGACAAGACTCTTGAAGAAACTGAATGTCAAGGGCAAAACGATGATAATTTTATGGATGGTGCATCCATTGATAAGGATGTTGCTGGTGGTGCTGAGCGTTGTCGAAAAATGAGAGATGAAGATAGAGGAAACAAAGAACTTCACATGGATCTTTCTAAGTCAGTTGATACAAGACGATCAAACGGTGAGAGAATAGGCAAAGGAAAGTTAGTTGGTGTTAGTGAAAAAGGCGATGTTATTGAAAATGTGGATGCAGGGCTGAGCCGTGATGATTTGTTACCTAACGACAGTCAAGAAGCTATAATGGGCTTGGAATCCAATTCAGAAGATCATATTACTAAAGATGTCAGCCATTTAGAAGACAATACAGCCTCACAAGGTCAAGAACGGTTGATAAACGTGAGTGTAAGAGAGTATGGTTCAGGAAGGAACGAATATATGGAACGTTTCAGGGATGTAGCCAGGGCAAATGCTGCTCGATTTGCTCATTTTGCAGCAGATGAGGAAGATGACCGATCAACTAATGAAGCTAGAGTGGAAAATGAAGCTGAAGAATGGCCAGGTCCTTTCTCTACGGCTATGAAAATTATCAAAGATCGAGCAGTGAGAAGTACGCAAACAGATGGTGTCTCTTCGGAGAGGAGTTTACCTGTATCCGTAAAATGGGTTCCCAAGAAGAATCAAGGGCAAAAAGGTGCAAGATTTTCAATCCCTTCACTGCAAGAACTATGCATTAGCGTTCTTGCCAAGAATGCAGATGCTATCGTCTCCCTTAATAATGTCCCTGATGCTCTGAGGCATAAGCTGAGTCAGTTATTATGCAATCGTCGAAAAATGAACAGTCATTTTTTTGAACTTCTTGTCAGTGGATCACCCATGGAGATCCGGCTAAGGGATTGCTCATGGATGACGGAGGAGCAGTTTACGAAATCTTTTCAAATGTGCAACACTGCGAGTTTGGCAGTATGTTCCTAGAGTTATATGATAGCTTTCAGTATTTATTGCAATTTTATTATATTTTGATGTTTGGATTTCTGTGTCATACATTTTACTCAGAATTCTGATTATGAGTGTAGTATTATTATTCTAAACATGGTGTTGACATGCATCACGATGAACAGAGGGCTACCTTTGACCAACATTATGTCACCTGAATGTCAGAATCTTTAATGGATTAGTATTGGTGGGCATCTTTTCTGTATTATGTAAGCTAAGATTATTTAGAATATCTTCTAGGTACAAAAGCACTATACTTGATTAGGTTGGAATTTTAGCATTTCACTTCTATGTCATTCATCATGTGCATGAATTAATACCTTTCTCTGCATATATGGGGAGGATTTATTTGATGAGAAATACTCTTCCTAAATGGAGTATTTAGTGCGATGGAGACATTTATAAGTTTTGCTTTTCTTTAATGCTGATCTCTGTTTGGCACATGAAATTACTCCTTTAATCATGCTTAGCTAAATGTGGCTGTCTATACACATCTTGCCTCTATCTGAGTTTACTTTGCAGTTGCTTTGTTATGTAACCTAGTTTGACTTGGATGTAACCCCGGGACTGGACCTCATAATTTTATTGTCTTCTCTTAGTCTCAGAGAACCTTGGTATAGCGCTTTTTATTCTTGATGACTGACATTGCAATTTCTCTTCTCCTTTTTGTATCTTTATGTATGTTAAGCCCCTCTTATTTTTGCTAATAGTACTTTTCATTGTTATGTCATCTGATTTTTGTTGTATGGTAGCTTTTAGTTTTTGCATTTTCTATTTCTTTTGGAAGATTTCTTTCTTTTTCCTTTTTGCTTTTGATTAAGTTTCTCTAGTGTTTCAAACTCTACAACTCAGGGGAGTCAAATTCTTGTTTATTCACTGGTGTAATAGGTGTTACAACTTGATCAGTGTGGTCGCTGTTTGCCGGATTATGTATTACGCTCTACTTTGGCACAGGCACCAGGGCATTTACCTAGATTAACTAGTTTGTCCCTCAGTGGTGCATGCCGTCTTTCAGATGAGGGGTTGCATACCCTAGTTTCTTCTGCCCCTGCACTTCGATCAATCAATCTTAGCCAGTGCTCTCTTCTTACATCGACCAGCCTTTATATCTTGGCCGATTCATTAGGATCACTTCTGAGAGAGTTGTATCTTGATGATTGCCAAGGCATTGATGCTGCACAAATTGTGCCTGCACTGATGAAGCTTGAGCATCTTGAAGTTTTGTCGGTGGCAGGTATTCAGACTATTTGTGATGATTTTATCAAGGATTATATTATTGCCCGTGGTCACAACATGAAGGAGCTTGTTTTAAAGGATTGTGTGTGAGTACCATATGAGAACTATCCCTATTAATGTTTCGAATCTCCTCAAGAGTGTTTTCATACAAGTATTTAAGTGAGTTAAATGTTGATTTGTATCTCTCAATGTGCAGAAAGTTGACTGATTTGTCAATAAAAGTCATTGCTGAACACTGTCCTCAGTTATGTGCGCTTGATCTTATGAACTTGACTAAATTAACAGATTCATCGATGGTATATCTAACAAATGGTTGTCAAGCACTTCGTATGCTGAAACTTCGCTGCAATGCCTTCAGGTGCTTGGTTTTGCTGTTATCTCGAGGCTTCTTCCATTTCGTATTTTCATTTTGTATGTTTTTTTACTTTTCACCGCATGCTTTTTGTGGGCATCTTATGTTTTATTATGCACTTTATGTATATGATTCTGTTCTTGTAGGTTGACAGTGATTTAGTCTACTTGTCAGAGGCTACTTGTAGGAGTTTCTAACTGTGTAACTAACTGTCTTGGCTTTTGGAATGTTGATAGCATCATTTTCATATTCTTCTGATTGTGCTTCATAGCTTTTTTTTTTTTTTGACCGGAGATTGTGCTTCATAGCTGGAATCCATCAAATCTTCATGCCTTCTGATTGTTGAATAACTGACATAACTTTTTTCTAACAGTGATGAAGCAGTTGCTGCTTTCCTGGAGACAGTGGGAGAATCGTTGAAAGAACTTTCCCTCAATAATGTTAGGAAGGTACCTTGTTTACCTTTTCTTGCTTGGCGGTGCATGCCATGCATACACACATTTTAAACACTTTGAACAATTCCAGATTCTGACCTCTTTGATTCACAGAGCAGTTCAGAGGTTCAAACATATAGGAGATTAATGCGGTTAATCCACCTGACAATCGGGGATGAGATAAAAGGGAAAAATTGCGAATGATATGATTTTTAATTATTTAGATAGTAAATACAAGAAATACAGATTTCAGTAAAGGCTTTAGGTTTATTAAGATAACGGGCCCAATTTGGGCATGCCGTCACCAACACATGTAAAGCAGCTGAACATTGGAACGTTGTCCTAAAGTGAGCTAATAGTATAAAGTTTAACATCTCGATTCTCCAGTCTGATCTCCATTCTTGGTAGGGTTACCCGAAACAACGTTGTCTGGCTGTTAAGAGTGACCCAACAAGGAGTTTGCCCCTCCCCCGGTTTTTTGTACTGATGAGTCTATTCTTTGAATGGTAATCGAGGCTGTTAATCTTCTTGCTATCAGTCACCTGTTTAATTTCTAGTACGGGAGCTGTTATATCTTCTATATACTGTTGCCCTTACTGGGTGCAGCATTGTTTTTATTCAGGTTGGCCGCCACACAGCCTTGTCACTTGCAAGCCATGCAAAAAATTTGCATACTCTGGATCTGTCCTGGTGCCGGAATTTGACAGACAGTGCAGTGGGTCTTGTTGTGGATTGTTGCTTATCTCTGAAGCTCCTTAAACTTTTTGGATGCACTCAGGTATAAATAATTATATATTAGTTTGAATCCTTTGCTATAACTAAATTACTGAATAAAGCGCTGCGAGGAAGAGATAGCAAAAAGAAAGGGAAAATATAACTAGTATTTGAACTTATATCTTAATTATTGATTCAGTGCCTAAACTTTACTAAATCTCAGTAGATTCTAGACTTGGAATAAGTTGGTCCTTATAACTCCGTAACTCAATGAACTATAAAGACGGAGTTATTCTGAGTCAAAGTTTATGGACTTAATCCATTAGAAGTTTTATTTTCCAAATAAAGTGTAAATAAATGAATAAGATCCTATGTATTTCTGTAGTGTAGTGCCACACTCTTTCATTATAGACTATGAACATTACTGGAGTGGATCTAAATAGTAATTTGTACAAAGAAATTACCGTTAAGGTTTTAAATGTTGGCTCTGCATCTTGGCAGATTACAGATGTATTTTTGAACGGCCACTCCAATCCGGAGATCCATATAATTGGTTTGAAAATGTCTCCTCTGTTGCAGCATGTTGAAGTGCCCGACAGTCAACCGCATGCTTTGCACTATTCGTCGGTTTATCTATAAATTTAGTGGTCTGAGAATTCTTGCCTTTGGGTTGGCGCATGATATTCTCATAAACTTGGAATCGTGATTTTAAGCTTAAGATGTAGAACTAAATTTTGGACGAGTCATGGGAAGGCACAGACAGATTTGCGACTTTTGACTTTCTTGCCTTCGATGTGTTTTGATTTATATGATCCATTCAGCTTTCAAAAATCAGGAGCTTAAATTTCCTTGCTAGGCGTAAAAATAGGAATCTTTTTTTTTTTTTTCAAATTTTACTTCTGAGAAAAGGAAATTTTCTTCCTAAGCATGAATATCTCGGAAGAAAATCGTTCATTTAATTAGCACTGTATCAGAATGCATTGATCATATCTGTGTCTGCTCAAGTTTCTTGTGACATGAGTTTATCGAAGTTTTGAATCTAATTTTGTAAACCTTGACAATCCAAGACAAATAATTGTTCATCGGTGTGTGTCCAATCAAATCATATATAGTACACCATGTTTTGGATTGATCTATATATGTAAGCGAAGCAAGTACGGTTGCTGGGGTGACAAATGATCATGCGCCGGTTCGACCATCTGAAAAGGATACAAGGAAGATCCTTGGCATTTATGTGTAAATAAAAAACCGCAGTCCATGCAATACATAACAAGGGTCAAGCACGCCAGTTATTAAGAAGAGTGATATGAGAGGCAAGCTAGATTATGAGCAAATTAAGAATTGAATTACCTCAAAACCCATTTTTTGGTACAATATCTGTGCAGGTCTGTTGTTTGGGTCAACGTGCACATACGCCTGTTCCGCCCCTGCTCATTTAATCACACAGGAGGAATAGCTAGCAGGTAAACAACTCGATTGTTTTGTGCAAAGAAATTAGAAAGACAGCAGGGGCAACAAATTACATTACCATGAGATTTAGCATATTCAACAGCAAAATACAGCATGTTGCTGGCAATGCCCACCCGACGAGCTGATTTGGCAACACATAAGTTTGCGATATAGCCATATCTGCTTGGCGGTGTTCTGTCTATGCTACGAAAAAGAAGAGGAGGAGCCTTCACCCCTTCCTGCAAAAGTGAGATTTCACACAGCAACGCCATCATCAGTGACCAAATTGGAATTTCAATTGCAAATTCAAGTGTCATTTTATTAGAATTTTCCTGTATCGCAACGACAATGAATACAATTTTCTTTTTTCTTTTTTTCTAAAACCCGGAAAACGGAGCCTGCGCCTGCCCATCCCTACCCCAGGAAAGGTCTCTCCCTTCAGCAAATATCCAATGCTCAAATCAAGGGTCCCAACCACGCTTTTCAATATTGACCCTTTTACATTCTTCTGCTCGTTATTCACCTGATAAAATCGACTCCAAACAGTTAAAATATTGATAATCAACTGTCTATCTGCACTTTGATACGCAAAAAGGATCATTTCGTCACATCAAAGTAGATGTTTCGTACAACCTGAAATTATCAACCAAATCAGAATCTAACATCATCATCGTTACCGTGATAATGCATGTACAGCTCTCCCTGGTTTGCCCTCTGCATCGCCTCTTTACTGCGTTATATTCCTAGGCCACAAGAACTAGCAACTATCGTAAAGAATTTCTTGGAAGATTCCAGACTTCATCATGCACATACACTGAGTTTAGGGTCTTATCAAAGTCGTTTGCATCGTCTCATACCTGCTCCGCAAATTTTCTTTTGTAGTTATCAATATATCTGGAAAAGCCATAGTGAGAATCAGTGGCACAGGCAGTTAACTTTTCCTTCAATGGGGATCAATCACACCCGCTTAAAATTGAATGACAATGGCAACAACAAATTGTTTCACCTTCATCTTTTAGAGTCCTTGTAACTCCACTCTCCAACTTCTTAATGTACTAGGTAGAAAATTTGAATAGGTTTGTGAAAGAACATTTCTAGAGTACTGTATTCCGTACCGTTCATAAGTTCGATCCTCCCAGTGACTTTCTGCCCTTAGCCACGCTGCTGTCTATCACGAAAAACGAAATTAGCAAATACAAGAACTATATTTATGTAACAACTTATTACTGACCCAATACTCTTCATCAAGCATGGCTTCTCGGGCAACAAATTGCCCAAACTCGAACATATTATCTGGAGCCAATTCTTGATATGATGGCTGCGATTCGTCACAATGTAGATTATCGCACCCCAGAATTTCCGCCACGAGCATGGATGATGTTGAAAGCTGTACTGAAACTTCTTCCTTTTTATTATTCATCATAGCGTGGAATTTTGAGCCCATCGCCCTGTTCAAGCTATCAAACAGAACACAAAACTTAATGTAGTCTCGCATCCCGGCCGGGGGTCAAAGAGGGAAAAGACAGAATATTGAAACTCACATGGTCCAAGAGGCAGTAATTCTTAGACATTTATCCCGGCTTGGACACCCATTAGGAAAGAAATTTTGGAATTCAGGTCTTTGAATTGAAACTGTTGACATAGGATGCATGCTTCCTCCGGATTCAAGAGACTCCTGCATATATTTTAGAAAAGCTAAATTATGTTTTGGCAACCTAGAAGAAGAAAAGACTCTGCTGGTGCAACAGTGCAAAATCCAATCCTTACAATTTGGACGGAATACATAAGAGGTTCAAACACCAAACGGATTAAACTAGAAGAATTTGGTGCAGAAGGAAAGAAACGTTGAATCCCATCCCTAAATAAACAAAATTACCCATTATGTTATTATTCATTTATTCTTCTTCTTGCTTACCAAGTTTGAGACTGGACGGCAATGAATTGGGAGCGCTTCTTGGCCATGAAGTTTAGGGGTGATGATGGGGTAGGGGCTTGTTTTTTGGCTAGAGGGGTAGGGGCTATCAGTGGTTGGGGTATGCAGGAATCGGCTTACCCATAATTCTCACCAGAGAACATTTTTCTTATTGTGGCTGTGACAAATTTTGATCATTGGCTTACAATAGATAAGTAATATTAATATTTAATAGATATCTACAAAATATATACATTGGTTAGTCGTATTAAGAATCCGTTTGGTCAACCCACCGCTGCAAACGTGTAATGGTAATTTTTATTGTATTATCATAAATGAATCGTTTAGTTAGTCTAATTTGTTTTTTTTATAACAATGGAAAGAGAAAAACAAGCTACTAGTCTCCGGTATCTGCATCCATGACTTCCCTAAGCGTGTGTGCGTTATGGATCGTCAAGCCCAACGCGTTGCGCAGCGCACGTTTAGCTAATCCGTCAGCAATCAAGTCTAATTAACAGTAAAGAAGATTATACTGGTTTTGGTAATATTTAGGGGTGCACATAGGTAGGTTTGAGCATATAGAACCCCTGCTCAATGTTCAGCCTGAAATATGTACAAACTGCATCTGTCTAGTCCTGTCTATAGAAACTCTAACTATTTTGGGTAGGATATAGGCAAGACAAGCTTTATTGCTCAAAAATTGACACCCTACTCATATCAAAAAAAAAATTCATTCATACTTGAAATTTTCAAAGTATTAAAAACCGGACCGGTCAAGATAATGGATTAAAGTTAGTTGGTCAAATTAGGATTAAACCGGAGTCAGACCGGTCATAACTAAAATAATAGAAGTTTTAATTATATAGTAAATATTTTAAATAAAAAATAATATTAGACCAAAATCATAATAATTTTTTAAAATAATAAAAATTAGTGGCGGGATAAGATTTTATTTTGCTTCCAGACGGCTAGACCTTTTTTTTTTTCAAGTATCCATTGGACATATATGATATATGGCTATACCCATGCATTTAATATTATTAATTTATTATCAACTAAGCAACTAAATTGCATTGGAGGTCGGAATTGAAATTTCATTTTTCTTGTGCGCATTTATTTGTTTATGCAGCTTTTCAGCTTTGTATTTTCCCCATACAGCAGCAGATTTGACATTGATAATATTAAGTTCAATCCCCCACGCGCAACCCTTCTTTCTTCCTTCAGCCATTTTCTTCTTTATCTGTTTCTCTTCTCTTCGTGTTCTTTCATCTTCTGCAAAACTCTCTGGTTGGTGTCTTATTTTTTGCCCTTCTCATCGTTCTCCTTCTCCTCTTCATTATTGTTAGGTAGTTTCTTTCATGTTTTTTACCTTCAAGTTTGTTCTTCATTCGCACGCTCTCTCTCTCTCTCTCATTTTTTTTTGCAAGCTTTCGTTTTTCTTCCTCTAGTAAGGGAGTGGTGTCACGGTTGGGGAAGAAAAGGAAGCAACCCAGGTAAACCGCGAAGCCAACCCAACGGGTTAGCCGGGTTCTGTCCGAGTTACAACGGTCAAAAACGATTTATCCCGAGTTAGATTTTTCTCGGTTTTGGAAAGAACTGGACCAGACAAGTGGCCTGTTTGCGGGTTTCCGGTCTAAACCGGTTGATACCATATCTAAAAATCACATTTCATAATTCTACGTTTTAGCACATTAAAATCATCCAAAAATAATCTAAAACAAATATTAACAAAAATCTAATTAAATAACATTAATAATCTATTTAAAATAAAATTTAATATTGTAATTGAAACCTTAAAATTTGAACAATTTGCATTTTGTATCAATCTTCATAATTTTCAGAAAAGACTCAAACACCTGAAAAATACAAAAAAAAAAAAACAAAGTTTAATATATTAGAAAATAAACAATAAAAAAAAAGAAATGTACTTTTAAATTTTAAAAGATATACTAATTCACCTTACTAGCTTAACTAGTCATATTTATAAAATAACCTTTTAATCCTCAATAGCCGTTAAATTCTCCCTCCAAGTATATTAGAATCTAGGAAAAATAAAATCAAATAACAATTACATCACAAATTATAAAGTAAAATATCAGTTATTGAAGCTTTAGGAAAAATAAAATCAAATAACAATTACATCACAAATTATAAAGTAAAATATCAGTTATTGAAGCTTTCAGGGAAAAAAGCTAGACCATCCAATTCCATACGCTAATGTTGAACAGCATTTAATACAAAGAATTCAATTCCATGCGCCAATGTATTATATACCATGATTAATGGGATTGTCTCATATTTCAAGTAAAGCAAGGTGCATTATCTAATCTAATTAAGTGAATAGTAAAATTGAACTACCATTAAAGAATCAAAATATCAAGATTCAAGCCTCCACACGTTTCCAATAAAGTAGCAACACTCACGTGCTATGCAAATAGTAAAGAAAAACCTAATAAAATAAAAGCCTTATCCAATTTCTTTTTCAATAACACAACAAGTATCTTGACCCATGCTCACAGATTACTCATCTTTAGTTAACTTGCCCATTTTTTCAACTTCTCTCAAAATATTTCATTGTGAAGTTAACAATTTAACAATAATATATACTAATACACCAACAGATTAACGTCTCTCTCTTCCTCCTTTTTCTTAAGTCCACTTTAAGACTATACTTGGCACATTGCATATTGAAAGTAATGATTCAATGCATTCTATAAAATCGAACCTGAACAAAGAAGCCAGACAGAGATGTTCATCTAACAGAAATTATGAAGCTATATATTACAATTCACAAACACATATGCCTACATAACCTATCATAAACATCTTAATTTCATCATCCTTTCAAAATTGTAAACAGAAAATCCCAACAGACAAATCAACATAGAAAAATGGAGCAACTGGAATGGAAATGAAGACTGACTTGAGATAGGAGAGATGGACCTCGCTGTGAGCTACCAAACTATTCGATGGCTTGCTGCTTCGTTGGTTGGTGGTCTTAACAAAATTGGAGATGAAGACCAAGAGTGAGAGGGAGGGAGACGAGACTGAGAGGGAGGGGGAGACAGAGACTGAGAGGGAGAGGGAGACAGAAACAGAGATAGAGACAGAGAGGGAGGGGGAGACGGAGAGACTGAGAGGGACAGGAAACCGAGACTGAGAGGAAGGGGGAGAGGGAGATGGAGACTAAGACTAAGAGGGGGAGACAAAGACTGAGAGGGATAGACGGAGAGGGAGACCAAGAGGTGAGAGGGAGACTAAGACCGAGAGGGGGAGACTGAGAGGTGAGAGGGAGACTAACCTCCTGCTTGGATGAAAAGACAAGTTGGGAGGAAAGAAAATAGAGAGAAGAGAAAACTGAAAAGAAAATATTATTACTCATTCTACTTGGATGAGTGAGAGAAAACAAGAAAAAAAGAAAAAGTATTAGAATGACTAAAAGACCCTTAATAATTAATTGGCAAGGAAACTAAAACAATTTAGCAAAAAAAAATATATTTTTCTATGTAAAACTAAAAAGAGAATAATTTTTTAACTTATTTCCTTTTAATTAAAATAAAAGGAAATAAATAACCTATACATTATCTAATATTTTAATAAAATGATAAAAATCAAATAAAATTAAAGATTATAATTATATGAGAAATTGATATCATGAAAATGGATATGGGACGAAATGAAAGCTGAGGCTGAGGATTATTATAAAATAAAATAAAAGGAAAGGCTAAGGATTATGAGCTTGGTATGAGAGGGTAGTGACGGAATGAGGAAAATCTCTCCATTTGTGGAGAGAAATTTTGAGAGGAAAATGGGTGTGGGACCCACTCCCATTTCCCCCCTCACTTTTCCTTCCTCTTTTATTTTCTTTCCTATCCAAGCAGAGAAAAACGTAATTCCTCTCCCATTTTTCACTCCACTTTTCCTTCTTCTCCCATTTTCTCTCAATCCAAGCAAAGCATAAGCGACTGAGTTTGAGAACTAGAGCAGAGGAGTAGCGGTTTGGGGGGCAGCTAGGGCTGGAAGAGTGGAAGGAAAAGTAATATGAAAGAATTAAAAAAAAACTGAACATACAAATTTATCTTGGGCAGGACCAAATAGGCGAGGCAGGCTACCCTGCCCGGCACCCGGCCTTGCATGTGATCAGCTCTACCCAAAAAGTACTCTTTTTCTTTTAGGCTTCAATTTTTTGAGTCAGGCTAGGCTTTTTTTTTTTCAGGCTCAGGCTAACACTGTCGAACAGACATCATGAACACCCCTAATAATATTTATTCATAGAGTCCCCAATGAAAACTCGTTGCAGGCCTATAATCTATTATAAAATGCCAATTTTGTCCTTTATAACCTATGTGAAAAGACAACATTTGCCCGCAGGATTACTTTTGCCGACGCCCCTTCACCACCATTGAACACTTCTTCCTTCCTCAACTCCTTCTTCTTCTTTATCAATAGTTTTCTTTATTGAGTAGGCGTGCTATTTATTGTCTTAACCCACCTACTAGATCCATTTATTAGCTTCTCTGATTTTGCTTATTCTCTCTCTCTCCCCCTAAACTCCTTTATCTCCATAGATTTCAATTAGTGCTCCATTGTTTGTCGCTACTTCATGGTTTAGGTTTATCCATTCAGCAATTTGGAGATTCTTTTTTCCCCTATAATGAGTTCATGTATTCAAGTTCTGGATCTCAAGTTCCACCCGATACTGCTCATCAATTTTGATAATTAAGACTTGAACAACAGCAATTGGTTTCACACCACTAAGACTCACCATTTATTGATTTCATTTTTTGAATTTTGATTTTTGCCTAATTTTGTGATTTGTGTTATGGCTGCAGTTCTGATTCATCAGCAATAGGATAGACTAGGCGGAGGAGAGAAGTTTCCTCTAGTGGCAGTTTTGTCTTTTCAAAATTATTTATATTTAAATTAATTAAAAAATTGATGTTGTCTCTCATCTTTTTAATAGGGTTAAGGTGCAATTTTAATCCTGATCTTATTTCTCAGGTGCAATTTTGCTCCTAAATTTTTAGTAGTGCAATTTTGTCCTTGATCTTATTTTTTATGTGCAATTTTATTCTTGATCTTTTTTTCTAGAGTGCAATTTTGTCACTGATCTTTGGGTGATGACCCTGAGGGCAAAATTGCAAAGTCAAAATTGCACCACTAAAAAGATTAGGGGTAAAATTACACCTAGAAAATAAGATAGGAGTTAAAATTACACCTTAACCTTTTTTAATATCATACCAAACAAAAACATGGCAATTAAGATTGGATACATTATGGATTACATCGCATTACATTACACTCCTGACTTATGTGTAATGGAATCAAAGCGGGCTTTAAGGTTTTCATCGAGTAGTGATTATGATTAAAAAGATGTTTTAAATAATTTAATTTATATTTTTTATAAATAACTAACTTAATAAATCTTTTTAATTTACTCAAATTAGTTAAGTAATTTTTATATTAAGTATCGAAAACAGTAAAACAAAACTTACAAATTAAAGAAGTTAACTGTGATAACCAATTGTTTGGCTTTTTGGCCAGCGCATAGTAGTTTCATGTGTTTGAATAAAAAAAGAAGTGATTTTTTGAAAAAAAAAATCATGTTTTAAAATGATTTTTTAGTCAATATAATTCGCACTAATTTATAATTTCGTCCCTATAATTCAATATGTTACAGCTCAGTCTGTGATGTTGGCCCTTAAACTTTTTAAAATGATAGTAGACTAGTCCTTAACATCCGCAAGTGGAGGAGAGAGTCAAACTTGCGCTTATATGGCAAGTAGAATAAGACATTTGGCACTTAACGTGGATGACTCACCCACACCATAGTCTCTCTGTTTTTTTTTTTTTTTTGGGACCAATTAAGTGATAATCATTTCTCACTCATTAACAACTTCGTTGTTCATGTCACCAAAGAAAAAAACTTGGTTGTTCAAAAAGACTAACACGCCATGTATCAGAATGACAGGCCTCCGTTCTCTAAATTTTTAAAGCTAAATTACATACAAACCATACTTTTTCAACCAAGGGCGATAAGAACAGGCGATTTTCCTGCATTTCTGCTTCTCAAAAATCAAACACACATTCGAGTCGGAGCAGTACCTCTTCTTTAAAGCCACATTGGTTACCACCGCATCAGTCAAGCACCTCCACATGAAATGTGACAATTTTGGAGGCTCTTTGATCTTCCACGTAGCCGTCCACAAGCAATGATATCCTCTTTTCAGAATAATTTCTTTTCTTTTCTAGAGCCCGTAGTAGCATGTCTCTCCTACATTCCTCACCGATGAGAATAGCTTTTATCTGCTCAATAACTTCCCCATTTACTTTCCCTCTCAGCTCCTCCAAAGCCCATCTACCACCTTGTATTAGTGCTGCAACAACATTCATATCGTCACAAGATGGCGCAATCTTACTTCCTTTTAGGCCATCATGCCAAATTCTAATAAATTCGTCATTGCAAGCATGCCACACTAAATCATTTTCCAGCATCCTTTGACCCTCAAGACTAAAACAATTCCACGCAAAAGTCTTCCGCCTCTGGTTTCCTCTAGGAAATTAAATCAATTCCGAGGAAAGAAAATGAATCCCTTTAACCCACCAGGTTTCAGGATTCGAGAGAATTCTCCATGCCATCCTCGCTAGTAAAACAACGTTCATAGTTTAAAATTCTTTAAAGCCTATGCCTTCTTTATTCTTTGACACAGCCATTTACCCAACGACAATCAAACCTAGCCTGTATCGTAATGATATTAGAGTGGAAATGATCACGACCATATTGGAAGATACTTCTAACGCTGATGTATACTGATTACTGAATGTGTCATTTTACAGATATTATGTTTAGATTACGTTTTTTTCATAGGATTTTCAGCCAAATTCTCAATTAGAAAAATGGCAAACTCAACATTTGGGCATATAAGGCTGATCCTTTAATACCTTGATCCTTACCCCGCCATAATCAAACTTACTATAAGGCTGTATCATGATAGTATTACAGGGGAATAACCACCAATATATTGAAAAATACTTCTAATGTTAACGTCTACTCGATGTGTTGTTTTAGAGATTTTCTTTCTAGATCACATTTTTATAGGATTTTTAAATCAAATTCTCGATAAAAAGAATAGTAAAATCAATATTTGAGCTTCTAAAACTAATTCTTTACTATTTGCTTGTTTGAAGCTTCTTAATATAAACACTTATAATTATTTTTATATAAATTGAGACAAAACTTTTTTTACATACTTACCTCGTGTTCTATAAATCACAGTTAAAAAATTAATTTTAAAGACTCTTATTCGTGCTCCAAATAAATCATGTATTATATCCATTCCCCCTCCTCTTCTGATGTGGAACCTCCAGCAACATACTTAGAGAATGTTAGAATCACAAATGGGTTAGATCAATTAATTAGAAAATAAAAGCATAACGTCAAGCTAAAATTCAGAGGAACTTGTTCTTAAATTCTTAGTTATCAGAAATTTATCATCTAAACCCATAAAAAAAAACTTGTACGTAAAGAGTTGTCCAGAATAGCTAATTCATCAAGCATATACCAAAACAATCTCGTTACTAGAATACTTGAAGGCCACTCATAGATGGAGAAACCTCTTACCTTGTGATATGATATAATTTGTTTTTTGATGTCCGACTTAGCTTGTGGCCTTGTTACTAAAAAAATTATCTAGAGATGCTTAAAATTTTCCCTAATCATCTAAAAAATCTTCAAATAATAAAACAACATAACAATTGTGACTCAAATTAATTTCAAGTGAGTTTGTCTTTAAACAATGCCTCTTATAATTCAAAGCAAGCCAACCTTTAAACTTATTAAGATTTTCAATCAGTATTTATGTTAGATTGGACTCCAAATATTTCTTTTAATTTATATTATATTAAATTAAATTAAATTTTGGACAAAAATATTAAAGTAAAAATAATTTTGAGTTTGAAAGTAATGTGTTTTTTTTTTTTGGGGGTGGGGGTGTGGGTGGGGGTGGGGGGGGTTTGTTTGGTTGTGGTTTTATCGTAAATCAGCAATGAGTTGAAGGGTGCACTTGGACTGTGAAGTGTTTTCCTAAACAAAAGTTGAAGGTGGCAGACCAAGGACAGCGAGCTTCTAAGAAAAGGGTTTTAAGTGGGAGCAGCAAGAGATGGCAACTCTGTCCAGCAGGAGGAGAATCCAAACCTACGAAGAATTCGTCGAACTTCATGGGTTGCTATTGGCAGCATCGGGGTTGCCTGAGTCACTATACCGCCAGCTATTCGAGAAGCTCTCAACCGAGACCTTCGACGGTGGCCGCTACTTCCAAATTGAGCCCTGCGAGGATGGTCGCCAGCGACGCCTCCTTCTTACTGCCGACTTCATGCCCAAGCACTCCCACGTCTTCCTTATTGATCATGCATGGACTTTTAGACTTTCCGATGCTTACAACCAGGTCTCAACCTTATTTCACACAACTTATTTAAAATGCCGTTTTGTTAGAACTTGATATTCTGTCCTAGTAGTCCAAAGAATAAATGCGTCTTTCTTTCTCGAAATTTGAGAAGTCTCTGGGTGACTGCAGCTGCAACAGGTTCCAGGATTGGCAGAGAGGATGGGTTCTTTGATGTGTGTAGATATTGATCTAAATATGAACGCTGACGAGAATGACCTTGCTAATGGAGCTTCGCATGAGTATGCCAAGACCGATGTTGCCCAGTCACTGGAGAGTGAATTGGAAGCAGCACAAATGAAAGGCAACGGTCCGTTGACTTGGTTGGAGCTTGACGGACTTGGAATAGATGACGATATGCTTCTATCTCTGAGTTTATCTGATAGATTTCCGGTTAGTAATTTTTCTTTTCCTTATATACTATCTTGTTTGACTTTTAGTTTGGTACTCATTATAAGATCTCAATGTATTTTGTCTCTTATATTTTTTTTTCCGGGTAGTCCTTCTAATAATAATAGTTCTAGCCAGCACACTTAATTAGTGAGAATATTTTAGGAAAAACAATACCTATTTATTACAAAAAAACTAACTTAATTTATTTCCTTAATCTCCTTAAATTAGTCAACTAGCTTTTATAATTAGGATCGGAAATGGTACTAAGTACTACCTTGGGTTGGTTGACTTATTTGGAGGAATCAAGAAAGTTATGTTACTATACTATTTGAAAGGATTTATATTTATCTTTTTTATCCAAACTAATTTGTCTAGTTTATAAATTGATTCATATAAATATTTTAGAGTGATCACGCAACATATACTGCAATTAAGTAATTTAGTAATTTTTTAATTTTTTGAAATTAGTCAACTGAATCTTATATACTAGAGATAAATACTAGGGATAGGAGATAGTGTAATGCGGAAGCGTTATGTTATACTTCACGAATAACAGACATTTCATGATGAAAAGGTACATTTAGCTGAAGCCAACCGTTATTTACAGTCTAATTCTATATGTTTGGGCTCTCCCTCCCCTTTCATTGGATCAGGATCTTCTGGCACTTAGCCTGTGCGGGAACAAACTTGGTAAATTGGCAGTGGTCGCACAGGAAGTCATCAAATTTAAATGCCTAAAAGCACTTTGGTTGAACAATAATCCGATCCTTAAAAGTTGGTGAGTTTGCGGAGAGATAGAAACGCTTGCTTAAATTGGTCATTCGCCGCACTATGTTTTAGGAGAAGTAATTTATTCTTATTCTTCCAGTGATGGCGAGTTGGCTGATGCAGTTCTCAAAGTATTACCAGAATTGGAAATCTATAATTCAGCTTTTACTAGCAACTTCGGTGTGTGGGCATTAGGCTTTGTTGCGGGCATATATGGAAAGGATAATCCAGGTGGCACTGATCAGGATGACTTTCCACTGCAGAGTGTGTCCTCTCTTGACCTGTCGGATAGAAACATCCGCAATTTAATCAGTAAGGTTGAACTATTTATCATGCAGCTTTTCTATCAGCTCTTTGCATTCCAGAGCTGTGTTCATCATTATAGTACAGGACAAAGTTCTTTTACATGAGTTCCAATTACTGAAAGTCTGCACTCCTTTTCATCTTAGAGGCACTGAAATGGTAGCCTAAGTATATTCCTAACTGATCATGATGTTATCATGCAGCATTTGATGCTAATCTATTGCTCCTGAGTCTATTCATTGTTGTTCTTGTTGGCTCCCCTCTCTTCAGGCATTTGCACCACATCGTTTGCCATCTCTTTCATACTTGAACCTTCGTAGAAATCCATTGGAGCAAAACTCAGTCAATGACTTATTAGAACTATTGAGAGGTTTCCCATGCTTGCATTCGCTCGAGGTACTTTTGGTTTATATCTTATGCCCTGTTTTCCTCATTTGCTTTGCTTTATAATCATTCTTTTCTTTAGCGTCCTACTGCATAACAAGCCCTTGGACCTTCTGGAATATGAGTTATTTTCAGGTGGATATACCTGGTCCACTTGGAGGTAGTGCCATAAAAATACTGGAGTCTCTTCCTAACATTTCAGAGCTTAATGGAGTCAGTGCACTAAAAATATTAGAAGCTCAAAAACATGTCATCGATTCGATGCTTCTTCCCCGTCTTCCTGAATGGACTGCTGATGAGCCTCTTGCTGATCGCATTATAAGTGCAATGTGGCAATATCTAATGACATATAGGCTTGCAGATGAGGAAAAGATTGATGAAACTTCTGTTTGGTATGACCTCGCTTTCACTTGTTTCCCTATTAATTCCTAGTTACAGTACAAATGTACAATCTTTCTATGATTGCTTTAGTATGTAGATTACATAATTTTGAGCCTTTAGAAGCAATTTTCAATTGCAAAAGTTTTGTTTCATGGTCCAATTAAGTATTGGTATTTTATGCTATTTGATTGCATCAATGCCTTGCCACTATTGATTGTTTTGGTGTTTTAGGCGACTAAACAGAAATCAAGGTCTTACATCAATTATCTTAATTTCTAAATTTACCAATGATACGTGAATGTCAGGGCATTTTGCTTTGGATATTTTTGTAGGTACGTAATGGATGAGCTAGGATCATCCCTGCGGCATAGTGATGAGCCAAATTTCAGATTGGCTCCTTTTCTTTTCATGCCAGAGGGGAATCTAGCATCAGCTACAAGGTACTTCTAACTAACCCTTACTCTGCTTTTTCACTTTGTTGTTGATGTCTTCTTTTATATACATACACACACAGAGGGCACAAAGTGAAGTTTTTTATCCTATGAATGAATCTGCGGTTTTACTTTATGCATCATGTATTCTTTTGCTCAAAATTTCCAAAACTATTTTCATCAGTATGGTCCGTTTGATCAAGACTTGTATTTTGGAATATTACCTTTTCTTTCGGTAAAAAAGTTTGTAATTTGTAACCTAACCTTGGAATATGATGTAAGTCAACATTGTTCATCATTTATAATACTGAACTAACCTTTTTAATTTATTTATTCTCAGCTTTTCTATATTATGGCCTGCTCAGAATGTTCAGAAAGGCGATGAATGTACTCGTGATTTTCTTTTTGGTATTGAGGAGGAGAAACAACGTTCGGCCAGGCTTACAGCCTGGTTCCATACCCCGGAGAACTATTTTATTCAGGTATTTTCCTCCTTTACTCTAATAGATTGTGACTTATGGGCTATTACTCTTTAGAGGGTTTTCAGAAAGTTTAAAGCTAATTAGCTTACTACATTCAGGAGTATGAGAAGCACCATAAGAAGTTGCAATCAGAAAGTTTAATACCCCCAACTATGCAATCTTCTAACACTAGAACCGTCAGTCATGATCTTGGTGGACGTCCTTTGCTTGTTTACTCAGATATACCTCAAGTAGAGGAATTTCTGACACATCCTGGGTTTGCAATCTGTAAGTGCAGTAAACCCATAGTGGATAATGCTATTATAGAAGCTTAAATTTCCTCTAAGTCTTTATTCTTCCCATTCCGGTCACTCATTATTATGTAGACTATTATTTAATTTGAATATATTTTATTAATAATTGTTATTAATTTTTGATGTATGGCATGCCATCTTTTCTGGCTCTGTTGCTTTAAATTTGTTTGCATCACAGCGAAAGAACCAAAGGATGCGGATATAATATGGACAAGTGTGCAAGTAGATGAAGATATGAAGAAGGTCACTGGGATAACAGATCATCAATACATTAATCAATTTCCTTTTGAGGCTTGTCTTGTCATGAAACATCATTTGGCAGAGACCATTCAGAAGGTGATAACTGTCAGCTAGTTCACATTGTAACTGATGCTAACGTAATCATTCTAAATGGCTGAAGTGTATCTATTGCCAATTTCTAGCGAAATACCATGCTATTTGAAAAAAAATTATGTAATACTTAATACACTAGTATGTAACATTTTTACTTTGCAAGTTTGCATAGCCAAATTTATAATAGTGAGATATCGTAACTTACGATTAGTTTTTTCTCCTTTGAGGTTTCATGATAACCTTTTTTTTCTTTTGGGTTGGGCCAGGTACATGGATCTCCTGAATGGCTGCAGCCTACTTATAATCTTGAAACACATCTATCTCAACTTATTGGAGACTACTGTGTACGCAAAAGAGAAGGGCTTAACAATATATGGATACTAAAACCTTGGAATATGGCGCGAACTATTGACACTACTGTAACTGATAATTTATCTGCAATAATCCGACTCGTGGAAACTGGTCCTAAAATTTGCCAAAAGTATATTGAGAGGCCTGCTTTGTTCAATGGGAAAAAGTTTGATCTTCGTTACGTAGTACTTGTTCGCAGCATGAATCCTCTGCAACTATTTCTGTCCGATGTTTTCTGGGTATGCATATTTTATCCTTTGATTTAATATATACTACTTTTCCAGTCCTAAATATAAATCCTATTTTATAGTATAATTTATGCTATAAAATAAGTTTTATATTTAGGACCGGATGATTATTAGATTGCCCTTTATAGAATACTCTATTTCACCTCTTAACGTTTTAATATGCCCACTATATGGTTCTAATGCAAAGCGGCTGTGTTTTTCATTTACAGGTTAGATTAGCCAACAACGAATATTCTTTAGACAAAAGTAGTTTTTTTGAGTATGAAACCCACTTCACTGTTATGGTATGTTTTGATTTCCTTGCACTCGAGCAGCAATAAAATATCTTGTTGAACCTTCATATGGAAATAATGAGTATTTCATTGCTTTACATTTTCTTCCAAATTTCTGATGGCCGCTTCATGAATCCCAGAATTATCGTGGAAGATTAAATCACAAGAACACAAAAGATTTCGTGAGAGAATTTGAGGAAGAACATCAAGGTAATGGAGACTGCCGCGCATGTTAATCTGATGATGAGTATTCCTAGAATCAGAGGCTTCTCGCACATGCTTTGCATTTTGGATTACTTACCAATACGAATATACATTATTGCAGTCAACTGGTTGGATATCCATGGAAGAGTGAGGAATATGATTCGATCAGCGTTCGAGGCCGCAGCTGTTGCACATTCAGAGATGCATAATCCAAAATCCAGGGCCATGTATGGTGTAGATGTCATGTTGGACAGCCTTTTTCAACCCAAGCTGCTTGAGGTTTGTAATCGCAGCATTGGTACTCTTCTGTTTATCCCTTGTCTCGAGACTAACAGTTTTTAATCTGATCTTATAATGCATTTTTGATTTTATGATATGATGCCATCCGTTGTTTGTCCTGTCAATCGTAGAGCTATATTGTTTGCGATGTTTGCTCGTGTGGATTCTGAAATGAATTTGTATTTTCTTTCATGCAGGTGACTTACTGCCCCGACTGTACAAGAGCATGCAAATATGACATGGAGGTCGTGGTTGGAGGGGGAGGCATTGCCAAAGGCTGTGACTTCTTCAATGATGTTTTCAAGTGTCTCTTTCTGAACGAGATGTCACATGTCAGCCCGCTGTAACCTAGCCGTACAGAATTTTATTTTAATGATCATATGTGACCAGTCGATGCTCCTGGCAAGCCTGCCGCCTTTGACGGATAATGCCATAATCTGCCTCCTGGTTTGAATGATCATAAGCACTCTGAAGCATCCTAGGCTTGGCCCAAAACATGAAGCTTTATGGTGGAAATTGCTGGGTAGACTTTGTTGGCGACATTTCCAATGATGGCTAATTTGTCCATAGTCGTTTATTTTATTAGAAACAAAATTGGTTTTTTTCTCGTTATTCTCTCTAGCTTTTGTTTTTCATTATGCTTTATGGGGATTCGGTCTCGGTCGAGGAGGTTATATATATATGATTTAATGTTTAAGGAAGATGTCATTTCTAATTTTTTCAAAAAAAATCTTTTTTGTATTTGTTTAATTCTTTAATTATAGATTTATTAGTTTTTTAATTAATTTATCTTTCAGCCTTTTATTTTATCTAAAACAATAAATACATAGTTAAAAAGATATTAATTTAATGATAAACAATTTGGCAAATTTTGGCAACAATCTGATTTAATCATGAACCATCGTGATCTTGATTGAGTCAATGACGAGTCGAGTTCTCAGTGTCCGGATAGCCTGGGATATATTTGACCCTCGATTAGTTGAATGGCCGCATGAAAAGAAAAGCAGAAAACCGTACGTAAAATTGGGTGTTGATGTTCCGGAGTGTAACAATGCTATAAAGACTCGTCCAATCCCCTCTACAAGAGTTTGGGGTGAATCAGAAAACATGGAGTAAGGATTCTGATGGCAGCAACATTCCATGCATTTTACCGTCAAGTGATTAATCTCCATGTTCAGATGACTCGGCTGATGGATGTGATTGGTTTCCTAGCATAGAAATCTTCCTTTGTAACTCAAGAGTTGACATCCGCTCCGCCTCCAACGCTCGTTCAAGCTTCAATAGGCAACAAATATTATATAACACACTATATTATTAAAAAGGAAGACTGGAGCCTGAAAGTACACTTTTTTTTTTGGACCTGAAAGCCTGAAAGTACACTAAAACTGCCTGTTTTGCTGGGAATCAGGGTCGGCCCTTCAGGGCTGACGGGCTCCCAGGGTTGGAATTTTAAAAATACCCCAATTTGCTAGGCCCGGCCCTTAAGCTACAGGACCAGGGCCTGCCCGCGGGCTTTTGGCCCGTTTAAGAAAAAATACTATTTTTATATTTATGATATTTTTATAAAAATATAAAAATAAACCAATAAAATTATTAATAAAAGACATAAATATGAATAAAATTAAGTCACAAATATAAAATATCATCATATATAAATATTCATCAACATCTAAGAACATCTAAAACATTCATTAACAAGATAACATCTAAAAGTTTTATCTATAATACAATTGTGCAATAAATAAACACTATCATTAATCTTTTGAAACTTCATCATCACTATAATTAATTACTTTTCTTCATAAGTATACTTTTCTTTCGTAACAAAAATATCAAGTTTTTCTTCTTTATAAGAATTTTATTTTTAAATTTTGCAATCTAAGTATTATTTTACTTTAATATGAGAAACATTGCTGTTAAAACTCATGAATTTCTAATTCAAATTATAGAATCACAAGTTATATAAGTATAAAAATATTCTATTATCAAATATATATATATATATAGTTTAAAAATATCAACGCATATAATATAAATCAAATCATTATTAAAGTCCAAATTAACCCATTTTTTAAAAATTTAATTGGATAAATTATTATCTAAAACTAAATTTACTTTTAAAATGATAATAATAACTAAATATTTGAAATATTATTAACAATATAAAAAATTAATAACATTAATATTATATAAAAAAATTAAAAAAAATATAAAAGGGCCGGCCCGCAGCCCTCCAGGACCGGCCTTTTTAAGCCCTCGGCCCTCCAGGGCTTATTTTTCATTTTAAGAGAAAAATATCAAGCCCAGCCCTCATAATTTCAGGGCCTAAAAGGGCCGAGCCCGTCTTTTCCCGGCTCTATGAATTTCACAATCATGGCTGTCGTTAACCATACCTTAGCTGCGCGGGTGCTCCATTCTCCTAATATAGCTCTGAGTCTTTCATTCTCCTCTACATACTGTTGTGTTTAGTGGAAATTTTAGTGTACACACCTAAAAGTCAAACGACTTTAGCGGAAGACACTAGCTTACCGACAAGATACCTGATTGTTGGTTGTGCGAACCCGCAATATCTCTGAATCTCTCTCAGCAATCAAAGATCGAGCAAGCCTTAGTTCAGATTGCAATTGATTCATCTGTAATATGCACTTCCCAGTCAGGATCCTTTTGAGCAAACAGAGTAGAGTCAATAATCTATCATACCCTATCGTTATCCCTAAAATCAATCTTTTAATTCGTATATATTTGTTATATTCTGAGGCCATCATTTGCTCCGTCTCAGCATGAGGATTGGCCATGTATAAGATGTCATACTAGTAATCAAATTCAAAACCTATCTGGCCACTATTTGAACAACTTGACCTAAACTATTATGTTTCGTTTCGTGTCAGAAAACACTAGCTCCTCATTTTCTTTCTCTTCTCTCTCCAGTGACACCGATCCTTAATATAGAATTGTCTTCATGTCGACGCTATACTATATGAATTTTGAATATGACATGATTTATCATAAATGGCATCCAAAACTTAATGAAAAAGTATAACTTGATCGAAGAAATTAAAATAACCACCATAATCAGCTATAAAGCAAAACTCATCATAAAAGGCATCACAGATATTATTTTGAATTTTGAGCAAGATGAATGAGGCAACTATATAAATATCGCAACATTTCATTCATCATATCAAGTTGAAAGCTTGGGAAAGACAGACAGCACCTCAGCAGAAAGTGTCCGTAATTCTTGATCCCGAGCTGCTAATAAATGAGCAAGATCAACCTGCAAAGGAAGTAATTTATTCTCTGATGTAAAGAAAAGGGGGAAAAAACAAATAAACAGAAAAACATGCACAAGGTGCGGCAGGTCTTCACTGAGTTTGAACTGAAGGTTGCAACCAATCCTCCTTCCGTATGCTTAAAGGGATGAGTTGTGCGATTAAACTCGGATCAAAATTTTCTAGTTTTATCAGCTAAGCATCCTCCTCTCCATGTATTTTTATCAGGTTTTCCTTATCTAGGATTGATTTTACAAAATGATGGTGAAATTTATGACGATGTTATGCGTAGGATACGAACTAGGTGGCTGAAATGGAGGAAGGCATCAGGAATCATTTGTGACTGTAAAGCACCTACTAAGCTTAAAAGGAAGCTTTATGAACAATTATACGACAAATGATGCTATATGGTAGTAAATGTTGGCATTAAAAAGATAAAAGAAAGAATTGTCAACCAAAAAAAAAAAAGAAAAGAAAAGAAAAGAAGGATAAAAGCAAGAAGTTGAGATAGCAAAGATAGAATGCTGAGATGAATGTGTAGTTATAAAAGAAAGTAAAAACTCATAATGATATTAGAAATGATATTTACAAGGAAAAATAGGTGTGGCATTCTATCAAGAAGAAGATGGTAGAAAATCATTTGAAGCGGTTTAGAAATGTACAAAGAAGGGCAACAAAGGCACCAATGACAAGAGTTGAGCAATTGATATTCAGCCCTAAGAAGAAAGGTAGGGAGAGATCAAAAAGAACACTCGTGGAAGCTACCAAAGGGGATTTATTGATAAATGATGCATCTAAAGAGTTAGTTATTGATAAAGCACAATAGTGTCATGTAATTCATGTAGGTCACCCCACTTTGCAGAATAAGGCATTTTGTTGAATAAAGAACTTCAAGGGAAGATCATTCGTACTCCTTCTGGTTCTAATTATATGGCAAATTTAACTAATTTCACAATTCTTAATAAGTGGTAGTAGATATCCTTAAACTTGTAAAAAAGTGTGATTTTCTAATTTTTCCCGTCACTAAAATTAGTGACCACAATACTGTTCTGGAATTAAAAGCATGCCAGCAACTTGTTGAAATTAAGGAGGGACAAATTTGTCATGTGTCAAGGTGTCAAGAACAATTGTCAAGAACAACTATTTTATTCTCAAGGAACAGCATTTTATTCTCACAGTTAACAGCACTTTCTGCAATGGGTGACTTTATTCTACAATGGAAGGCAGGCATTCTTTCTTTTCTTCTCTTTTCTTTTTTTTTTTTTTTTTTCAATTAATTAAAAAGGGGGCTAAACCAGCCCTACGAGATTGAAGCTGTGACCTCCCCATACTTGGGGAGCATCTTTCCAATAGGGGAATGCACCAAGCACTAAATGGCAGACATTTTAGAGTGTTGCGTCACTACTTTTAGTATATACAGATTGAAGAAGATCCTTCAATTATAACAATAATTTAATAATAAAAATACTTTCCATGGAAAAGCTACAATTAGCTGGAAATGTTTTGAATAAAGAACATGTGATGCAGATTTAAATGACTTAAACACAAGCTTTACATCCCAGACGCTACAGACAAGAATGCTAAATGTATACATATTCCGATGCAACTCCACCAATGTAATAACATTTGATATCACATAACAGAAAACTTGATCACTAAAATTTTCATAATTAAATAATACTCCTCCGGTCCTAAATATAAGACCCATTTTGTAGTGGAATTTACCCATTTTACACTACAAAATGGGAATTATATTTAGAACCAAAGGGAGTACCATATTAATTGTTCTGACTGGATATGACCACAAGAGCAAATGCTCACCAAAATCTATACAGATTTTATAAATTCAGGTGGAAATTTGAAAAAATTTATCCAGGGTCATTATCACCTGTGGCGCACTCCCATCATCAGTTCTTTCGTATTTACTCAAACACTCTTGCAGTCGAAGAATCTGCAAGACCAAAATGTTGACGCTTTAACTAGAGAAGGTACAGGGATATCCACAATCAGCTACATATATAATCATTAACTACTGTAACGAACGCTTCAAATATTGTTATATACCTCCTCACTCAGGAAATGAAGATTTTCTCTCTGGTATTGAAGCAAGGCCATTTGCTGATCAGAAAGTCTCCCACCATCATGGTACCTATTAAATCAAAATATTCTCATTACAATGTTCACATGCCGCACAGTACAACACAAGTTTGGGCTTGTAAACATGATTGATATCAGCTGCCATTGGCATAACATGATCGAAGGCTAGGTCATCAAGCATAATCCTATGCAAACACAGTTTAATGATGAAAGTTTGTTCTCAATATCCTGTTTGAAACAAT